GCAAAGTGGATTCCACTACTATTGAAGTAAATAACACGCAATGAAAACAAAAGAACAAAAAAAAAAAAAAAAGAATAAAAAAAAAAAAAAAAAAAAAAAAAAAAAAATATACAAAAAACAAAAAAAAAAAAAAAAAAAAAAAAAAAAAAAAAAAAAACAGTACAAACAGGGAGTATGCAAGATGAAAATGCGTCAAAACTTAAACAAAGGCCAGCTCTCCACTGCTCGCTATAGGAAGACCCCGATTGCTAGAACTCTTCACGGGCGGTGGAGGCTCAAGAGGCGAAAACTGCCACTGGTTATTGGGCTTGGTCTGGGTGACTTTGCGATTCAGATGTTCATCCAAATCGGAGACCATAGACGAGCTTTGCGGGATAGCGTTCTCGTCATTATATTTGGTTCGTGAATCCAGCTGCGGGGCACTGGCCAGGCTGTTCTCGCTCCAGAAACGAGGTATCGGGGAGATGGCACCGCGGTATTCCTGCGCCAAACTCAATTGACTCGCCCCATTGACGCTATTTTCAGCAAGCGGGAATAGCCCAGGTGGTTGCATATTTTGGTAGACAGAGTAGCGGTTGTTATCATCTCCGTATTCAGAGACCGAGAAAGCAGTTGACATGGGACGATCGTGGATTGATCGACGATACTCGTCACTGAAGGTCGAGACTGATACCGTATCAGCACGACTGCGAGTACTCCGGTTGCGATTCAGGGTGCGAAGGGCGGAGGAAGGGCGGCGGCTGATTTGAGCGGAGAAGAGAGGGTTGGCGGAGTTACGGTGTTTGGCGCGGCTGTGCACGAAGGCTTCCAGGGAGTCGGCTTCTGAGATGGTGGATTCGTCTGGCTCGACTGTTCGCAGTGTCATGCGCTTGTAGTTGTCTGGAATGGTAGATGCCATGCTGTAGGCCATGCTGTGACGCATCCGTGCTGCTGCTGGGGGACGCGGGAACATGGGCGCCATGTTGTTGAGACTGGAATCGTCACTCATCAACGATTGTCGTGGGTTTTGCCATGATGTTTGCACGATGCCGTGGCCAGGGGGGCCAAACCCACCAGCACCATGTCCGGCACCGCTGAATCGCACGGGGAGGCCGGAAGCTATGGATGAGATACCGCTCGAGCGCTTCGAATAACGCTTGGATTTGAAAGACTGCATAGACTCGCGCTTCATTGCGCGGGGCTGGATTGTTTTCAGCGGCTCTCGTCGAGATCGGTTGGTGGTGCGCCGGCGCATGGGGCTAGTTGTGGATGACAGACGAGGGTTCTTCCTCTTCGACGGGGTGGTTTCAATAGGCTTATCTTCTTCGATTACGGTATCACGTAGAGGAGCGAAACCGCCTCGGGTGGGCGATTGGCGAGCAGGGGAGCGAGGAGGTATAACAGGCTCGGGCATGTCGAAGTTGGCAGGATGCTCCTTTTCGTCGAAAGATGAAACGTTCCATGATGGTCCAAGTTCAAGTTTGGGAAGATCCGCCGTAGGAGAAACAGGACTCCTCCAGTCTTCCGAATGATCGTCATGAGAAGTTCTTCCAGCCATGTCTGGCTCACAGTTGGGCATATCTGGCCTGATAGGGCGTGGGGGAGCAGGCTTCATGTTCGAAGATCCCTCTTCCACCGGAGGGGAGTTCCTGCGGCGACGCCAGCAGCAAAACAGAATGAGAGCACTGAAAATAACCACCACCGGCAGCACAACGGAGATTGCGATGATGCCCGCCTTTTTGTGATTGGGACTAGAACTCGATTCATCATGAGTGAAGGGATCTGTGGGGTTCTCATGTGTGTCTGAAGCTTTGAGAACATCGAGGATGAAATCCCTTGTGTCTGTAGTCGATCCTTGGTGTGCAGTGAGCGGGAGTGTGAATTTCTTCGGGTGCATATCATCGGGAACACGGCCGTAAAGGGTCTTGTTCTCGGGAAAGTATGTAAGCCATGAGAGCTCACTATCCAAATCGACATCGAGTTGGACAGAGTCATCGGTCACAATGGTCTGGTTGAACATGAATTTAAATTCCTTGCCGATAGCAGCCTCGCAGCCATCAACCGTGTTGAGAAACAGCTTCATGAACTCCAGACGAATCATGAGCTTTGCGTCGTTTTGGTAGGAGTTTGACACGGCAATGGTAATATTCTCATTGACAGCGTCATTTGGAGGAGTTCCACTCAGCGAGATATTCTCCTTATCAAGCTTCAACCAATCCGGCAATTCCGCTTCAACTTTACCCAAATCCTTGCCTGAAGTAGGTGAGCCATCGGTGGACAGGAGGCTGCTAAAATTAGGACTGCTAAACTTGTCCCCTCGAGTGAGGTTAAACGATTGCACAGTCTCGTTGAATGCCAGAATATGGGGACCAATGGTCAGTTGGAATGTCATGTTGGCCGCGCTATACCCAGAAACATCAGAAGCCACGAGCTGGAAAGTGAATGTCTGAGACCCCGAGCCACCAAAAGGAGGAGTGTTTCCAGAAAACTTTAGCGCCGCGGGGTCGAATCCCATCCAAGAGGGCAGCGGGGTGTTATTTGGTGAGGTTCCGTAGTAGATCGTAGAAGGATGTGTGTTTTCAAAGGTATCCGAGTCGAATTCAATGGAGAATTCGCGACCTGGGTGGATGAACAGGGTGGAAGGATAAGAAACCGGCCCCATTTTCTGTAATTGGGAGATGAGCGGCTTGTGCACTGTGGGACCTTGGTCCGCAGTCACAATCAAAGTCACGTCCATGCTATCCTTTTCTGATCCATTGGATGCCTCGAGTTTGAATTTTGGCGCGCCACTGTCGCTTTCGTGAGGGGTCCCCGAGAGTGTGCGAGTACTGCTGTTCACTTTGAGCCAAGATGGCGCATCCGATAGTGAGTATTCGGTTTCGTTGTCACTATTGGAAAATGTGCTTTGATCGAAGGCAAATCGGAAAGGCTCTGAGACGCGTGCGACTGGCGGCAACTGCGCGTTGATCGGATAGTTGGCTGTTAGGGCTGCAGCATTGGCAATCGAAAGGACAGCCAGGATAGTGAGGAGTAACGCCATGGTTGGTCGAGGAAGAGCACACTGGGACTGCGTAAAGCTGAGTAGACACAGCTGGCTCATCCGATCACCAACGACGCTTCAATCTCACGGGGAGGAATGGTGAGAGTAGTTAAGATGGAAGAAGGAAAAGTCAAGACAAAAGTGAAAGTGTATCACTCATAGTCATCCGAAAAAAAGGTTCGTGTCCCTGGCACTCGCGCCAAAGGGACACTTGATACAGGGACACATTCAGGGCGTACCCTTTCCAAAAAGCCATGCCTAGATATTTTAGACGTCACCGAAGTATGTAGCAGAACTGCAGTGGGGACTCAGGGCGGGCGCGGGTGCAATCGCTAACATTAGGCTCACGTTTCGAATATGCCCGGGCCTATGCAAGGGGTGATCTCCTGCGCCGTTCAAGGAGCACAGACACACCCAACCACAGGCATGATTTCTTGCCCCTCCGACCCATCCTAAAGGGTCAAATCAGGCAAGGAACATTTTCCAAGGTGAGTGGGCGTGAAAAGGTCCGTGGGGCGCACATTAACGGGTGTGGCTCAAGCACCACGTTCTAAGTCCAGGACCATTTTGATGCCTGTCCGTCCAGGGGCATAGTAATCAGGGATTACTTCGTGCTCCTCGAACCCACTGCGGAGATACAAGGCTCGCGCAGGCTCCCTGGCCTCATCCACCCAGAGTTGGATGTACTGGCAGCCCTCCTTTCGTAGGCGCTGCTGAATGTAGGACAGCACCTCCTGGCCCACACCTTGACGGCGGTTAGCTTCAGTCACACAGACCTTGTGCAAAAGCGCAACGCCCTTTTGTCGGACATAGACCGCGTAGGCGATCAGATCTGACTGCGATCCCTTGGCCCGACTCGCGTACAGAACCCGCGTATTGGGCTTTTTTCTCCATAACTCTTCGCCGAAAGGGAATGCTTCATTGGTGGGGAAGGTCTTTTTTTCGACGCGTGAAATCTTGGCAAGAATATCCAGTGCCCCGTCCCTCTTCAAGGAATGAATGTCCGAGATGGTGAGGTCGGACATTCCTCCCGTTTCGCGTTGAGGCACCATTCCAATTCACGGCTGACAGGTCCAATTACCAGGGATTTGGCACAACGATCTCTGATTGACCTCGATAATGATCAAAAAGGCAGAAAAAGGCAAAATTTTGTGGTAGATGCCCAGGTGGGAATAGATGGGAATTTAGTTGTGAGAACGCGAAGTCTTTTTGTGGCTCCACACGTGTGTCCAATCAGCATAGCCGCGATCTATAAACAACAGCCCTGGCAAGCAGCGTTTTGCTCGACCTGAACTCTTCGTTTTCCTTAATATACCAATGAATCATTTTACCCATATTTGATAGCCCATGGGCTTTTATCTGGGGCTCAAGGGCAACTTCTTCGGGGCTGCTAGTCGCGTACATTACCTCCATTTGGGCAATCTATGAAGCCTAACAGCTAACCTCCTTATGCGAGAGACCCAACCCTAACGCACCGTGTTTGTAAGTCCAGAGCTAGGTCAAGGGGAATTCTGAAGGCATTTGATATCTTTTTCTAGCAACCACCTTGTCAGGTCGTTGTTAGGTCTAACCTTGAAAGATGATGGGAGATGATTACTTCGATGTCAAGGACTCAAGGTGCTGGAACGGGGTTTCCGGCGATACATGGACTATAGTAACCCGTGCTTCAATATTCCCAAATAATCGTGCTTAGTGCTGATCTATTTCGATGGCGAGGTCATGAGACTGGGGCTAGGACACGGTGATCAGGCTATGCCCATATCCAAGACCCCAAGTAATATGAGACATTGGTGGTGGAAGGCAAAGAAACTATGAAGGTTTCTCAATTTGACGACATAATACAAACGACATTACACAAACGGAAAAAGTTGAGATCACCATTCAAACCGCCGATCGCTTCTCTGTCTCCTCTTCCTTCTCCATCCTCTTCATTCACCAGCATCTCATTAAAGCCTTCAACCCATTTGCCAAAATGAGTTCATGGGATCCATATGCAATAACGGAAGACCCTAACGTCACGTTCATTGTCCCGCAAGAGCCAAGCGCCTGGCAACGATTCAGAGGGCAACCATTTCTCTTTCTCGCACTCAAGCTTTATGACTATCGCCGGATCATCCCAGCTCAGCCATCAAAGAAGCCTGTCTCCGTCGTCTGCATCTCAAACACTTACTACCAAAGCCCCAAGATACCAGAAGGTGATATCCTCATCCATGCCGGTGATCTTACCCCCGACGGATCGCTCGCCTTCTTTCAAAGAACATTGAACTGGCTCAATGAGCAGCCTCACCCCATCAAGATCGTCATTGGTGGTATGAATGACCAGTTGCTGGACCGTTCGAAAGGCAAAGGTCGAGGCTGGGACCATGGAGACTACGAAAAGATCAAATGGGGCGACATCGTGTATTTGGAAAACAGCGGGACCACCACCATGGCACCAAATGGAAGGCGACTACGTATTTGGGGCAGTCCGAACTCGCCGATCCGCGAAGGAAAATTAGGATTTCAATATCGACCTGATGATGACTTCTGGTATCGAAAGATTCCTCGGTCCGTCGACATCCTCATCACGCACACCCCGCCTTATGGACACCTCGACTCCCGCATTGGTTGTTACTGGCTTTTACACGAGCTCTGGCTCAATCCTCCTCGTTTGCATGTCTTTGGTCGTGCAGAGGAGAATCATGGAACCGAGATATTGCAATATGATAAGCTTCAAAAAGCGATGGAATACATGATCGGTCGCGAAAAAGGCCCCAAGCAATTTTGGGAGGTTCTCAAGGGCTTTGTGCTCTCTTGGTGGCGACCTTCTACTGGGCCTCAAACCATACTTGTCAATGCCTGCATAACTGGGGGATATTGGAACATGTCACGCCGGGCACCTATCAAGGTTGTCATCTGAGCCCGCTATTACAATTGCTGAGAGTCCATCCGTGACCAATACTTGAGTTTATTTTGTGTGGAGAAAACTACAGTCTGTCAAGTCGAATTACAATGAATGACTTTTTGCATTGAAGATATAACTCGTAAGAAATTATCCCCGGAGACCTAGTCGTTGTCTTAACTCCAATAGTGTTCTTTGATGGTTTCAATAAGAGCATCACCTACTGGCACAGTTGACGCTAGTAGATGCTACCTTGTCCAAATTGAAGGACAACTCGAGGAGTGGTGTACCCTGCATAATGCACTACTTAAGTACTGAATTGCCCATATTAGTTAGCCTGCTTCTTCTTGGCTACAGCTCACTTTCTGGTCCATTTTGATTCAGCCTCAAAGTAACCCTAGGCTATGGCCCCGGGGCTGAACTTAGATTCGTAGATCCCGTTAGTCTCGAAAATTCCGAGATGCTGTTGGTCAGATTCGAGCGTCAGACCCGCTAGAGTGGGGCACGTGACCGACATGCTCAATCACCAAGTACCAAGTACCAAGTACCAAGTACCAAGTGGGGTTCTAGGTCTCCATTTAGGACGCCATACCTGAATACGAGTATGTACATAGCCTCAAGCTGCTTGTGGCTTGTGTAAAGGAGGGGGGGGGGGGGAGACTTCAAGCTCGTCTTTATCAAGCGGTTTATCATGAGTACAGGGGCGATGCTAATCTTCTCTGTATATTTTCTTTTGACCGAATGCCCCGGAGGGCAAAAAAGCAGACCTTAAAGTTCATTATATCCCCTGTTTGGGGCAGAACGTGACCGCCCTATTTGCTTGAATCTAGTCTTATTTGGCTCTCAAGGGAGCTGTGCTTCTTCAGGATGGCTAATGGCTAATGGCTGTAAAAAGATCAAGATTTTCGAAAAACTGGATATGAATAGGATATGCTTGACACTTTTTTTTTGGCGCAGAAGCCGCTAGTGACCACCCAGACTGTGCTGTAGAATTGTTGCGTGTGAAATGACCTTTCGCGTGGAGACAGATGACTGAGATCAGAAAATGGTCGATTCCTGGTGGATGTACGCAACTCTCTTCATCGTGCGCAGGTGCTTGCCATCACTCCTCTTGACATCGATCCCGAAAACCAGCGACTCCGTTTGGTCGATGAAGAAGCGTACAAGGCCCTTCACGTTCTCCAAATCGATATCATGCTCAAATCGAAAAGGTGGGTCGGTGATGTTGCCGTCGAATCTGCCCACTTCCTCGCCATAGAAGGACAGGCTGCTGACTTGCACGATCATCTCGGGTTTCAGGTCGAATGTGCCCTTGAGCTATGCGACATAATTTCATTAGCGTGGTGTTCTTGGATGCTTCTTTCGTATAAGACGATGAGGTCCACGTTGACTGAAAGTGGTTCCATAAAGGAACTGCCCGCGGTATATCCTGTGACTCACCACAATGTTTCCGTGATCTTCAACATATCGAATGCCAAGATCGAACGAGTATGCGTCGGTGTATGGCTCGGTAGAGGTCACCTTGACTCGGGTTGCAAGTTTAAAAAAAGGTCGCTCGGGGATCGATTCCTCGGACGTGTCCGAGGAAGGCTCTTGTGGTTTCTTGGTCGGCATGGCGCAGTAGGATGAGAAAAGGACTCAAAAACTTGGTTGTTGGTGTCTGGAAATCAGAGGGCGGGATGGCAGGAGAGAATGGGGAAACGTCTGAGATAGAAGATCAAAAGACAACTTTGGAAATCACCCCCGGGGTCGTGGACATCGGAGAGACAGCTGACTGGTGGCTCACCAGAATGTACCCTTACTTTTCAACGGCTTTCTATCTTCATCGCCTACTGTGTCTAGTGTGTATGAACGAAACATCATGGAAGTAAATATATGTATGGAATATTGATGTACAACTTGGAAGTCCCTAAGTACTGAGGGAGCTTATACAAAGGTGAAAGTATCACCACCCTTCTCACGCAACATATTCCCTGTCCGAGACGTACCAACAACACGCTCCAGCTTCAGCGCATCCCACTTAGAGAAAAGAGCGCGAACACCTCCTTCAGCAGCAGCAACCAACTCAGCTGGATCAAGGCCAAGATATCCAACGATCTCGCCGTAGAACTGTGCATTGTCTGGTAGCCCATACATGACAATACGCTTTACGCCGCGAATTTGGTAGCGACGGAAATGATGCGCACGCTCGGTGTACAGCAAGACCGAATGACGGCCTGATAGGAAATGACTGCGAGCTCGATTGGCTTCCTTAGGCTCAGTGTACTCGGAAACAGCGCCAAAGGAGATGTGCGTCGTTTGCGTAGAGGTGGCGAAGTGGTTGCGCACGCGGACGAAGTCAAGGTAAGAGGGGATGAAGATGAGCGTTCCGGTTGCACCCTTGCCACGACCGTGTGTGATGTTCTTCACAATGGATGACAGGACTGCGGTTGTAAAATGCTTGAAACGCGCATCGGGGTCTTTCATTGGTGACAGACTATCGATCCGAGTGAAGGTTTGCTTCACGGAGACTGGGAGCGGTAGTTCAGTGATGGCACCTGCATAGGTTGGGGTTGCCTTAAGACGTCCAGATGCGTTCTGCATTTGGCCGGAGAAGAGGGCGTTGATCTCTGGCGTGATACAGGATGACAATACCACGGTCTGACGCACATGGCGAGCTTGGTTGTCCAAATACCAGTTACGAACGCGGCTGAAGTCGCAACCGTGAGCTTCCTTGGGCTGCAGGTTGAGGTGTTGGAAAATCTGATCGACGTGGTCCCAGTTTTGCATAAGCAGGGCGTCGGCGTGGTCAACCACTACCAGTTCGATCGAGGAGAGGAAGTCATGGTCGCGCTTCTTGGCGTCGGATTGATCCATAATTGTGCGCAGACCCAGAGGACTGGCTAAGATGATGTCGGAGCTGTAGAATTGGGAAAAATACTTGACTGTCTTGCGGGTGAACTTAAGACCAATGCGGAACATATCGTCGTCGTTGCCACCAAACAATTCTCGGAAATCTTCCGTCTTGTGTTCCCAAGCGTCGTCCTCTGGAGCCGAGAATCCGTCGGTGAATCGCTTTTTATTCTCCTGCTGCTCGGGTTGATAGATCCGGGTGATTGCTTCGAGAACCTTCACACAAGACTGTCGTGTAGGCAGAATATAGAGGACCTTGGGTCGGGTGAATCCCTGGTCACGACACTCGATATCAGTATCTGGGTCCTTCGCCAGACGAGCGCTGTTCTTTAGAACTTGATCACGAGTCTTGAGCAGATGGTTTACTGCGTGCACGGCAAGGATATCGCGCATTTCCTGCGCATTAGAAGGAGATCGTGCACCGTAAAGAACATCTTGATAATCGAACAAATAGGGAGCGATAATCTGAGCTTGACCGTTGATTTTGGGCAGGAATTCCGCGGCGCGAGCCTTAATCTTCTGTTTCAACTGTCCAGGTACGTGTTAGCTGAATCCGACAGGTGTATGTTCTATGGACATGGCATACCTTTAAGCCATTGGTGTTTTTCATTGGGGGGAGCAGTTTTGCACTGTCGGCACCTATATCAGGAACACTCTGCACAAGTCGCAGCCCATCTATCTCTTTCTTGGTGGAGGTCCATTTGTTGGATTGGATGGCCTCGACTTGCTTAACTAGGACAGTGCTCTCGGGCAGGACGTAGTGTTTTTCGAAAGGACCGGTTGGGTCTTCATCGTCGTCCTCTTCTTGCTCTTCTTCGTCATCGGATGGAGCCTGGGCTTCCAAGTCGTTGTCCGAACTCTGCTCTGGATCTTCCGCGGTGTCGGCCATTTGGATCTCTTCATTGGAGTCTGTTGCAAGCTTGCGCTTCTTCCGGGCGGGTCCACTGGTCTCTGCTGGTTGAAGCAATTGGAGTAGTTCGTTGTATGGGCGTTCTGTAGTTTCCTCCTCTTCCTCGCTACTGGAGGATCCGTCGTCCATAGGGGTGTCATCACCGGATTCCTCCTGTGACAGCTCGCTGGCTGAATCATCACCAGAAGAATCATCGGATCTGATATGAATGAGTTAAGAAAATGTCGAATTGATAGGAAGCGCTAGCACTCACTCGGCTTCGTTCAATCGCGAAGTGGCGAAGCGGCCACCACGACTTCCACCACGACCACGACCACGACCTCCTCGGCCTCCACGGCCACCACGACCACCACGACCACCAGGTCCGCGACTTCTGAAAGAACCACCGCGCGGGGGAGGCATGTTGTCAGAGAATGTAATGACCAAAAGGGCTCGAAGCTGTCGGCCAAATGAGAATTTCCTCTTATCTCTTATCTTAGCGCGAAATTTCCCACACAAAGCAGAATCGGAACAATCACGGCTCACTCCACTCCAAGGAAAAATTGAACCTCCGAGAGAAGCCTGTCGAGTTTGGGGATTTGAACCTTCAAGATTTCCATCAACGATTAAACATGGCTGAAGATTCTTTCCTCCACCTTGCTCGCCCCCTGGGCCCCGTCAGCGTGGGAACCGCTCCCACCACTGCCCCTCTTAACGTTGTCATTCAACCCCAGGTATGTATAGGTGTCCTATGATCTGAGGGGTAAAGCTCATGCATTTCTAGGCCATTTTCTCCGTTCTCGACCACTCTCTCCGCCGCAATGCCGATCAGGAGCGCGTCATCGGTACACTGTTGGGAACACGATCCGAGGATGGAAGCGAGGTTGAGGTCCGATCCGCCTTCGCCGTCGGCCACTCTGAGGCTGAGGACCAGGTCGAAGTCGATATGGAATACCACAAGCAGATGCTCGCCCTCCACCTGAAGGCCAACCCCCGCGAGGTTCTGGTTGGCTGGTACGCCACTGCCTCCGAGCTCAACACTTTCTCCGCCCTCATCCAGAACTTCTACAGCGGTCAGGGCGATGGCACATGGCCTCACCCCGCTGTCCACCTGACTGTCTCCACCGAGGCCGGCAAGGACCTCGAGACCCGGGCTTACATTTCCGCCCCCGTGGGTGTCACCGCTGAGCGCGCTGCCGACAGCGCCGCCTTCATCCCGGTTCCCTACGAGCTCCGCTACGCTGAGGCTGACAAGAGCGGTCTCGAGTCCATCGCCAACGCCAAGGATGCTGAAGACCGTTCCGCTACCGTCACCTCCGATATCGATTCTCTCGAGCGCGCTGTTGAGGAGGTCATCTCCATGATCGACCGCGTTTCCCGCTACGTCGAGTCCGTCATCGACGAGGAGACCCCTGCTTCCACTGCTATGGGCCAATTCCTCCTCAACGCTCTTGCTCTCGCCCCCAAGGTCGAGCCCGCTGACATCGAGCGCGACTTGTATGTTAAACTTGCGATTGATCTACTTTTGTTGATTTCCACTAACTTCCCACAGCAACAACCACATCCAGGACGTCCTTGTCGTTTCTTACCTTGCCAACACCGTTCGCACACAGATGGAGCTTTCCACCAGACTAGCAACTGCCCAGCTCACCCTTGGCGGCGGCGAAGGCCCCGCTACTGGGGAGGGCCAGCGCAACAACCAGCGCGGTGGCAAAGGCAACAACCAGGGTGGCCGCCGCCAGGAGCGCACCGAGGAGGCGCGCGCATGAACGGCTTCTTACACCCAACCTTGATGCATAATGTGACGATACGCGGGAGGAACAACCATCACCAATAGAACGTCGATTATACGTCCAACGTTCACCTCCTCTTATCCAATCCCTCCCGACGTTCCTATTTTTGGCTGATTCTCTTCCCTGCTACCACCCCTCTTCCGCCAATTTCCCAATTTCTTTTTTCCACTTTTCAAGTTTTTTTCGCGAGACTTTCATGTTCTACCAAGATCTCACGGGCCAACGAGTTGATCACTTCTGTTCCTTGGTTTCGGGGCCAGTTTGTCTCGAACAGATGATAGGTCCGACATAGCTGGTCTCATATAAAGACCGATATATTGGAATTCTGTGAGAACTGATCATTCATGTTCTGTGCAGAAATCTTGGGGTGATGAGTCTAGACTGTTGAAGACGAAACGGGTCGACGGGGTCGATCTTTACGAAGTCGCATCTTATGGGCGCGGCGTTTTCAGTTATGATGAAATGGACATAAAAGTTCTAGAGCTTCTTCGTATTGTACAACGTATCAGCCTGATATTGACATTGACATTGATGCTGAGACAAATCTCTATTTGGTGCTTCGGGGGTGCGTAGCTTCATGTCAGTGCGTTGTAATCCACTCATACTTCGGGCTCCTTGTCAAGCATTGTTTGGGTATGACCTCGGGACACTACTGGCATGTCCAGGATGACAAGAGAGGTAGGAGACAAGTTTACGCTTGTTGGATTGGATCCAGCTCGAAGACGTCCCATGTCTGATATATGCCCTAGCAATTTCTCCATGGATACTAACAGTCACTAGATGGTGACCTAGATAGGGAGCTTTTCTACTTCAAGCAATATCTTGACACAAGGTTACTTCAATATTCTCTTTTTAGAACGGTATCAGTGATTTTCTTTCTGGGATCCCTTTCGGGTTGATATCAGATGTGCCTGTGCTCGGGGCCTACAGATTTTTTCAAACAAGTGTTGGCCAGATCCGTTTGGCTCATCACTAGGGCTTTTTGTCACCAAATATACTCGTACGAGCCGAAGAAATATACTCCTGGACTTCTGCGTAATGCCATTGGCGAGGAATCACCTTCTCCACAGCACTAAAAGGTTCGGACCCGTGGGGAAAGCAAGGTATGTCACAACTTTTGGAAGTGGGCACTTACAACACAGCAAGGACTGTTCTTTCAACCTTGGAAGATCTTCTAAGTCTCTTTCTGGTGGTCTTCCTGCAATATTTGGGGAAATTCCCAGTTTGTTCTTTAAGAGCTCTTAAAGTATTTCTAAAGTTGGTTGCTTCCCAAAGAAGCTGGTACATCACCTCCCAGCAACAGCTCGTCTTGAAGAACGCCAATGTTACTCCACATCAAATTCCACATTATAAGAAACTACTCAAGTAAGTATAATATTCCATTCTAAGCCCTGGACTGCAGGCCGTGCAGGCTGGAACTCAGGCCTCAGCCCTTTGCTCCTCTCAAAACACCATGAATAGGGCTTTATAGGGCTTCTAGGGAAGTCAGGCCAATGGGCTTTGAAAGCCTACTCCAGCCATTCATGGATTCAATGCGAGCTGGCCGCCTCTGAAGTCTTACGTAGGACTTCAGTATCATGAATGAAATTGATACGGATTCTAGGATTGGACTCCAGGTTCTACCACATGACAGCTTACTTGTGTATACTCAAGTAATGGCAACATCTGTTTGGATCTATAGATACATGTGTAAGTATATAAAGTCAAACATGATGGTGTGGACAGAACTCCGGTTTACCATCTGCCACAGAGTAAAAGCATCGTTTTTATTATGAATCTTAAGCCGTTCATCTTCTTGTGCATGAGTGCATTCCAAGCCTATATGTGGGGGTGGTCGTATAGACTTCAGTGAGTTTTGACAGTTTTCTTTCCTGCTACTTAGTACTCTTCGATCTGTCATCAGTTATTATCGCAGTGCTTTCTCTGGGGATCATCGTCTAACATTGCACACTTGAGCAGCACCCCTCGATTTGCAAGTGATCCAACAACTAAGCTGGGTGGGTGTGAGAATTGGGTCAAATTGGAACTCGACGAGCAGGGTCTTGATGTGATGCGAGAGTTCTTCTGGGAGGTCATACGGTTCATGGTGCTCTGCAAAGTTATCAAGAGACTTATTGGTTATCTTGATGAGGCTCTTGTGGCTCTTTATTGGAGCCTCTACGTACCGTGAGTTCAAAGAAAGCATGTCAGATTGTCTTCCAAGATCCTGTTCATGCAGGTTACTGTTTCCCTCCTCTTTCTAACTCGCGCTCTTTGATGGCTATACTGATGTCAAGAGCAGCTACTTACGCGAAACTCTTCTGGTGATCGGGCACTGGGTGGTGGCTCTCTGGGAGAGTGCTTGGAAGCACTCACCTTTTCTTCCACATACTCTCGACGAGGAAAGTAGTCACAACCCAGAGCTTTTCTTTAAACTGTTGTTGAAAACCGAGCGAGAAACCCAGGAAGACCAAGATCTAGTCAACCAGAAAGCCCCAGTTGTGCGCCGAAGCCAGCGAATACAGGCCTGGAAGAACAGGAAGAAGTCCACAGATGAAAAGAACAGGGCTAGGTAAGGCTAGTGAAAAGATTTACATGCAGTCTGAGACTAACCCAATCTTGTCGATTCGATAGCTCCACTAATTAGCGTCTTTGGGCTGAGTTTACTGCCGCCTCTCTGGTATCTACATTGTTGACCTTGTCGCACTTGAGGCTGTTTGTAGAGGTGAGATCAATTACTGTTACTTGCCTTGGTGCATGAATGTCTCTGACAGAGAGTATCAAAAAGGGTTCGAGTCGCCTTGCCATGCTCATCTTCCAAGTTCAAACTTGTCCGCAATTATCCATCGCACCTCTCGTCTTTCGACTCGTGCAATTGGCAACAGAGTTGCCAATGGAGGCACCAAATAGTCTGGATACTATGCACTGCCTGCTAGCATCACTTTCTAAAGTTTGCATGGCCAACATGGTTCTCCTGCCATGCGCGAGAAATATCATTTCTTAAACGTGATGATATCCAGCCGCTATCCGCGGGTCAAGGTTATGGATTTGGTTACTTTGTGATGATCAGAACTCTTGCGAGACCAAGAATAGTCAAATTTGACGTGTTTTCATTCGGGTATCCTAATAAGCAAATTCACGCAAGTCTCCATATTCATAATTCCCGAATCCCAGCCGCATCCCGCAGTCTGTTTAAATTTCCCAACGCCTGTACCCATGATGTTTGTACAACCATAAATTCCCGACCTGACGCCATGTCCTAATGCAAGTGCGGGTTAAAAAAAAAGCAGATACTGTTCAACCAAGGGTCTTGCGTTTCTTTGTGACAGACTCCTCAGTGGCGTCTGACCCCCGACGAGTTGCATCCCTCTTCCCCTTGCCCTTATTCTTCCCCTTCTTGCCAGTGACACTAGCGGCGGCGGCGGCCTCTGCGGCCTCGGGATCTTCACCCGCTGCAACTGCGGCGGCAGCAGCAGCAGCTCCCTTCTTGCCCGCCTCTTTGGCAACTTGGTCGTCGTTCTGGTCAAAGGCCTTACGAGCCTCTTTCAGCTCACGCTCCATGCGGAGCAGCTCCTGGACACGTCCGAGCTTGTTCGGATCGCGGCGCAGTGCAAATCGGAAATCTTCGACCTTGATCTTCTGGCGACGAGCGTGATGTGCGACTTGCGCAGCGCCGTGGCATACTTCTAGGACGAAGTCCGTGACAATTTCGTCGAGGACACGAACTGTTTCTGGGAGTGGCTCGTTTGGAAAGGAGGGGTGAGGGCTTGGGTCTCCGTAGGCGAGAAGCAGAAGACGGACTGTGATATGTGAGTTTCAATTATATTGGTGTGATTGATGGAAGTGAACAAGACGTACGCTCGTTCTGGAAGTTCATTTGCCCCTTGTGGCGGGCCATTCGGGCTCGTGGTTCCGCCATGGCTGATTCCTTCTTGCCCTTATTCTGAGGGTCGGGTTCTGATAGATTGGGTTTCCACTGGGGTTGGTATCCAGCGGAGATTAGGCGAGTGTCCTCGGTATTAAATGGCCACCGAGGGGTGCGCAGAGCATGAGCTTTCTGAGGCTGGAACTGTGTATTGGAAGCCGGAGTGGTCGACCGGGCAGTGACAGTAGATCGGCGATTATAGGCCGAGTGGTTGTTTGTCGCGCGACTTGCGGTAGGAGTTTGCGGAGATGACGATTGGAGCTGGTAAGTTACCCGCTTCCTGGGTTGGTCCGTGCGCTGGGCGGACATTTTGGGCAGAATGCGGAGTACGCTGGGACTCATCAGCAACTGGACACTTCAATCTTGATAACTTCGACTGTTCTTCTCAGCCCAAGTTACGGGCAAGGATTCGACATGGTGAGCTTGTGAACATCCAAAATATTCCCTCCTGGTCCCTTCTTGAGGGTCAAACCATGCACATCTCTCCGATCAGATCGGATTTGCGACAACAACACCGTTACAACAAGCCTCAATGCGCTAACTTGTATAATTACCTAGTCGGCCCTTTTCAACTTTCGCTCGCTGCTTCTTGTGCTCCTCTTGATTATTTGCACCAGTAGCTATGCCCATTCGATAATGCCCGGTATCATGGACCGGAATCAGAACGGGTATGTCTGGGGTTCCTTTGGTGGACAAACGATTGGGAGTTAGATTGCAAATGCTGATGTATTCTCGAACCAGGATGTTCGGGATTTTCTGGAAGTGTGCACGTATCGGAGAGCGACTCAGTCCATACGTGAGCATCTGTTGTGTTCTGATGGCTGTGAGTTCCGTCCCAACGCGCCACACGGTTGCGAGGGCCAAGTTATATACTGACAATTGCGTACCCATATACAGGTCTCTATCTTCTTTGGTGGCTGATCACTAGCTATTCATCCTCAGTTCTCATTGCCAGCACCCCTGACTCCTCGCTGGGAACCTACTTTATCTAACTAAACCTTGAGACCATCATATTGGGAGGCTCACTGTTGAGTGTCGCTGTGTTAGAACTGAGAGCATGCACCTCTTTGAAAGATGCTATTGGTTCAAAGGCAATGGAAACAACCAGATGAAAAAAAAAATCTTTATGATGCAATGTATAGTACATGATATCCCAATTTACAAAATGAAGTTGAAACCAACTTCTTCAAACGCCATCCACAAAGAATGCTTCAAAATTGCTCAGACCAATAAGCGTAAACACGAAAGGGTGTCCGTCTTCACTTTGATGACTTTGACTTCAACTCCAGTTTCTGCAGGCCACTATCAATCAGATCGTCATGCTCCAGCTCTTGCGGGCCTGTGTGCACATCAGGCGTGGGTTCCGTAGCAAGTGGCTCTTCATAAGCAGAATTTGCGGAGGCTTTGTCCAATTCCGCGACTGAATCCCACAGGCGCTGGGGATCACGGAGATAGCGTAGACTGTTCATGGTGTAGCGATCAATAACAAATCCTTGCTGCTCCATCTGCCTAATCGCAGAAGCGGTTTCTGTGATACTTTGGGTATTTGCGAAGCCGTTGATGATAGTGTTCCAGGTCACCTGATTGTACCTGACATTGTATTTGGCCATCATCTCCTTGACCTTCTCCGCTGCATCAGGTTGGCCGTTGTAATTAAATGCACTGAGGAGGATAGTCCAAGTGTGCTCGGAGGGTGCAACGTGTTTCAAAGGTACCCCGGTTGTGGTATGTGTTGGAAGCGTAGAAGTATCAAGCATATCTTCAACAAGACGGACACTTGACCGAAGACTAAGTGGGCTCTTGCGGAAGGCAATGAGGAATTCATTGTAGACATGATCGGTTTCAACCAGAGAGGCGATGGATGGGTCGCCCATGCGCACCAGTTCGCGGAACTGGTCGTAGATACGATGTGCTTGAGTATGTTTGTTCTTGCAGCGGAAGAATGTCGAAATCATAAGGAATAGGGCCACTCGAGAAGGGGGGATTTTGTTTTGCAGTCCAGTTACCGGCGGTGTGTAGTGAGAAGGGACGATCAAGAGTGCTTTGAGGGGGGAGATGTCGTGGAGTTTGTTGTACATTTCAAGCATGGAGTAAAACACACCTGCAGGATCACTTTCAGGGTCCAGATGCTTCGCAGTGAAGGTATAGTGAGCATGCATAAGTTTGCTGAAAATGTAGGGGTTTTCGTTGAATTGCTCTTGCGTTTCAATTTCTCGAGTCAATTCGTCCACACGGGAATGATCGCCTCGAGCCACTGCATCCGTGAGGAGAGTCACATAGGTATAAGAGTCGAAAACGTGGTGGTGTCTCTGCATGAAATCGAGCATATCAGCCCCAAGTTGGGGATCACCGGTTTTGTAGGCATTGGCAAGCACCAGGTTCATCATGTCGCGGTCTGGCTGAACGTTCATGTTGAGGAGCCTCGGAAGAATACGGAAGTTGCGGCCTTCTGCTGTGTCCTCGACTGAATCGAGTGTTAAAAGCTTGCAACAGTGCCGCAACACCGCTGAAGAGGCCATGGTAAAGTCTGGATGGTTAATCCTGGGGATAGATCCAAGAGCCTTCAAGGCAAGTTCCACATTTTTCTGGTGCGTGAACTTGTTCATGAAACAAAGCAGTGTTTGCGCTTCCATCGTGATGCCCCGCTCGTTCACCAGCCTGAATGCCTTTACAGCCCTCGCAGAGTCTGTTCGGCGAATATAGAGCCGCAGGCCTTTTTGGGGTGGATTAATGATAGGCCAATCTTCCGGTTGCATGCAGTCTGCAATTGCCGTCGCATATGTGTGTGTATCACTCGACCAACCCCGAAGCCGGTCGTGGTAGTAGAATCTGTCCAAATAGATGAAGCAATCGGATACCATGTTGGCGTCCGGCTTGTGCAATGGCTTTGTGGTAACAATGAGAAAGTCAAGTGCCTTCTCGGGGGCGTTCTGAAGTAGCCAGATAGCCAGACGCTGCCAGGCCCAGGCTTTGGTAGGCCGATTCAGGTCTTCCCACGTCTCTTGGAAAGATCCGTAGCAATCATCGAGAACCATATCGAGCAAATATTTCGCATCATCGTTCAATGAAGGCAACCGGCGGTGAACAACGCCCCCATCTAGCTTGGCGTTGAAAATTGCTGTGTATGAACCTTTCCATTGCCAGAATGCCAGGGTTTGGGAGTATAGTGAGTTGAATCGTATAGCTAGGGACAGAAACAACCCTCGGTCTGTGAGGATTTTGTTTTTCAGCTGGATTCCGCGATTAACTTGGGTAGCTGCCCTGCGCACAAGCCTAGGGTCAGCGTTATATTGGATGGCTAATGCCCTGATCTTGCGTCCTGTAACCAATGGCAGTGTCGATGTTGAATAGTGTTTGTGAGGATCGGGTTGTGATCGTCCATCTTGCGTATCTTGCAAATGCGTTGCGCTCGGTTGTGACAGTTGTCTTGTCGGTGGATGCGGTTCGGAAATATCATGACTGGGCGGCCTAAATGTGGAGGATGTCGCGGCATCGGGTCCCATTCTGGAGTCTAGGGCCACTGGGGTATTGAGCGCAGAGAGGCGCGCTCTCTGTCCAAGATGAGTGCCAAAGCCCTGGTGCCATTGCTGAGCCCGGCATGGCGAGAGCAACCCGTTCAAACGGGACCGGGCAATTTTGCGTACGCCCAATGACATTCAGGACTTATGAATGGCATACATCCAGAATGTTGAACAGTCCCGGTGATTTGCGCGGAGAAGAAAGTTGGGCTTCCGCCCGATTTTGCCGTGGCTAGTGTGTGGCGCACCGCCTACTTTTATTGATCGAATATCTTCTTCACTTCACATTTCGAGACGCGGAGCTTGGTTTTTCTCCGGATCACTTCAATCATCGTTCCTCCTAGCTATCGAGCTCAATTCCACTTCAGAAATCCTCTAATCCTTCTCCAAAGAATATGTCGTCGAACCACACCAACTTTGATGCGGCAGCTACCGACCGCAAAGCCCGCCTTGCCAAACTGGCTGCGCTGAAGCGCAAACAACCCGAACCGGACACAAATGAAGATGGTGACGCAGACCAAGAGCTTCCTGACGCCGACACAACCCCAGATGTCACTACAAAATATCTCTCCGGTCGCAACTATGATCCTGAAGCCCGCGGGCCCAAATTGGGCTTTGAGCAAGGTCCGCAAGAAGGCCAAGTGACATTGGAAGAGCAAGCCGCAGAGATCGCAAAAGCTACAGCAGCAGACGTCATGGATTATTCAGAGGACGAAGACGAGCCCATCGATCTACTCAAATTACAACCCAAAAAGCCAAACTGGGACTTGAAGCGCGATTTGGCCGAGAAACTTAAGGTTCTTGACGTACGGACGGACAATGCTATTGCTCGTATTGTTCGAAAGAGGGTGGAAGAAGATAAGCGTGCTGCTAAGGAGCGTGGAGCCGCTACCAAAGGGGACGAACAAGGAGAGGAAGTGGGCATTGAAGGCGAGACTCTTGTTCAGAGTATTCACATGCGGGAGCACGAAGAAAAGAGCGACGAAGAAACGATTTGAATGCGATACCCTTTGTTGCAGAAGGAGGTTATTTAGCTCTTCTGCCTTCATATGTTTTTCCTTCCTCCTTTTTATTATATCCTGTCCATTTGATCATACTCTTATTTTCCCTCCTCATGCTTGAAAGGCGTCTGATTGGGAAAATGGCATACCGCGAAAAACCGAGGCGTTGGGGTCTAAATATTAAAGCTGTCTCAAACAGCATTTCTGTATTGTACCCTTTGCAAATGATTGGCTTATTTTTGCCAATTTCTTTTGTTTTGTTGCTGTGGAGGCGGATGGGTTGATACCCTGGTAATAATGCTAATAATACATGGTTCCCTCGCATTGCAAGGACATGAAATGGTGCCAAATGAATTCCATCACCAATCTGCACCGTGGGAGATCTCTTTCACTTGAGATACCCGTTCAATTTTATCTACCGTCCAATATTCATAGCTTGAGTCAAAGCGAGACGTTTGCTGAATGGGCTGAGACTCCGTTCTCGAGGAGGCTGATTGGCCCGCGGTTTACTATCGTGCCCAGAACGTCCAGGTGGAGGTGGAACTTGGCGTGATGGGCTTGCTCGATCCCTGTATGGACGGTCACGGTCACCAGCAGCATCCGGGGTCATGGAACGCCTTTCTTTCGGAAGTCGGTCCCTGTCCGCGCTCCTACTGCGGCGGTGCCGACGCTCACTGTGTCTTCCTTCTCCGCGATGGCGACCCCGCTGTTCAGGGCTAGACTCTCGGCGTCGGCGTCGGGTGTTTCGGTCACTGTTCCGCTCTTTTGAGGGTGAGCGGTGTGTGGGCCCTGAATGCACAGAGCCAGAGCGACCCTCAGATGAATCACTATAGCGCCTTTTGCGGGACTTTGTTGGGTCTGGTGACGCCGAGACATCTCGACGACGGCTGCCATGTGTGTCATTTCCACCGCGGCGGGGCGAAGCAGAATAGGACCGATTTGTAGATATTGTGGAGATTGAGCTCATTGAGTGGGATGAGATTGATCTGGCACGCTTTGGAGAGGTACCACGGCGATCTGTTGCATCTTCGAGGTCTCTCTTACGGCCACGCTCTTCCTCCCGGCTGGCAAGTAGTTCGTCTGCCACACCCTCTCTGTGTCAAGTTAGCCACGGTGAGTCTTGGTTGGAGGCAAAGGGGGCAGTATCATCGACACGCACGTTCGCAACAACTCATTTGGGTTTTCGGTGGAAAGCTTAGGGACTAATTTCGGATTCAATAGCTGCTGGGTCCGCGAAGGCCGCGGGATATATGGACGTTCTTGCGCGGGTGCCTTGCATTCATAGCTGTAATGTCGTGCACAGGAAGTTAGCGCGGGGTGTCTTTGCATCAATGACAGGGAAATACATATCTCGTTTCAGGCATTTTTGGCACAGTGTAGTTGCAGAGGCTTTGCTGGGCCCTCGGAGGGTTGGAGCGTTTCGATATCGATTCATTAGGCCGTTCGGTGGGTCAGGCTGGAATAAAAACAGGGGCTTATGATCCTCTTGGCAATCTCTCTTGTGTCAACAAGTCCACAGCCAATTCTAACAAGTGAAAGTGAACGTAAAGTGAATCGGCGCAAAATGGCTATTAACATTCGAAGCCCAAAATTGTAGCGCGCAGTACAGGCGGTGGGGCGCGGCAATAATGCGCCCACGAATCTTTAGGCGATCAGGATCAGAGGTCCAACTGCGCTTCTTCAGGACCTCAAGCTCTCAGTCGACTCTATCGTCATCCATCTCAGATGACCTAGGGTTTCTCGTCTTCACACTGTCGAGGTACTTCCAGGTTTCCTCCCAATCTCAAATCGAGGTCTTCGTCTTCCTGATCATGAGCCAGCTTTGATATAATGTAAGGAACCGAGACTTCTGTCCAGAGGTTTTTATTGCACTGGATTGGATCTATGTCTATGCTTTTTATTCGGCTGCTTCGTTTTGGACGATCATTTTGCTAACGTCCATCGTCCTCAGCTTCCTCCATGGCGATTGCCCTCTTCCAGAGATATGTCTTTCGTTTTGGGCTTGTGTGAAACTGAATTACGAAGCGACCTTACTCTGAATCAAACGAGCATCGCATTCTCTCAATTCTGCGAATCTGAAGCGTGTTGAGAGGCATCTGCATCTTGTCTCGATCTCGGATCTTTTTTTTCTTGCGATATCTACACAGACTCGGCAACTACCCTCACGGAGTGTAGACATGGTCTCAAAAAGCCCCCCAAGCGGAGATGCCATTCTCTCCTTTGCAAAGGTTAGAATGACCGGCAGAGCTGGTTCCAATTCCAAATAAGATCTGTTACTAACTCAGTACCCAGATTGCCGCCATGCCCGCACCTTCCAACCCACAACCTTCTTCAGTATCTGATGATCAAATAATTTCTCACTCGGAAGAACACTCACATTACTCGGAAATCAATGGTCCTGGCGTTTCTTTGCCCAACCACCACAATCTAGACAAAACACCAGAGGCTAGTTCCATTGACTTGGCGGTGGATGACCTTGGGAGAGGTGTGCAGGACATCAGTTTTACTCTGAAAAAGCACAACGAGGGCGCCGGCTCTCTAATTTCTCACCAAGATCATGGCCTGCTTAAGCGGGAGAATTCATTTGAGGATGATCGCACACATCTTTCCACCTCGTCTACCAAAATGACCAACTTCGATTCGAAAAGTCTTGCCTCTGTGACAACCTTTGCCATGGATGAAAAAGACTCTGTACGACCTGATGACAGCGCGAGCGTCCAAGCTATCGATGAAGAAGAGTCTCTCTCTGGGCACGCTTCTGGTGCACCAAACTCAGTAGCAGGCTCTGAAGCTGGCAGTCGTGCGTTCCGCGAGCAGTTCCGAGATGGTATTCCTACACGCTCACGTGGCATCTTGCCTGTCCCCGGTCCTTTGTTCAATGGCTCACAGCCAGTCAACGGGACGATACCCCCGGATTCAGTCGCGAACAATTTTGTCATGCCAGCCAATCCAGACAGCATTCAAGATGGTCAGAATCTCCATGGATATCCTCTTGAGCCTGACGAGAAGCTTTTGGAGGCAATGAAATCACCCAAAGATCGACTGTTAATTCTACAGCTGGAGGAAAAGATACGATGCTTCATCAAGAATTGCACAGAGCAATCCTTAGAACTGCCACCCTCCAACGCATTTGGACGTCTTCTTGCCCACAAGCTTGGAGACTATTATCATCTCACCCATTTTGTTGATAATAATGTCACCTCAGTCAGGCTTCATCGCACGCCCTTCTGCCGACTACCCCCTCCCTTATCTGCTGTACATGCTGCCAGCAATACTACCCCGCCTCCAGTTGTTCCAGCAATGAAAATCATGCGACGAAATGACGGAGGGCAATTTGACGGAAGTATGGGGGGCTCCTCAAACCCCTCAAAGGCCAATTCGGATGACGGTGACAGTGGGCCGGACGGAGAACGCAATGGCTCTTCATCTGGCGCTGCCCCTGCCAAAGATCGGATGGCGTTAACACGGGAAGAACGGGAGGCAAAATACCACCAAGTACGCGAGCGGATTTTCCGTGACTTCCCTGACTCTGCAAAGTCAGAGCCGACCAGTGGTGACTCAAATCAAGACGTCTCGCGCTCTAGCTCCACAAACGGTCGCAAAAAGAACCCCAAGCAAAGGACCCCTGTTGATGATAGCTTCGAGGTTCGTTCTCAATTCGAAATCTGGTACCCTGGAGTACAATACGGCAATGGTCCAGCTTCATACAATACGCCAATGAACGAAACCTCGACTGCCAACCAGGTACCCTACCTGGTTGGACCAGGTGTACCACCACCAGCGGGTGGCTACCTGCCATCAGGGCAAACAGGTGCTATACACTCGGGTCAAATGCCAATGAACGGACCACCGCAGTATCCAGCTACAATGTCACCTCAAATGCCACCTAACGGCTCCTGGCAAGGTGTTGCCATGCCACAGCAATCGCCCTATCCTGGATACGCTTCAATGAACCAGCCGGGGATGATGAACCAGCCGTCTTCGAACGCGTCCTCGCCAGCAGTGAGTAACTACGCTGTGCCCAATCCCGCACCATACCAACAAACCCCGAACTGGAACACCGCGCCCTACCAGCCGCATTTCCAGCAGTCCCCACAGCAGCGAACTGGTCCTCCTGTCCATTGGCCCAACTACCAACAACCTACGCCCTCTAACATGCAACCCAACATCGGTTCTAACATGCCGCCCCATATGGGCACCAACATGGGTGGATATCCTTATGCTCAATATCCGGGTCAGCATATGAATCATGCATTCCAGAACTCTTCTGCGACTCACCCCATGCAGCCTGCATATCCTCGGTCACACTTCAACCCACAGACACGGTCATTCGTCCCTGGTGGAGTTCCAACTGGGCGTCACCCGAGCCGACCTCCACAAAACTCGCAGTACGGCCTTATGCAACCAGGACCCCAGAGCCAGTGGAACGGGTATAGTGAAGCTACTGTCGGTCGACCTATGGACCCAACACGGATGCCCACGGGCCCCCGGGACTCAATTGCCAAATGGGGGACACCATCCCACCTTCCTCCCAAACCTCCCCCATCAGAGGTCCCGTCGGATTTCAACATGAAAAACCGATCTGTCCCAGCGTCCGTACCTGCACACGTGCCAATGTACGTCAACAACACAGCGCCCAACGGACCGCTTGTGGTCTCAGGGGGCGTCGCCCTCCCAAAACAGAATTAGTCCCGGATGATCTGTTCAATTTTTGATCTGCACTGCTCGTGTAGACTTGGACATGTGGGTTGTGACCGATAGATCTATTTGGGTTGTTCACGGGCTACCTTGCCGTCTTGTGGAGACTATTCGTCCTTTCAATGTGATAGTGGAGTCTCAGAGCTTGTACAATCGACAATACACGGCGATTTGGGCACTCGGGTGTCTATTCTCGCCTAGGTAGCCATCGGTCTTCATGTTCAAATAATTCTCTCGACATGCGAATCCCTCAATAGCCTAGAACCTCCAGAAAACCGGTTACTCAACTCCTAGAATCCAAAGGGTATCTATAGTTGTAGTGAATCGAAAGAGAATCATCATATTTACCAGGCTATTTCTCGGTCCCGCTCCATTTTCCTCCGTCTGCGGTCTCTTGTCGGAACAGACAGACATTCCAACGTTTAGTCCATGGATCAGTTTACTATGAGGAACTTGTAATCATGTCACATTAAGTGCCCTGGGAACAGAATAGCTCGTTACTGAGATGATAGGCCCTTCCCCGAGGGGAGCCCGAGCAGCGATCGAGAAAACAGAAATGTAAAAGACCCCTATTAGTGGTGGTGTGTGGCGACTATTGATGGGACAATAATAACAATTATAAGAATAATCGCCGTTATAACGCCACAAGTGATTTTGAATGTATTTTTCCTCTTCCTGGGCCTGCTGGCCTGCTGGCCCTGGCCACTTTCATCCGCTTCTGTCTGGACTCCTGTTTGATGTGTCTGGTCTACCATCTCCTTGTTTGAATCTTGAACTCGTCTGTTGACTTCAAGTGTGCAATCGCGATCACTGGGCTCTAATGTGCAATCGCGGTCATTGACCTGTAGTGTGCAATCCCCATTATGCTCGATTGTCGCGGGCTGTGGCTGTGTGACTACGACTTGCTTGTACGTATCTGTCGCCGGGGGTTGTTCGTATGCCTCGGTAGTCATTTTGCGCAATTCAAGATTCAAAGCCCTCTCTGTCTGCGAACTGTTGCTTGGGGCTAGTTAGCCAAATAAAACACCGGAACACAGTGACCAATATGCATATGTAGGTAATCCCATACCTTGACCACGGGTGGAATGTAGGTGAATCTTTCGAACCTGAGGGCCTTGGAACTCGTGGGCTTCGATCCGTGCAGTAGTGGCTGTGGGGGATAAATGAGAGCAGATATGAAATTATTTCATAGCAATTCGAGCAGGCAGTGCTCGGTGCAATGAAGATCTTGTTCAAACGCGACTTAGTCTGGCCCCTGGCTTGGCCCCCAGAATCAGCCCCCAAATCAGCCCCCAATTTAACTTGGCGTCCAAAGACGCAAGATCAGGTCTACCCAATCTTCATAGGTTATGGAAAATGATGGGTGGGGCTCGGTTTTGTTCCCGGATGCTTGATTTGCACATCTCCGCTGTTGACTCTGTATAGTTGCTCCATTCAGATGTTGAGATCACGGTTCTCTGCAACTGCAGAGTAAACACGGAGTACGAAATACCCCAGGTGCCGCATTATACGGGGAATCGTTAGTAATGCGACTGTCAGTACCGTGTGTTCTGGAAGTGTGCTAGAAGCAAGAAACGGCTATTTAGGGCTGAAAGTGGCATACTACTCCTACTCCGCGTCGAAGAACAATACACATCAGATTCCCGAAATCAAATGAAACAGCCACAAGAAGCATTCGTTCCGAATTCTTCTGGGAAATATGTGAATGTGCTTCAATGAACTTCTCGTTTCGCCATTCTTAAGCTCCCTATCGTCTCTCGTCAACAGGAGCCATGTTTCCTCAATACCGGAGTGAATCAGAAAAGATCCTGGAATCACTTTCTACTTCAGCCTTCAAATCCACGTACAGTCGATACGATCTGCCCCCTTCTTTGGCTGTGCTGCTCGTTTGGTGGTTTTCACATTACACTTGATGGTCGTTTCCCACTGCTCTACGCCCTCCTTTGGCTTCATGATATTCCAATGAAGTGTCCAGGTTGATCGAGAGAAAAGACATGTCCCATTCGCCGAAGTCATGTATATTCTAATTAGGTATTTGATACAGAAATGTTGATGAGCCTCCCATATGTACCCGGGAATACCAGTCCCTACCCCCAATATCAAGACACAAAGAACCTCATCCCTCATGGGGAAGGTTCCTGGGGCAAGTTATTTTGAGCTTTGGCATGTCGGGTACCGAAAATCGCTGAAGGAACAATGATAACAACAAGTACAACAATAACCCCAATGACCGAGCCCGCAATAATCCACTGTCGTCGATTTGATGTCCGGCGCTTGACTGTCCCTGACACAGAATCCGACTCAATGTCTCGCTTTCCGTCCACGGTAGACTGCCGTCCGCTCTCATCTGCCTGACTGTCAATGCCAGCTTCGGCCTGCTTGTGGGTCTGCTTGTCGTCGACGAATTGGTTCAACTCGAGATTGCACTGTCGATCGCTGAACTCAAGTTTACAGTCCTTGTCACTGACTTCTAGTGTACAGTCGTCTCTGGGGGCATTCTCGATTGTTGCTGGTCGACGGGGGGGTGGAGCTGCGGTTTCTTTGAATGTGCCTGAGTCTGGAAGGGTCGTGGATCGTTGGTGATGAGGCTTGTATGTTTCGGATGACATTTTGATGTGATTTCTTTTTGGTATGCAGTCTCTCTGTTTTGCCCAGGTGGTTAGTAGGTGTTGGATCTATATATATCAAATCACACATACATCACTTGGGTGTATCAAGGAGCGTGGCAGCAATGGATTGATCCGGGATGAGAGTACGCAGTTTCTTCTATAAGGACCAAGGCAGAGAAAATGGATACCAAGCTCTTAATATGGAAAACTGAAGCCCAGAGAGCTTCCCCGGCCTAGGACGGAATCTAGTGCCCCCTTGTGCAGACCGACTTGGCTGTGAGCCCATAGGCTTAGATCATATGCTAGAGAGTTTGACTATTGGAATTTCTGCATTGACATCAGCTGTCCCTTGATTGTGATTGCCGTGTGCAGCGCTAGTCTATTTCATCGAAAATTAAGTTGATGTATCAGATGTTCCCCAAATTGGGTTTGGCAAGGAGAAGAAACCCCATTGAGGATCTCGGGGGAGCATGGATGCATTTTCTGTACCCTGTAGAATGGTCATACCATCATCTCGTGGACCTATAGTACCTGGTAATGTCATGGTTGCGGTCTACGGGTAGGGGTCAACTTGAAAGTCAGCGCAGCTCTACAACGCGATATATACATTTGTAAGCTCAAGGTATCGAGTTTAGTTCAAACAAATCCACCAGCTGGGCAGATGGTTGCTGTGCCTTTATGCAAAGGGGGCGTTTATTGACAGGGTTAGCCCGATGCGTCAATATATAACCCTGGAACAAGTTTCTGGGGAAATACTTGAAATTGCTCTCGAACCTTGCAAGAAGCTTGAACTCAAGCGAGCTAATTCGGAACCGTTTCATGATAAATTTGGCCTGGAAACAAGCCCAGAATTCAGACAACAAACTACATACTCTTCCCCTTCCTCTTTTTCGGATTATTGACCCAATTTGACTTACATCGCTGCTTGGGCTGTTCAAGAGCAGTCTGGAATCAATTATGTCGAAACATGACCGAAGTCATCAACACGCAAGAGTAACAAGCACTGGAACCAGTAACAGAGTTATAGAAAGGTATCAGAATCTTTTATACAGAGGCTATGTCACATGCGCAAGCATCCAAAGACGGGATGCGAAAATAAACAGAAGACAAAAACTCCCGACAAGGAAAACAAAAACAGAGAAGATGACCTTATGCAAGCAACATTATCTAGTCCTTTTTGACATCCTTGTTGGACACCTTCAGCTTGGAGATCGCATCTTCCAGAGCCTCAACACCATTCTTCCGGAACTGCGTAACCTTCTTGACATTCAACTTGGTCAGTTGATGCACGAGATCCAGGCCCAGCTCACGCTCACGCGCAACTGTGCGTGCAGTCATTGCAAAGCGCATGTCCTTTGGCCCATCGACCAGCTCGAGAATGGCGGTGGGAGCTTTCACTTGCGGCTTGCGTTCGGGGGTGGCCATTTTGTCGCCTTTGTTGACGGAGAAGTATTCGGTCTTCTCGCGGGGCTCGACACGCAAAACTCGTGTGTAGCCGCCTGGTCGGTCCGCGTAGCGCTCGCGGAGGGGTCCGAAAACCTTGGGAAGCATCTTGTGCGGTGTCTGAGGATGTGTTAGTACCGGTGCCTTTTCTTTGCTGAAATACCCAGGCAGAAGAGATTGATGGTCAAGTCTGTCCGTCATCGAAAAGTAGAATTGGTACAGTTCCAATCCGTGACCGAACCGAGTCTCATCTTTCGGGCTGGATTTGATGGGGGATGCAGATATCCAAACGTACGTAGAAAATCTCCAATGCACGCCTCCGGCTCGCCTCGGTGTTCTTCTTTCCCAGAGTGATCAGCTTTTCAGCCAAACGCTGAGCCTCTTTGGCCTTGGGCCATGTTGTTGTGATTGACTCGTGCTCAAAGAGGGAGGTGACGAGGTTTCGGAGCAGGGCCTGTCGATGCGCAGAGTCGCGACTCAAGTGACGGTATCTGCTGCCACCGCCAGCCATTGTGAGAGTTATGCGAGTGAAGAGATGGAACACAAAGAAATTAGAGTACTGAAACAGAGTGGAAGCCCAAGCGTAGTGATGTCCAAAGGCGTAGTTGGAAGGAGATTCGGTCCAGAAGAATTGTCCCGGACTCGTAGCCAATCGGAGCCCTTCCGCCACTCGTCCGACTTCGGTTTTCCGCGTTCCTAGCACTTGACCTGCGACTTTTCGTTTTTTGATTCCTTTGATTCTCTTGATTCATTGTGAAAGGCCGTGTCTGAATCACAAACATCAATATTCACCATTCATAATACCATTCTGTGAGCTGTACTTGCATTCGGACCTGGCAACTACGGCAACCACTATCGAGCTCCCGCAACAAACATGGGCTTCTTCACTGGCTTCGTATGAGACCCCCAATGCCTAAAAGCAGTCAATCGCTAACAGCGTGACTATGACAGCTCGGTGGATTCGCCTTCACATCATCCGTTCTCTACGTTACCGTCCACGTCCACCGCTCAACACGCATAGCGCAGCGCCAAGCTATTCGTGAGCAAGTTGACCAAATAGACTGGCTAGTCTCTTCTTCCGGTGCATATGATCGTCGCAATCTCCCAGTGGACATTCCGCGGCGCCGACGTGAAGAGCTAGAGGCCCAGAAACACGCGGAACCGACCATGAAGGAGATATTAAAGCACAGGTGGAACACAGAAGTCGAGACCCTGACAAGGAAGGCTTATGAAACAAGGTGGCAGGATATTAGGGATACTGCCGCCGATGGTTGGAAGGCCGCCTCGCAGATCATAAAGCGCGAATAAGCTGCCTCTCTTCCGGAACGATCAATGAGGGAGACTTGGCGTACATACATTATCATGTCTGTTTTTTTATTGGATTTTGGGCAGCGGAGTTTGGATACCCCCCTCTTTTTTTTACTGAACTTCTTCATATATTACATACATTAGTGTGGTTGGATTCTGCCGAAGTGATGTCAAGGCGCCCAGCGCCCTTCTCGGATGGGATGTAAGATATTAATGCGGAGTAGACGGTGTAAGCCTCGGTAGTGCCTAAACATGGCACAGTGCTAGAAATGAGTGCGCCGCTGAATGGTGGTGGTGAAGACGAATAGAATGAGCAATTCAGGCAATCAATGAGTCGAAGAAGGCGCAGTTGTCGTGACACTCTCGGAATCGCTCCAAATATCTTTGCTCTCTCGTTCGACAGTACGCATGGCTTGGGCGACTTCTTCCAGCTTAGCAACGACATCCAAAACACCCTGGTTTACGCGATCGAAGTACCGATCATTAGCCTCGCGGCGTTTGCGAGCAAGACGGATATCTTTCTCCGTCTCCTCGTCCAGCGTATGATGGGATACCGAGCCGCGTCCAGCGCTGGTTTCAGTGGCAGCATCATCTTTGATATTGGTTTCACCTCGTCTGGTTGAGTTGGCTTTGGCACTGGCGGCATCGGGACCAGTATGGCTTGGGTCCACGACTTCATCATCTGCCTCGCTGCGTGCCCAGGCCTGAGCAAGCTTCAGTTGCTTTGAGCGCAAATCCTCCAATGCTTCAGAGTGCTTCTCGCCAAAGACATTTTCACTTGTGACGGCACTGAGTTCGACCTCCGATAAGGCGCTTTGCATCTCTTGCCAAATGGCATCGGATCCATCTGGATCATTCTTGGATTGCCGGCGAGAGACAAAAGGTGACAGCAGGCTTGATTTCTCGACATTTTCCCCCTCTTCTCCACGGGGTGTTCGATTCCGATGGAGAGGTGGGGGTTGGCTTCCAGAGGGAGTTGCCAAGGCTGAAGATGCGGGTGGTACGGAAAGTGAGATATTAGATGCATTATGTGAAGGTGGGCCTTGAAAGAGGGCCGGGGGAGGCAAACGTTGGGGATTCGTTGGTTTCCTGGATAAGTCCATCTCCAAGGCGATACACAGAAAGTGAATGATGTATGAGACAAACGCGGAGTATGGAGAGCGCGGAGCACGGAGTACTTGCAGGGCTCTGGAGCGATAACCGATAATGTTATCTTATCTAGATGATAACAGTCACCTGATATGCTGCATGCCAAGATTTTACGAGCCCTAGCCCTACCTTCTGTAAATGGAATTTCGGGGCTAAGCGAGTGACTAATCAAGCGGCCTCACTGAACCCCGAATGCTAGCACTGTGGTATGGAAATCGGAAATCTTCGACTTTTCGACAATCGACCCTACGCCCACTTGGCCGACAACACCCTCCCAGTCGGTACGTATTCGATACTCTCCCCTTCACGATCGCTGCATTGTCTATTCCTGTCGAACATCTATCGCTTTTGGGACCACGAACTTGGTCAACGATCGCAATCTGCACACCAAAATTCGATATTCAATTCTCGATCACCCTCGACTGGACAACACACACACACACACAATCAGCTTTTCGGCCTTGATTTCGACAAGAGACTAACATTTTTCTGTCTGCTCAGTTGACCGTCGAACATAAATCGCCAACATGGGTAAAGGACAACCCCGTGGTTTGAACGCCGCCCGCAAGCTCCAGTCGCACCGCAAGGATCAGCGCTGGGCTGACGACCACTTCAAGAAGCGTCTCCTCGGAACCGCCTACAAGTCATCTCCCTTCGGTGGTGCTTCCCACGCCAAGGGTATCGTTCTCGAGAAGGTCGGTGTTGAGGCCAAGCAGCCCAACTCCGCCATTCGCAAGTGTGTCAAGGTCCAGCTCATCAAGAACGGCAAGAAGGTCGCTGCTTTCGGTGGGTAACCCCAATCCCTATTACAACTGTGCTGGAGATGGTCTACACTAGTGGAATATCACGACGAGATGGAAACCGCCACACAGTGCTTGAAGTGCATTTGCTGACGAGCGATCTCTTACAGTCCCCAATGACGGTTGCTTGAACTTCATCGATGAGAACGACGAGGTCCTGCTCGCCGGTTTCGGTCGCAAGGGTAAGGCCAAGGGTGATATTCCCGGTGTCCGTTTCAAGGTCGTCAAGGTCTCCGGTGTCGGTCTCGCCGCCCTCTGGAAGGAGAAGAAGGAGAAGCCCCGCTCTTAAACAACTCAACGCGTTCTGTTGTTTCGAAATCAAAATGCAGCGACCGGGAGACTTGGGAGTGTTGAACGGCGCCGGACGGAAAGCCCGCCTCATCAGCGCCTGATTTCACGAGATCTTTTTTCTTTTTGGGGAGTCCCCCGGCGGGCTTTCGTCTGGAACGTGATCGATACGCTTACTTGCGAATTAAACACGATTTGATACAAATTCCAAAAGATTTATGGCGCCATGATTCTCTAATTCTGTGTTTGGTCTTTGACCTTGTATTACCACTTGCTTCCCAGCACTCTGTCAGGGTGTCAGTAGGCCATAAACTACTTGTTTTGTCTATCGTCTATCTGGCTTGGTGTTTACAAATCACGATCCCAAACCTACCTTACTCCTATATTTGTGTAGTTTCTGTCGCTCCAGGCCTGTATGCGGCTACGTCGGTGTCCAGTTGGCGGCGTATGCGCTTGGATTCCTTGAGATTGCAGCTCCTGAGATACGCACCAAGGTGGGGTCTCTTCCTGGCAGGCCACCCAATTTAATATGTCCCGATCATGCAGGCGTGGTGATCTACTGTGGAGAACTAACTTGAGCACCAACCTTCCACCTGGGCAAGAGTCTACAACGGCACTGGGATTTACCAATATGATTCCATTGGTACTGTTGATGTCTATGTTTTCCCTCCGTCCTCCAAGAGCAAGTATCTTGAACCCATGACTCCCGCGCGCATCAATCGTCAACATAATTCCTCGGGTATCGTTGTGAATGTCCTTCGATGATCTCATTGGACAATTTTCGTGAACTATGTACCACAACTGCCTAAGTAACACCCTAGAAGCTGATGTCCTCCTTTCGGTAGTGGTCTGAGACAATACGGTAAAGGTATGAAGGCGCATGGCCACCACTGAAATAAAGGTTAGCATTTTCGATTAAACATTCAGGGTGGAATATGCGATGAAACTCACAGGTTTGTGATGTAAAGGTCAACAAGTTCGGCCGGAACATAGTCATAGATGGGGTTTTGAACATCGATCTGGTCAACAAGGTCGCCGTCCTCGTACGCCAGAACCTTGCTGGGATCACCGTACTCAATGAGAGAGTCGAAGTCGAAGGGGTAGACCGGGCTGAGCTTGTAAACACCGCTCACAACCACGACGGGAGTCTGGTGGACCTTGGCGGCACGCGCAATGATACGAGTGCCGGCGGCAGCCACAAGGCCACCGTTGGCGAGAACAGAGTGTGTACCAAGGATGACCTTGTTGACTCGGGACATCATTGCAAATACTGCAGAGTCTGGGATGAGAATGACGGTGATGCCGTGCTCAATTAGTGGTTTTTGGAAGGCCTCTACACCCATGTTCTCATCCTCGTTCTTTGCAGCGCCACTAACAGTGGCGTGTACTGCATCATGGTTGTTGGGGAATGATTCAGCATGAATGACAGTGAACTTGCGCTTGGCAGCGGCTTTGAGTAGGAACTTTTGCACGGTTGTCGAGGATGTGTGGGTGAGGATGATTTCGTTAGAGTGGATGTGGTCCAGAGCATACGCAGCAATTTGGTCGTCGACCTGACCGAGCTCGTCAATGATCTCTTTGATACCTTCAATAACCTCGGATCGTACGTCCTTGGTGGAACCATGGGAGAAGAGACGTCCGCCTGGGGACTGAGATCCTGGTGTGCTGGGAAGGGAGTTCTCGGGTTCGGGCTGGGAGAGAAGGCTGAACATAGAGGTCAGAGGAGGACGAGGGGTCCTATCATCACGGAGCGAGGGAGAATCGCGGTCCAAGGGCAAAGAAGGATCTAAGAAATTGTGAGTCACCGCTGTGAATGTTGTTAAAAAAGTGCGACTAACCATCATATGCCCGGGGTGTTTGAGGCTGACTCTCTGAGCCAACTTCGCTAAGAGAGAACTCCGCTTCGCGATCATCTTCGGCCTCGTCGCGAATGAGACCGAGGACTCGACGCACAATGTTGCCCACAACCATCTCCCGCGGTTGAGCGGCCATCAGCCGTCTTCCCACATTCTGAACTCGCTCAATGAGTTTCGCCGAATCATTCGTACGGCATGATGTAATGACACCGCGAAGCAGACAGGCGGTTGCTGTAGCGCATGAGCGCGAATGGCGGATTTGGCGTCTCTTGAGCAATCTGCATAAATTGTACTAGTTTAGCAACCTGACCCGCGGGGTAGTCTTTTTTTTTTCTCGGCTGGCCGAAGAGACGTACGAAATCAAAGTCTCAATAGAAGTATCAATCGGATTTGTTTTGAGACATTGGAGGAATGACCCCAGGCCCGGTGTCAGGGCTAACGAGGTAGACGGCATGAGGAAGTGGGATGTAAGAAATCTGCGCGGTATCAGTAAGATTCTTAACTCGACGAAAGACCTGCGGGACTCAATATGCGACATTCATACCTATTCCAAGTAACACTCGAGAGGTTGTAAGAAGGAAGTCAAAGGATCACCGGAGCCAAAGTGGGAGAGCGACAAAGAACTGATGATTTTCTGCCGTTCGAACTTGTCCGCTTCCCCACACTCGGGGATCCTTCTCGTTCGGCCTTCTTTTTGGGAGCTCGGTTTGCTTTGAGTTGCGCAGTCCTTTTGTTTCATCGTTCTTATTTCCAGACCTCATCTCCTGACTCGACTTGACATTTAATCCGCGGTACATCTTGGTTTACATCCGCGGAACTACTTCCGAGGCAACGGGCGACTGGCGCATCGAGGTTAGAACACCAACTCCTTGCGATCCCCCCCCTCTTCCCCCAAACCAGTTACCCTCACATTGACTTATGGACCGCTCCAAGTGGCTTTGATGATTCGCTCACGATCCAACTATTAATAGATCGCCATCTTCCGGGTCTTGAGGGAAGATGAACTCGCTGAATATCCTGTCCTCGCGAGTCATTGGCCAACCTTCCAGCTCATCACGACCACGATCGCAATCCCAAGGCGACAACAAGCGCATACCGCTACCAGCCGACTTTTCAAAATACCGGTCCTATAGCGAAGACAACTTCCGCTCTCTTGATGCCACCGAGCACAACTATGATGGTCCACCCGCCGGTGAAGACGGAGAGGAAGATACAATATACGGCTCGGATGAGAAAACACCGTTGATCCATGAAAGCTACAAGAATGGCACACTTACTGCCCAAAGCACTTGGCGGTTAATTACCAAACGGTTCTTCGATGCGATTACCGAGACCATCAAATTCATTCTGTCTACAATCGCTGCCCCCGGCGTGTACCTGGCCCAATGCTTTCAAGCCGAGGAGGGCCATTATTCATTCCTTGAGCCCATCCGAAAATTACGGCGCTCCTCTGCCGACCCAACGACCCGGTCGGATAAAGGGGCTACCCGGGTAGAAGGTCGGCGTCGCAGTGGCTCCACCCGGAAGCTCCGACCCCAAATATCCAATGAATCTATCGCATCAACGACATCGGAATCCGACACAGATCGACGGAAAAACTTCTCAGGCGGGAAACATCGGCACACCAAGTCGAGAAGTCATGATCCAGATCCAATCCCAGAAGCGGACGAGTACGAAAATACGCCCCGTCGGTCCATTCGCATCAAGCTCCATAATGAAGAGTCCCTCAAACGGCAACGACAACGAAGATCTCAAAGTGCAGACTTAGGTCCACCCATGCCCGAGGGAGTTTCTCGGGTCCAGGGCGCTGTGCAGCTGGACAGCTTGAAGTCTCCTACCTCACCCAACATTCATCGCATAACCAAATACCCTCACTTTCCAACTCCCCCGCGTCCACTTCTCCCCCAACGAGTCCCTTCATACACTGCAGCTCCTCGAAATGCCAGACCTCCCCAGAAGACCTTGGTTCTGGACCTCGATGAAACTTTAATCCATTCGCTCGCCAAAGGCGGTCGAATGTCCAGTGGGCACATGGTCGAGGTGAAGCTTTCAATGCCCACAACGACTGCATTGTCCCCCGGCGGACCGCAGACGACCTTGGGGCCGCAGCATCCCATTTTGTACTATGTCCATAAAAGGCCACACTGTGATGAGTTCCTTCGCAAAATCAGCAAGTGGTACAAGCTCGTCATTTTCACGGCTAGTGTCCAAGAGTACGCCGACCCTGTCATCGACTGGCTCGAACAGGAACGCAAATACTTCGCTGGTCGCTTATACAGACAGCATTGTACGTTTCGCAATGGCGCGTACATCAAAGACCTTAGCTCTGTGGAGCCGGATTTGAGCAAAGTAATGATTTTGGACAACAGCCCAATGAGCTACATCTTCCATGAAGGTAATAAGTACCCGCGTCTCCTTTGAAGACCTGGACTAACGGCAATCATCAGATAATGCAATTCCGATCGAGGGGTGGATTAATGACCCCACCGACAACGGTCTCATCCACCTGATCCCCATGTTCGAGGCTTTGCAGTATGTCACAGATGTCCGGGCTTTCCTCGCCCTTCGTCGTGGTGAGATTGAGGCATAATTGTCTGCATTTGTGTCCCACGCGCTTGTAGATGTGTAATGGTCTGGTGTTATTCTAGAAGCGAGGTCCACTTCAGCATGAAAAGTAGAGAGAAGAAAAGAAGAAAAACCAGAGAAAAAAAAAAGGCCTCCCCGGCGCAAATGGGGATTGAGGACCAATCAACGGGATCATGCATGTGCAATTATTCATAATGCCAATTGGCGTCTTGCTCTGTTATTAGGAATCGAATGAATCCGTACATATGACTTAATTCAGACGGTGCGAAATGGATTGGGAGTCGTTGCAACGGCTGGAAAAGCTCCAGGCCAAAACGAAAGTTGGACAATACGTGAAGCAAGTATCTGGTGATCATGATCAAGTTTCGCATTGCTCAAAGCTTGCCGTTATGCCCCAGGTAGCCTTGCGGAAGAGCAACTGCAGCCCTTTTTCCAAGGTCGACCCCTAACTGTCAACGAGAACCGCCATAACCTTCCCTCCCAAGGACGCGGTAGTGTTGACGGCATGCTCTGTTTCCCCTCCGGTTGTGACATAAAGAACATGGCGATCACTTTGTGTCCTCCCCAAAGCCGCCGCGGTCACAGACATCAACTCCCTCGAATTTTTCGAGCCTGCAACCACCTCATGAGACCCATCAGGGTAAACCTTGATGATCTCATTGTTTGTCGGACTAGCCAGGTATTCAATGCCCCATGAGTCAACCGCAAAGTCATCAGCAAGTGTATCATGACTGATGATTTCATAAGGCCCCAAAGCTCGACCAGTACGTGTATCGATTCTAACACGGCAGAAAATCTGCTTTGGACTATTGCTGTAGTACATGTAGTCGTGCAGGATTTTCAGACCATTGACACCGATCAAAATGCCCAAGTCAGAATTCGCTTCCATGGTCTCATGTCGGTGCAGGATGCTATAATTCCCAGATTGGATGTTGAGATACCACACGAGACCCAGTTCGGAATCCGAGATGACAACCGCATTGCCCTCGTCGAGTGCAGCCACTCCATTCAGGAACCCAGCAGATATTATATCTGCGATTCGAACTGGCGGGGGAATATGTGCATGCTGGCTCAGGTCAATCCTCCAGACGGAATTGGAGACAATGACTGCATAGGTGTCTGGTGCAAGTTCGGCAATTCCACCCACGGTTGCGGCTTCGAAGCGATGAACGAGGTCGGGAGAGCTGTGGGTAGTGTCAGTTGACGGCTTGATCTCCCAGAGACTTGATGTTGTTGCATCTGCGATAAGAAGGTTGCCGTTAGGCCGCACTGCGATGTTTTCGAGCCAAGTTCCGTTTGGGAACCTATATAGCTCACGAGTATTGGGAAAGTGAACGGACCCCAGAGCAGGCAGAATCTGGAGCAGAAAGATCAGAAATCTCACAAAAGCTGCCATACTAAGTAGTCACTAGTGGCTGTCGTAGGTCTGACCTGCAAAAATACCAGTATAGGTAGCTCTAGAGCAGACTAGTATTCCATTGTTATCCCAGAATTGCAAGCAAGACAACATTAGAAATAGCATAGCTTTGTACGACAGTGAACTGAGTCAGATGACGTTGCTTTTTGGCAGTCATGGTCTCTTGACAACGGTTATCCATGTCCTTCGGGTCCCCGGAAGTCGGAAATTTCTTAAGTACATGTTGGGGACTGGCGCAAAGTTCGGCGACTGGTTTCAATACTAGTTGTGTTATGCTTGTTGAGACCACATGATATTGATCCGACTAAATATTAGACGTATTGTGTAGTTCTAAGGTCAAGGAATATGTACATGTAAATGTGATCAGTCTAACCAGGGTAACGTACCTTTCCGTTCCCCGGCAAAAGCGACAAACGATCGATTTCCACAAGCGGTGAGCAAAAGAGTGCATATGCTAGGGTTAACTTCGGTTAAATATTCAGCAGGATCGACACATCGAAAAATTGGACAGAGATGTTGCAGGTATGTTTGATTACGCTCGGACTTAGAGCAATTTACGGAGTTATGCGCTTTGCTTACCTCCAGTGGGGAGATCCAGGTGGATCAAGAAAAGAAAGCAATGTGATTGGCCAGAGTCGATCACAGCCGCCAATGGCTGAACGTTAAAACAGGCGCCGAGATCCGCTCTCACGCTAAAAACGACCTCTTGGCCATGACGTGCAATAAGCAGCTCGCATGAGTTAGGCGATGATAGATACATACATTGGCACAGATGCCGAGAATCGGCAACCTTGGCATTTAAGGCTGCAGTCTTGAGAGTTAAGCAATGGAGAAACGAAGCGAATCAAGTGCTCAACTTGTTGAAGCTTACAGGTTGCGCGCCACCTCTAGATGACATCAAGACTATAAACAATGGGGTTCGATAAGCGACATGTCTAGATCGAGTGTGTATTTCTTGCTGTATCCATGGACAATGCGGGATGCCGAGTCCTATTTTCTTATCGCCGGCTTGGCGACGCCGGTTCTGTAAGGTTACATTTCCTAGTTGGGAATGAATTCTACAGCTTACGGATCTGAGAATCTCGGCAATGGATTTAAATCTTGGCCATCGGCACATTTAAGAAAAACTGTTCTCCTTTCCCCGGTAACTAATTGTTAATCGTCAGTAACACCGCATATAGCGAAAATGCCAGCTCGCAGGTCAATATCCGAATATCAGCGACAAGCTGGAAAGCAACCCTTGCGATTTACTGCAAATGGCACATTTCAAATATCCGTATTTAGCGACCTTCATTTTGCGGAAGGTATGAACCTTGGAATACAGATATTCATATCCAAGCCAAAACCAAGTCCTGACAAGATTTATAGATGACGAAAATGACAAAAAGACACAACGAGTAATGGACAACGTCCTCTCTTCCGAAGAGGTGCAACTGGTTGTACTTAATGGCGATCTGATTTCTGGTGAGGCGACACACGCCTCGAACTCTAGCACCTATCTTGACCGGGTTGTTGCACCGCTCGTTGATCACGACATACCATGGGCATCCACTTACGGCAATCATGATAGCGAGGTCAATCTGGACCCCGAAGAGACGTTCCACCGAGAAAAGAACTACACGAACAGTTTGACCCAAAAGATGGTTTCTGGGCCTACTTCCGGCATCACAAATTATTACCTCCCGATCTTCAGACATGATGCTTCGAACAACACAGACCCGGCGTTTATCTTGTGGTTCTTTGATAGCCAAGGTGGCCACTATCCCAAAACAGCAAGCGATAATGGAACTGTTGTTCCAAGACAGGACTGGGTGGATGAGTCGGTAAGTATCATCCATTCAACGAATGGCTAGCATGCTTTTCTACCTTGAACGATGTATACTAACCGACTCGGAACAGGTTGTGAAATGGTTCACGAAAACGAACTCAAAGCTACTCTCGACTTATGGCAAGCCCATTCCATCTTTGGCATTTGTCCATATTCCAGTTTATGCAATGCGCGCATTCCAGGTCACAGGAGTCAGCCCTACCAGCGAACCAGGCATCAACAACGAACGAGTGCAACAACAGGGCTACGCTAGTGAGGGTGGATATGAGGCACAAGATTACCCATTGATACGAGCGCTTCTGAACACTAGCGGCCTTGTGGCGACTTTCAGCGGTCACGATCATGACAATGACTGGTAATTTTGCAACTTTTCCTAGCCCTATACGATGACCAGGCTAACCCACACTCATAGGTGTTTCAAATGGGATAGCAAACTGCCGGAGCTTAATTTCACAGGAAACGGTATCAACATGTGCTATGGGAGGCATTCTGGATATGGAGGGTATGGCGATTGGGCGCGTGGTGGAAGGCAGATCATGTTGGATCAGCAGTCATTGGCAACTGATATGCAGAGCTGGGTTCGGATGGAAGATGGATCTATCTCGGGTAATGTTCATTTGAATTCGACGTACGGGCAGGACCGGTATCGATTGGTGGAAAGGAGTACAAGTGGACAGACGAACGTTGCTCCTCAATACTCGAGTCTTGTCTATCTGTGGGTATTTGTATTTTCCCTGCTCATGCAGAGATTAGGGCTATGAATGGGATGCATTTGGTATAGAATTTTGAGCTCAAACGATAGTATGTAGTAACCATGCACAGCTGTGCAAGTATTCCGTAAGCAATGAACAATGCCAATGTACTCCGTACTCGTGCTAACCACAACTGTATGCAGTTCTCGAACCATTCCGAAAATAAAGAAGCAACCATTGACAGCCATGTGGGGCACTGTCGGGACTTCGGGGCGGAACATTGATGAATAACGGGATTGTACCTGCGTTAGTCGTCGATATTGAGGCTGTCAGTTTTATGAAACCTATCGTATACTCGTACCGTCAATTTCGTAGATGGTGATCTGACACAGGTGGTTTCAATCAGGCAGCGGAAGTGTGAGGACTGATACAGCTTCAATATTCCCCCAGAGGCGATGAAAATTGGTGTCATCGCAGGAATCAGGCGCCTGATATCGACGTGTTCGATCATTCGTACTCGTACTTTGTGCAGCAGATTGGAACAGCAGAATTCAACCCCTTTTTCAGTGGAGCGACACAGCCCTCGAGGGTCGAGTGAACGATCGTCCAAAAGGGCAACAAGGGTTTTCCCGCTCTGACGTCAGCGGCCCCTGGATTGGACCCACTCGATCCATGGTTGAGTTGCCCAATGCGGAAATCCAAAGGCGGAAAGAGCGAAGAATCAGAACAGGAAGGAACGATATATGGAGTGATGGATGGGAAAGAGAGAGAATGGAGTTGTAGTAGGAAGTTATCATTGAGTTTTGAATTTCCAAAGTAAATCGTGAAACAGGGCCCAATCTGCGCACAAGGCTGTTCCACAGGATCAAGCAACGTTGGACACGCGTTTCAGGGCTTGGCATCGATGTGCTCGAAAAGTGGATATCGGATCCCTTTGGACCCTTTGAAAGCAGAAAGTCTTGCCAAGTTGAAACCATCAAATGACGGTTGAATTAGCCTCAAATAAACAATATCTTCACCCTGGCCGGTTGATAATTCCTCGCAGACAATATGTTTGCATCGGATCATGTGGCGAACATATGATACATACGAGTAGATCTAGAGGGGATCGTCGTTGGCCCAAAGTCAACCAGAAGCTTGCAATTTCTGTGCCCCCCACAGAAAAGTGGAGGAAGCCCTGAAACTATCTTTAATTAGGAACTTTGAACGGGCTGGCTCATACATCATCGCCGCTCGCTTCCCCAACCCCCAATCTTGACATCTCACCCCATCTCTGCGACTTCGTTTCCATCCCTTCGAATCACATATCGATGATTGATCCGAGTCGTCATGCAATTATCTGGCACATGGTCTATCCTTAATGGGTTGATCGCAACATTATGTCTGTCAAGGTTAGCGCTTGCGATCGAACTAGACATTAATGATAAAGGTATGTCGCATTCTTCGTGATAAGATCCCATGTGAGACGGGAATTAACATGGCCAATAGATTCAATTAAAAAGGCCGCCAGTACGAGTACTTACTCGATGATGGGATGGTATGCCGGCAATGAAACTGGACAAATCCCTGGCTCTTTCCCAACCAAATGGTGGGAAGGGTCTGCGTTATTCCTCGCCCTGCTTCAATACCAGCAATTCACCGGTGACGATCAGTACAACGATGCGCTGAGCCAAGGCCTACAGTGGCAGTCCGGTGATGATGGAAATTACATGCCCACCAACTACAGTAGCTACCTGGTAAGTGAAGATCGCATTGAACCTACTCACAGCAAATAGCATTCTAATCGTCATTCGAATCGATAGGGAAATGACGATCAGATGTTCTGGGGCCTTGCGGCCATGATGGCCGCCGAAATGAAATTCCCCGATGTCAAAGGCGGATTCTCGTGGCTTTCGCTTGCCCAGGGAGTGTTCAACACCCAGACTGCTCGATGGGACACAACGAAATGTGGTGGTGGTCTTCGCTGGCAGCTGTTCCCTTACCAGAATGGTTACTCCATGAAAAACTCCATCTCGAATGGAGGTTTGTTCCAACTGGCGGCACGTCTTGCCCGATACACCGACGACGATAAATACACAAAGTGGGCGGAGAAGATTTGGGACTGGTCTACGTCTTCTGTGCTGGTCAACAACAAGACGTGGAACGTGGCAGACTCAACGAACATGGATAACAACTGCGCTGATGCTGGTAATTATCAATGGACATACAACTACGGCACATACATGATGGGCGCTGCCTACATGTACAACTATGTGAGTGAGACCTGCGCTGGCGCGCGATCATTTCATCCGCAGTATGCTCACAATCCATATAGACCAGCGACGAAAAGTGGAAGACTCCTGTAGATGGGCTCCTGAAGAAGTCATTCAGCACCTTTTTCCCGCACGACAACGTCATGGAGGATATCACTTGCGAGCCGAAGGGAATTTGCAACTTCAACGAAATTCTCTTTAAGGGTCTCGTTTCATCTTGGCTTGCTTTCACCAGTATCCTCGTACCGGACACAGCCGATTTAATCAGGCCCAAACTACAAGCCTCTGCTCAAGCTGCGGCGCAGGGCTGTACCGGAAATAACAACCAGACTTGCGGTATCAAATGGTACACAAACAAATGGGATGGAACGACAGGAATGGAGCAAGAGATCAGTGCGACCAATGTCTTCCTTGCAAACCTGGTGCAATTTGGTGGCATTGATGGTCCCGTTACTGCCAACACCGGTGGAGACAGCAAGAGTGACCCCAACGCCGGCAGTGACGGTCAAAGCTCCGACAAGAACAAGGAGAAGCCCATTACCAACGGTGACAAGGCTGGTGCTGGTATTTTGACCACCATCTTTGTTGTAGGCTGGGCCGGGTCCATGGCTTGGTTGCTCACTGGCGCTTGATTCAGTATACCATCTTCTTTGTGATCATTTCTTCGGTTTTGGGAGGATTGGAGTTCTTTGGGGACTCGTTTAAGGCTGCAAATATTATACCATAAATCATCTCTCTTCATGAATATGCTCTTAACCTCGAATTTTTACGGAGGAAAAGTTTGTCTCGGTGCGGAGGCCACCTGTGTATCCCTGGGCAGGGATATCTATGGGTACAAAACTTCATTTGTATGGAAAAATTGAGGGTATTTCAAGTTTTGAATAAGGCTAGAGTAGAGAGTACAGAGAGAAACCAGGAGCTAAGCAGCCTCAAAAGCATCAAAATACTGTTTGACACCACGATCCAAAATCTTGACACCAACCGGCTTGACAAAGTACTCCTCAGCCCCAGCAGCTTCAGCAGCCTTTCTATCTGCCGGACTATCCTGGCCCGTGACCATGAATACGACAGACTCTCTCCATTTGTTTTCCTTTTCAAGTGATCGAATTCGCCGCGTAGCTTCGATGCCATCACACTTGGGCATTTGAAGGTCCATGATGATCAGTTGGATTGCGGCTCGCTCGACGCCGACAGGGGATGACTGGTGCTGGTTGAAGATTTCTACCGCTTGCAGCCCGTCAGTTGCACAGCAATATGGCAGCCCTCGCTTACTGCAGTACATTTGCAGAATGCGGAGATTCACAGCATTGTCATCGACGAGAAGGGCTGTTGGCCGAGGTGGGTTTGCCAATGGCGATGAGAGGGGAATGATGAGATTTGATTGTATGAGATGTTCTGTTTGTGAACGGTTCCTGAATGATACGGAAATTTTTGAACTTGAGGGCGAAGAATCCTTTGCGAGTGGTCCGGGTGACCAGTTTTTTGAGCGAAATGCATCGTTGACAGATACAACTGCTTCGTTGGGATTTGTATTTTCGTCCATTTGCTGTAGTGTGAGCGATTGCTCAAAAGATTGTGCGAGACATTGTGATGCGGATTTGAGATTTGGAACCAAGTCATCCGCTTGTTGCAGTGCTGAGGTTAATGTCGAATTCAAAAAGGGACCTTTTATGTAGATCAAGTTTTCTGGCGGGTCATCGAAACATGCAGAATTATACGAATGCGGCACCAGACAGACGATGACTTGATCTGAAGGAAATTGTGACAAGGACAGGCGGTGTTGTTCGGCATCAGGCACAAAATCAAGGATCGCGAAACAATCTTGCCGGGAATTCGAGTGGGTAAACTCATTAGAAGTAAGGTAGTCGGTGAAAAGGGCTGACAACGATGGACCATTTGCGTCCGATGTCAAATTATAGAAGTTGGAAGGGATGTTGTTGAAAACCGATGCAAGTGGCAGTGAGGGGAACATCATAGGAAAATGCTCGATCTCGTTAAATACAGCTCTGAAATGCGAACCTTGATCGATTTTCGAAGAAACGAGCTTCACAGATCCACGGAGAAGTGCTGCAAATTTCGATGAAAGAGTCAGGCCCAATCCAGCGCCGGTCGAATGTGCTCCAACTCTTTCGTATGGCTCGAAGATTCGTTCGTGGTGATCGGTGGGAATCCCACGGCCGGTGTCCACGATATCAATAGCAAGCTGCTTTTGTTCAGGGAGGACCGAAGTAGTTATCATCACAATCCCTCCAGGCGTGTTTTGAATCGCATTAATGATAAGCGGCGTTAAGCTGTCGCGAAGCAACTCGAGATCGATCCGAATTGTATCGCAATTAAGTGGTAGCTCGTGGCTAAAGAATATTGAAGACGTGTAACGTTTATCACCGGAGAATCCCTTAAGGATCTCGTTTGCTAGCCCGTTTTCGAGCTCAAATATTGTGTGTGTCGAGTGTTGCCGCTCTCTCATGGCAACGTCAGCCCATCGATTTAAGGTGATCATGCTGTTCACGATAGACACCAGGTCCCGACCAGCGGTTTTGATGATGTCAAGGTGAGCAGAAGGCCCGCGGTAGCTTGCTGTAGTCGACGCCACTGAATTCGATTCAGAACTTGAAGCTGTGTTCAAGCCTCCTAGTCCTAATTCCTCTGCCAGTAGTTCCACCGAACCAATGATGCCATGCAGCGGCGTCCTCAGCTGATGAGAAAACCCTCGTAGGAACTTCTCCTTCGTTTCCATGACCTCTGCCAGAATGTGCTTGTGCCACATTTTGGTGATCATACCCGCGCAAGTCTGGACAAACCAAGAATCAATATCGTCAAACACCAATTGAAATTTCTTGGTGGCGACTACAAGCAGAGATTGGCCTGATATGTTTTCGCATGGTGCAGACATGGCTCGCACTGCCTGGGTGGACGGGAAATCTTGATTGTTCGAGTTTTCGATGAAGTCGTCAATGTATTCAGTGTCTTCCCACAGCCCATGTTCGAATTCGGCGATTGGTATCGGGTTCCGCCCTTCTATTTGAATATGGGTCGTGCTCGAGGGTTGGATACTAATGATGGCGTCGGGGTACATGATATTCAAGATGCTGAGCACGGGCTTCTCAGAGATAGTCTCGTTGGTTTCATCCTGTGCCGTGGCGATGAGCTCAACCATGCGCTGGCGTTCATGTTGTCTCTTTGCTCTTGCACTTTTGACTATATCGGACACAATCCAGTCGGCCAGGCGAACGAGTGTCATTTGTTGCGATCTGGTCAACGGCTCCTGCTTCGTGCTAGATGCCACACAGAGTGACCCAAGATTAACACATTGCCCTGGTTTGTGTTGTAACCGAAGAGGCGCCCCAGCGTAGCCCCGAAGTCCACCTGATTCAAGGTATGGCGAGCCTTGGAATCTCCAGTCTTCCATCAGGTCTGGCAGTAGAAAGACACTCTGGCAATGTGATTTAGCAAGCGGTCACAAGAGATCGGGGATATTGAACTTACACTGGGAGGTTGGGTGACAGTATGAGCGCACAAAGTCTCACCGCGCGGAAGAATGCCAAGTTGGAGCCCGACGGTGGCCAAGCGAATATAATAATTCACATCTTGGATCCCGATGACGGCAAATTCCCATCCCGTGGACTCCTGGGCAAAGCTGGCCTTCTCTTGAAGCCCAGAAATGAATTCATCATCATCCAAAATGTCGCGGGTGTGATACCACAGCACCGACAGTCTGAGTCTTTCATTTTTGGCCAGCGACGGTCGAAGGTATTTATCGGTACAAGACTTGGGCTGTGGTGGAATTTCTGTCGGTGCGTAAGGCCCTTCTTTTGATGAATAGCAAGAAGCCTGCATTTCTGCACACCAAGGCTTGACCGGGAGATCGACATTCTGCGGATCATAGATAGGCCCGACAGCCTTCGGCCGGAGCGATGGTCCATGCTTGGACAGCAAGATGGGCGCATCAGATATGGGAAAATAGGGCATCCTGGTGCCACCCGCGGACATCATGTTAGATCATGTAAGGAATCTCAGTTGTTGAAAAGAAGAATGAAAGAGATGAAAACAACTGATATCCTCATGAGGGGCCCAGGCGCTGTCGTCGGCAAAAAATACTCTGAGCTGCAGAAGGATTCCCCAGTTCCAAATTGTTGACCCGAGGCTCACTGTGACTAAGCCCTGATTCCAAATATCCAGGGCTTTTTTTTTTTCTGAACACAGAATTGAGATCAAAAGAAAAGCTTGCAAGTTTGCTTTACAGTCTGTTTATTGACTGAGACACCAAACCAGGTTTTGGGCTGTGGAGCAGAGCCCATCGGCCCGCCGAGACTTCAACGTATACGGAGTGAATAAATTGGGGCAAACGCCAAAGCCTCGAATAGATTCTACATATCCGGTCTAGGCTATCGAATCTGGGATTGTCCGATGAGTCTAAATTCAAGGACTCAAACCCATCCATGGACCAAATGAATCACTTTCTATGCAAGGCATGGTGATGAATTTACTCACCTTCCTTTTCGAGATATCACAGAGGCCAAAAACCGGGGGTTTGAGAAAGGACCTGTATACGAGTACATGACCTTCAAGACTCGTGGGCTCGTGATTTTGCCGCTGGCGCGCAATAGGCGATTTACACCTTTGGGATGTGTTGACCTTGATGCATGGCAATTTTACAACGCAAGCATAATCCATAAAATCTGAGGGCCCTTTGCTCAACTTCTTCAGCTGTTCCAATATATCCTTGGCCATCATCCAATATGATTTCCAAGTCCGTTATCCGGTGTGATCTTTCCGGCCTCGGCTCGATCTAGATGACTCACTTAGCATGGCTCATGCATAGGACAATCCACTCAATTTTTGTCTATTACAAAAAAGCCTTGAAGAGCTTTCAATGTCTCTAAGCCCCGAAGAAAAAAAAATAAGGACTCTTAAAATGAACCAGGGCCGAGTGATAATCATTGGGTGAAGCTTTCTCCAAGCAGCCACTCTCGCCTTGAGCTAACAACTTCGTGCAGTGCCGGTGTGCTTGGTCTCAGCTCCGCCGTCCAGCTATTGAAACATGGCTACCAAGTGACCGTTATCGCCAGAGAGCTTCCAGGCGATTATAGTATTGATTACGCTTCCCCATGGGCGGGGGCCCATTTCCGCCCCTCCCCCGCAAACACCGCTGCGGAGCGGCTAGAACAATCTCTCATGCGAGAGACCTACCAGGAACTCGAAAGAATCGCAAAGGAAATTCCCGAGGCAGGGGTGAATTTTGTACCAGCGATTGAATATTTTGACGCTGCCGCCACCTTATCCCTCGATGAGGGTGGTTATACCGAATGGCCGGCGTTTCGTATTCTGGAGGCTTCGGGGTACCCCGTTGGCCATGAGTCTATTCAGCTTGGCGTGACTTACAGCGGCTGGGTTTTGAATTCTCCGGTCTATCTCAAGTGGCTGCAACAGCAGGCAGAAAAACAAGGGGCCCAATTCATTAAGGCCCAGTTGGCAGGCCCACAAGAAGCTGTGGCCGTTTACCGTGCCAGTCAACCGCACGGTGTCGCAAGTGATATTATCGCGGTCGTCAATGCAAGTGGTCGGGGGTTCGATGACCATGCTTCGTTCCCATCGCGCGGTCAGTTCATCATCGTCTCGAACCAGTGTGATCAGACGATCAGCCACCACTGTCGCGATGGCTCTTCTACGGTCATCATCCCCCGGCCTCTTGGCGGAGGGACCGTCATTGGTGGGACAAAGCAACCTCATGACTGGTAGGTATGTCGCAGCTTATAGGGCTTATCATGCTTATTTTCAACAGGTCCGAAGAGATATCAGATAGTTCGACTGAACAAATCCTTCAACGGGTCGGAGATCTATGCCCTGGTATGGTCGATCGGCATACATCAGGCTTGGAAAAGACACATGGCTTTCACGTGAAACAGGTCTATGTTGCTCGCCGTCCTATGAGAAAAGGCGGACTTCGACTCGAAAAGGTAGACGTTCAGTGCAAAGAGCTCCAAGCCACTCTTCCTTTGATCCACTGTTATGGTGCCGGTGCAAGTGGATACAAAATCAGCTGGGGAGTCGCAAATCAAGTCAATGAGCTTGTGTCTCAGATCCACGCCGTATCGAACTAAACAGAGGACGAATGAGGTTCTATGGGGTTGTGTTTGTGGTGGCCGGAAGTTTCCGACACCAGCCATGGCTCATCCCATCGCCTATTTCCTCTAATTTTATCCAGGGCAGGCATACAGGTCCTCAATGTGGATAATTTGTTGCAGGGGATGGGATATTGCCAAGGATGAGCAAGAAGTGATTAAGTTTAGACTCAAAGAGGCCGTGATTGGAAACAATCAAGAGATACTTAAGTATAAACCTGAGGGAGAAAGATTATCTACAGCATATTATAGGCCTGAAAACCAAGGCAGAAACTTCTCCACACAAATTGCCCCGCCGAACTAAGCTGATCGCTATGGCCGGACGATACTACTTCATGCTGTAGCTGTCCTCGGCTACATAGAGCTATGTCGCACTCCGCTACTCCTGAGGTCACAGGAAGGGTCGACTACAACACTCGAGACAACTTTGGCCGCACCGCTCTATACGATACCGGTATGCAGGGTCACCACAAAATTGTGGAGCTTTTGCAGGAGCTATCAGCAGTCTCAGCCCTTGTGGTAAAGCCAAATCTATGAAACGCAACGCGTATAGGGCATGTGATGCCTACCTGGTTGATATTGGCCGAACTGAGGCTTTCCAGCATTACTTCACCTCCCATAGTGGATATTTTGATATATACGACCCATGTTACGAGGTTGGGAATATCTAATCCATGCGCGTTTCAAGGTTGATCTATAGATGCCCTAACTACAAACTATCAATGTCAATATACACTTGTTTTCTCTCTTTCTGTTTTCTCTTTTTCCTTTTTCCTTTTATCTCTCTTTTCACCTCTCCTTTCCTCTCTTAAGGGGGCAGATCGTCACATCTTCACCTCCTTGCATACCTCATCGATAACAACCCCTGAACAGGGATAAAACGATGATCTGATAATCATTCTCCGACCACGACATATGCCCGACAACCTCGCGCCCTTTTGATTAAGCTCAAAGCCTTCGCACTCCTTGCCCCCGAGAGTATGAGCTTATTATCATGACTGACTCTCCCAAAATAGAACAAGCCCATCCTCTATTACGAGAGTCTGAAAGTAGCTCTCGCAGCAGCTTTGAATACTCGCCGGACGCGATCGAATTTGACCGAAATGGAGATCCGGATAATCCACTGGAGTGGCCAAGCTCCTACAAATGGGGAATTGTGGCATTGTTATCTTTCATGGGCTTCACGATGTACGTATAAATGCTGGGACCGAATTCTGATTTAACCTTAATATTACCAGAACATTCACGTGCATCTCAATCGCCCCGATAGCAGGGTATATAGTCGACGATCTGAAAGGTGGCCCACAGTCTCCGGGGTCAAAGTCGGCCACCGTCATCCTCGTCACTATTTGGGAGCTGGGCGAGTCAGTAGGGCCTTTCTTCATTGCCCCCTTGTCTGAAATGTTTGGACGTTATCGTGTGTATATGGTCATGAACACCATGTTCATCATAGCCATTGTGTTTGCAGCTTTGTCGCCTAATACAGGACTACTCCTCACCTCACGCGCTTTGATGGGCATCTCGGTGGCATCGAACGTGCTCAACCCTGCGATCATTGGCGACATGTTTATTCCTGAGCAAAGAGGAACTGCCATTACTATGATCATGTTCATTCCGCTGGCTGGTGCGACCGTCGGTCCAGTTATCAGTGGTGCCATCTTGCAGGTACTGGGCTGGCGCGCTATTATGTGGATTAGCGTGGCAATGGCAGCCATTTGTCAGGTGTTGTTTTTGAAGTTCTTCCAGGAGACTTACCAGGTGCAAATTCTCAGTCAAAGGGCAGCTAGACTGAACCAGGAGATTGGAGCATCAGAAAAGAACTCACATAACAGGATAGATTGGACCGGCTTGCGGAGTTCAGCCATACGCCCGGTGGTGGTTCTGTGCAACTCGGGTGTTATAGGGGCTCTTTTGTTGTTTGGTTCTTTCGTTTTCTCTCACTTCTATATTGTCACTACCACACTTCCCGATATACTCAGGAATGTATATGGATTATCGCCTACTGCAACAGGGCTCGCATTCACCGCGAACGGTAATTATACGACAAACGAGCTATGATCTCGTTGGAACCATGGGCTAACGAGATTTTCCAGCCGTTGGCACCCTAGCCAGCTTTGCGATATCGAAAGTCTTGTTGGACAGGCTTTACATCAAGCTCCGCTCCTTGAATAATGGGAAAGGTCTACCTGAATACCGCCTGCCGCTTAGCATCATCGGAGGATTGACGCTTCCCCCTGCCGTGATACTATACGGCTGGTGTGCTGAGTACAAGCTCCCATTGTTTGTTCTGCTATTTACAATGGTCTGGCTTCGGACTTCCATGATGCTAGGGATATCGCCTTTGACGGCGTACATTGTGGATTCATGTGGTATTTATTCAGCATCCGCAATAGCTAGCCTTGTGTCGGCCCGGTGCTTAGCTAGCGCGGTTTTACCTCTCTCGATGTCGCGTTTGACTAGCAGACTAGGCTACAGTGGAGGATTCTATGTGCTTGGGGGCCTTGGCCTTGCTTCTACTCTCCTTCCTATACTCATTTACCGGCATGGTGAAAAATGGCGACGACGGTCGTGGTATACTTCGAGTATCTCACAAAGCAGATGAAGTGAAATAATCCAATGAACCATCTCCCACTTCATATAGCCTTACTCTTAACAACTCCACGAACATACAAAAAGGGGGATTGGGGAGGCCCAAGCCAGGCTTACATCTGGGCTTACTACCTTGGACGGCAGGACATCTGGAGCATAGTGACAGTCACAGAACCCCAATGAGGATCTTTGTTGCCTACACCAAAACGCTGATGAGATGTTGAATTGGACCTTGGAACATGAGAACGGCGATTGGTACATATTAAATTTTAGAAAAGAATGAAAATCAAAACAGAGAGGGAGGGAAAGAGAGAGGAAAGGAGAGGTAAAAATAGAGAAAACAAATCTATATTGATATTGAGATATGAAATGAACAGATGATCTGTGCAACAACGCCGATTTAATAATACATACAAAATCCATATAAGGCCAGGCCTGCCTTTGATTCGGGCGAGATTAGAACCATTTAGATTCTCTTGCCTTCCGCTCCCTCGCTTTCATCTTCTGCATGAGCGAGTACCCACATCCAGCACCAGCAACATAACCACCCAAATGAGCAGCGTGGTCCATCTTGGTCAACCGGGAAAGTGGCCACACACGGAAGAAGCGCGCCGGAGCTAGCAAGCTGAAGACCTCGGTTGCAACCAAACATGTGAGGAAGAACCAACCGTGCGTCCAGATCTTGTCGCGCAGGTCGTGAGGCAGAATCCACATGGTGATTTTATCACTGTCTTTCGTTAGTAGATGTCGTAAAGAAGCAAATGAACCACATACTCAAAGTGAGACATGCACCACGCGGCGACAATGCCGCTAGTGGCCGCACTTGCGCCTAGAGATGTCATGCCGAGGTGACCGAGAAGAACGCTTCGCGTGAGGGAGAAAATAGATCCCGTTACTCCGGAGGCGAAATAGATTGCAAGGAAATTTCCACGGCCGATTTCATCGTGGACTTTGAAGATTAGAAAACGTCGCTCTCGATCTAAGAATACTCCATGACTTACCTCTAGTTCCCATCAAAGCCAGGACCATCATATTTGTTGCAAGATGTCTCCATGTTTGATGACTGAATGTGCTCCCAACCAACCCGAGCGAGCTAGGGTAATAAGGGACGATGACGAAATAACGGTTGAGCAAGCGCCAAGCAGGAGGGACAAATTTCCAGAGCAGAGTGACGGCCAAATTGGCACCAATTATTGCACCAACAGTCGCTACCGCGGGAGGAACATCCGGCATGAGTCGATCCTTTCGTTCGGGGAACTCATACTTCTGCGAGAAGGCGTAGCAAAGCCCGAGAACTGCAATCGTGAATAGAATCGGAGCGAGTAGACGTTGGGTCTGCCGATGCAAAGTCAATAACCAAAGGGAACCCCGCAGGTGGGAAAGCTCAACGTACAGTAGTAATTTCAATATCGCCAGTTTCGTGAGTACCCGCGATGTGGTGCTTTTGAACCCAGGCAAGCAGTGGCCGTTCATTAGGATCCGCGCGAGGACGGGCTTAAGTGTTTCAAAAATCAGCTCAGGTATCCAACCAGACTTCCAATACATACCCTCGGTAAGTGCGTTCTCTTGATATTGCTGCAAAGAGGTATCCTTGCTGCGCTGACTGTTCAGGCGTTCTTGTTCCTCTTTCTCACCATCAAGCCATTCCTGACGTTTACGTTCTTGCTCAGCCAGCAAACGCCTCTCGTTCTGTTCACGTGCCTCTTTCAGAACACTCCTGCCATATGGAGAACCCTCCTCTCCTAGCTCAGCTTCGTAGGAGCCACTCTGCGGCTTATACAATCCCAGTCTCTCGGCTCGGCGCATGAGTTTATCTTGTTCGGCTTGGTCCTCTCGCTCAATTCGGGCGATGATGGCTGCGTCCTCGTCCACAGGGTATCTGTTCCGAAGCCAATCCATTGCTGTATCGATTTGCTGCTGATTAACGGCACGGACGATATCAGCTGGCAATTCCGAGTCCAAAGTTCCAGTGAGTCGGTGGCCTTGCAGGGTGTTTAGGATGCGATTTCCGAGTTTGGGATTGAACTTGGACGGTCCGAAGATAGCTTTTATTTCGGCATCCGGGACACGAGGGAGGATTGCTTCGGGTTTTGGTTTGGCAGATGTGCGCTTGAAGCGACGAGAAATGTTATGAGCTGGCGATCGAGGTAGCTGTGCGGTCAAATGAGACGTTGGAGTTGGGAATGAAAGTAGCGATGAGCGTGTGCTGTACAGGCGCAATGAGGGCAGTTTGGCAGGACGGGAAGCCACCGTGCGGAGGCCCACGCAGGAGACCCGCCATGCAGCCCAAACCGCATTATTCATATCCTCTGGCGCCGCCTCAGAGAGTGCTGCTTTTTATACGATGAAAGTTCACGGGACACTGGATCAATGATCCGCGGATATCTGTATACCCCCACGTGACGATAAGCAATCAGCTCCGCATATTATCTACCCGCTCAGTCAAATCAGTCAAACATTCACCAAACAACATTGGAACTTCCAAAATGTCAACTGAAGCTCTACCTATCACCCCAGGGGCTTTTGCAGAGGCTATCAAGGAACTCCCCTTGGCTGTTCTCTATAGCAAAGTCTCCGAGCTCACAAACTCCATCGCCCACCTGCACCGCTCAAATGCCGAACTCCGCACATACTTGATTGAGACCAACGACTCAGAAGAAGACAAAAAAGAGATCGAGCAGTATGTGACTGAGAATGAACAAGTTGCTGTTTCAATGAATGAGCGCATTGCCTTGTTGAAGACCGAGGTAGAAAATCGAGGACAGCCGTGGATTGAGCTCGAGGACCTCAAAAAGGTGGATGATGAGGCGCCAAATGGCGATGGGGCCGGTGGAGCTACGGAAGCTACTGAATCTACCGGTGGAGGTCAAGATGGAGATAGCCATGAGGGGGTCTACCTGTGATTTTCTCGGTCACTTTTGCAGGGACATGCATCACCAGGCATCTGAATCGGCGATATTACGACACCTTTCGTGCATTATCAAGAGATACTCCTTCACCCAGACCTTTGGCGACTAATCTCATGTGCTGAAATGGGTATGGGCGATTCTTGACCAGTCCCTATTGGGTGCCTTTCAAGGCATATCCCCATTGCAGCTAGGCTGGGGCTAAGTTACAAGGGCGTGTGGAAACGAAGCTGGAAACTCGGATCGCACACCGCAACGGGGCTCGAAGATCCACAGCAATTTCCAACTGAGAACACTATCAACCCAAATATCGCCCATCTTCATGGCCTTGCCTTTGTTCGTCGAGGCTTGTTTAACTTCAGTTCCATTTCAGGAGGCTCATTTTGTGGAAGAGCACGGCTCAAAACAAACTTCAATGTGAATAAACTCATAATGCGCTATGAAATCATGATCAGATCAGGAAAGTTGTAAAGCAATAGGTGGTACTGAGTACCGTGCAGTGCAACGATGACCAGCTGATGCTGAAGATATGCAATATCATCAAGTAAAAGTCTTCACCGTGCATGCTAAACGCTCAATCGAAGCCCTGATTTTGTGTCGTAAGGCAGATCCACCGATTTATCGGGTGGAAGGCTTGATACGCACGTAGAAAGACAGCGCGGCCCAACGCCAGGTTAGAGGACAGACATATCATGGTCGTCAATGGTCAGTGTAACAGAAAAGAAAAACTCCAGGCCCGTGGAGTTTACTGTGTGACTTGCTGAGCCCAGTGGCCCCCATTAAGCGCCTCGGGAGGCACGCGCTGTTGCTTGATGAACAGCTCAATCAAGGGCTGCATGGGCTCCATTTCCTTATCAGAAACGAGTCCGTAGTACTTGGAGACTGTCACAAAGTGCACAAAACACATGTTCAGGATGTCGTGTTTGTTGATGTGCCAGAAGGGGTTGAGCCAATGGGCGTGGTATAAGTGCGCGTAGCAACGGAACATTTGCTTCATGATACCCTGGCAATCCTTGTAGAAAGTTTGCGGGAAACCACTGGACTTTCCAATCCAATCATCGGGGTTGGTAGGGTCTGAGGGAGTTGTTGAGGCACCATTGGCTTCTTTGACGGCAGAGGTCTCGGGAGTACCCTTGACATTTTCGGTAGGGAACATAACGGGATCATGAATCTTGCTGACGATCCACTTTTCAACACGGTTGATGAATTTGGGCGCGGAGATTTTGGCAGCCCGGCCGTCGACGAGCCAGGTGTAAGTCAACCTGCGGGTACGTTAGCTCGGTTCCTAATTTACCCCGCCATATCCACATACCGTCCAGCAGACATCGTCGGGCAGGTGTTTTCATTGCAAATGGGAAGGCCGGTCACGCTGTTGACCTCCTGAATGACCTGTAGCATGCCATGCAGCAGACGGTATTGTTCGACAACTAAGTGGAATTGTATCAGTATCCCGCAATCCAGATAAGCTTCGACATTGCATACTTTGGTGAGCCAGCCACTCGCCCAACTCCACATTCTTAGGACAAGCACACAGGGTCAAGAAGTTTCCCCTCACATTCAGCGGGGCATACTTCTCCTGGAAGAAGTACTTGGGACCCTCGGGGTCGTTGGCTTGGCTTTCAACGCCCAGGCTGCTGGAGATCGAGGGGGAGTTCGACATGTTGGACTGATGTTGAGGGGCAGAAGACTGTGCTGGGCTTTTAGGGGGGTTCGTCCCCTTGTTATTTCCTCCCCGGCCAAATCCTTGGCGACTGTATCCAAGATAAAGTTAGCGAATGGTGTTGGCGAGGTATGGTGCTCGAGAGTTGATGATGGACAGAAGATTGAAATTGAGGAGCAAATGCAGCGATCAGAATAGGGCAAATATTAGACTTTGGGAATTGGAATGCTGCTTTGTGATTGTGGCGCTTGGGGGACTGCAGTATGAGGGGGGGAGATCAAAGGAAAAGGGCCGCATTGCCACAGCCCGCGACAGCGCGCAGTCCACTTACACACTCTGGAAAAAGGTCGCCATCTTGTAATTGAGCAACAATGTTTGTAATTTAAGAAATCGTAGTCGGGAATGATACGGTGAGATGTCCAGTTTGAGGGTCCCCTTTTGGTCTGGCCCATGCCACTAGTCCCTTTACAGACCGGAACCCGGGGTAACCTTAATGCTGACTACGAAAGCTCCAATGCTGCGCGGAACAATCGTATATCCATACACGGAGTACCCCATCTCTCTTTCTGCCATTGATCTCTTGTTTCAGATCTCCTCGGCTTTTTTCGTCCTTCTCAACTCTCTGCAAGAATCACAAGAAACTGAGCAATGTCCTCTGACGAGGAGGGCGTTCGACGCCCCGGCCGGGCTGCCGACAATGAGAGCCCTGCGCCTAGCAACAATGCCAACGACTCGGGTGCCGAAAACCATACCGGCGCAGATCATATGGATGAAGATGACAACGATGATCTCTTTGGATCAGACGGAGAAGGCGGTCTCGACGACATCGAGTACGCACCTCAAACTTATGCGACGAACCCCATTAGCTAACGAAATGCTAGGCCTAGCCGCAATCTAGACGATGAACAGCTCGATTCAGGAGACGATGAGAACCGCTACGATCGACGGGATGATCACATGGAGGATGTTCAGGAAGAGCAGCTAGAAGTCAATGTTGCTGAGCAGGACCTCGCGCGTGCGCCAGTTCCGCTGACGAATGACGGAGAGGTTCGCGGATTTCACCATGAGTCTTTCGTTCTTAGCTAATGCTTTGTAGGTTTACGCAATGCGTATACCCGACTTCCTCTCGATTGAAGCTGAAGAGTTCAACCCCGAGACCTACGTCCCACCCCCATACAATACCGCTGCCACCTCTCTGTGCTGGCGCAAGGACCCAGCAGATGACTCTCGATTGCAATCAAACGCTCGCTTCATTAAGTGGGACGATGGATCAATTACCCTTCAGCTCGCTTCCCAACCCCTTGAACAATACCGCGTTGCATCCAAGCCTCTTGCGCCCCTCGCCAGTTCTGGCGCCTATGATCACAAGCTTGACTCCCACGTTTACCTCGCGGCTGGCTTGGAAACTTCTCAAGTCTTCCGACTAACTTCGCATGTCACTCACGGCCTGACTGTACTCCCAACTACATTAGAGACAGATGATGCCGTTGCTCGATTGCAGGAGCAGCTTGCTGCTGCTGGTCGCGGCAGCAAGCAAACCGCTGCGGGAACTGCGCCCATTTATGACCAAAAGGAGGATCCCGAACTGGCTAGCAGACGTGCCGAAGTCATGGAAAAAGAAGCCATCAAGGCCGAGCGCCGTCGCCAGCAACTGGCGGACCGCGAGGCAGACCGTGGACGCCGGCAAGGTGGTACTCGCTCTGGACCCAGTGGTCTCAGCGTTGGTGGACTTGAAGACGGGGGCTTGCATACTACACGTCCCCGTGCCAAGCCTCGTCGTCAGAACCGCCGCGGTGAGATCTACACTGACGACGAAGAAGACTACCCTCGTGGCAATACTCGCACTCGGGAAGACGAGTATGATGAGGACGATGGATTCTTGGTTGGCAGTGATGAGGATGTTGAAGAGGGCGACGATGACGAAGAAGAGCTCGAGGACGAAGACATGGATGCTGAAGGCGATGACGACGAGGAGGCTGCACCGAAGGCCCGCTCCAAGCCGGAGCCCAAAGCCCGGGCCGGTACACCACCCGCTCGCAAGAAGAATCGTTACGTAGTAGACGATGAGGATGATGAGTGAGCCGTTGATCCTCCAACGGCTTTGTTTCTATTTACTGCTTTCTTGATACATATCCACATGGTCCGGCGTCATTTACATGGACAAGCATTTAAGGAATGGGCTCCTTTCAACTCGAATATGAAGCTTGTACTAGCAAAAATTTAATGAAATGGTCAATGACAATACATTCTCCCTTTGTAGGCTTATCAATGAAGTTAAGTTGCGATGTTAGATGCAAGTCACTATACGGAGTATTTTTCCAGATCGAAAAGATTGAAAAGCTGAAATGTGGTATACGCAAAAGAAAACAAAAACAAAAACAAATAAACCACCCCAGCCGTTACGTTCAATAAGTAAATACGAGTAGGATAGCCTGGCCAATGCATTACCTGACTCTTGGTTTTTGATGGGGAGTCATCGGTTCAACACCCTCAGGATAATCAGAGGGATCAAAATCGAACTTTGCGATAACAGATCTGGCACTGCCAACGATGCGAACGCAGAGAAGATCTTCGTCTTTGCCTTCATTCTCGTGCTCGGACTGCGATCGGTCTGAAGGTGTTGGGGCCATGGGGTTGCACTCCTCGAAGGGATGTTGCCCAGGTTGATGCCAGCGACGCTGCCGGTTTTCAATTTCCGTGATAATGGATAGCAGAGCCAAATGGCGAGAACAGACAGCTGCAGCGCCATCTTCCATATAGCCACCAACGACGGCGCGACGAACAACTTGACGAAGCCAGGTCTTCCAGGCTTGTGCTGGATCTGGACTTTGCATGACTTTATTCACATACTCTGCCGGCGCGGCGTTCATCCCAAGTTCCGTGGCGTCGCCCTTCGAGAGACGTAGCCATGAGTCAGCTACGACGCTTAACAAAGTTCCCACAAATGTGATGTTTTGTATGCCGGTGGCGAACACTTTGGGGCAGATTGGGCAGCGAATCACATCTTGTGCGGTTCGTGCTGCGATATATAGAGAGCAGATGGTGTTGGAATCAACGGGGAAGGATGCTATTGATGACATGTGGCTGAGGGAAAGGTAGAGGTAGGAAAGACAGGAGCAACTGGCTGCCGTGGGTTCGGAGGATATAGAATTGGAAGGGGACAGCGGTAGAGATCCCACTGCAGGGAAATTTGTCGGATTTGGAAAAGCCGCAGGTATGGTGGTGGCTTCAGAGACTGTGGAGAAATCAGGCCATGGGCTTGATGATGCAGGAACAGGGAGGTTCGGCTGTTTCAAACGCTCTGGCTGCCATGTGTGATTATGATCTTCGTAACCAGACAATGGATCTGACAGCTCTGGCGTAGGCTGCGAATGTGGCGATTTCGCACTCATGCTTGGCGGCCAGAAGAACGAGGGGCAAAGATGATCAGAGTCCGGAAAATGTGTCACCCCTGGACCAGCCCCGGTTGAAGGTTGTTGCAAATCCTCTGGGGTAGGCCACGTCTCCGCCCCGGATTGGGCTGTGAGGTCGGCCTCATCGTCGTCGGCTCTTGTTCTCTTTTTGGGCGGGCGGCCCATTTGTTTTTGTATGGAATAGTTGCAAGTAAGAGTCTGTTTGACGCATCGAGAGCAACCTGTCGACTCTCCCGAGCATTTGAGCTTCCGTTTTCCTGTGCCGCGGTAATATAAATAGTCAGTCCTCTGTAGATGACTTGGGGTGGTATTTGCTTGTGAGACCCACTGCACTCGTCGCATGCCGCATGTCTTTTTACCGAAGCATCTTGCGTATCAAGATGAGCGGAGTCCCCACGGGTATTCCCTGGTGCGAGTGGCATTGTGTAAAAGTCACCGTATATAATGAGGCGATCGAAAGAAATACCAAAACGCAAGAAGATTAGCGCTTAAGTCATAGATAGGCCCGATAAGATTGAGGTCATGTGGGCGGTGAGAGCCGTCTGGCAAGAAAATTATCTAGAAAAAAATCCATGGATCGACTGCAACGGAACAACATCCGCTAAACGACATCATGAACCCCAAGGCGGCTTCCAAGAAGCGCAAGGCTGTTACCCGCGATGTGGAGGAAGAGGCCGGTGTTTTCTCCGGTGACGAGCTGAGCAATGGCAAGATTGACGGAACTTTGTCTGATAACGCCAACGATCTCTCGGAGAGTGAAGACAGCGACTCGGAGGTTGAATTGGTCGACGAATTCAGCGATGATGAAGATGAGGAAGAGGAATTGGACAGCGACGAGATTCCCTCCGACACCGAGGGCGACAAGCCGGCTCCTGGTGAACGTGATTTCCGCGTTGTGAAGGACGCCAACGGAAATGATCGTTTCCTCTGGGACGAGATCCACCCAGACGACAACTCCGAAATTTCCGAGGCCGATGAGAACGCTAACACCATTGGCGATATCCCACTGAAGTTCTACGACGAATATCCCCACATTGGTTACGATATCAATGGAAAGAAGATCATGCGCCCTGCTAAGGGCGAGGCCCTGGATGCTTTGCTGGACAGCATTGAGATCCCCAAGGGCTGGACTGGTCTTACCGACCCCCAGACCGGAAAGCCATTGGAGCTCAGCCAAGATGAATTGGAGCTGTTGCGCAAGGTCCAGATGAACGAAATTACCTCTGAGGGCTACGACCAGTATGAGCCCATGGTGGAATGGTTCACCAGTCAGACCGAGATCATGCCATTGAGTGCTGCTCCAGAGCCCAAGCGTCGCTTTGTACCATCCAAGCACGAGCAGAAGCGTGTGATGAAGCTTGTGAAGGCTATTCGCGAGGGTCGCATCCTGCCCTACCAGGCTCCCGAGGACAAGGAAGACAAATTGGACGACCTCATCAACTACGACCTGTGGGCTGATGAAGCTGAGCGACCCGACCATGTCATGCACATTCCGGCACCCAAACTTCCACCTCCAGGTTACGAGGAGAGTTACCACCCTCCTGCCGAGTACTTGCCCGATAACAAAGAGCGCAAGGAATGGGCACAAATGGAACCCGAGGATCGTGAGAAGGACTTCCTTCCCAACGATTTCGGCTCTCTCCGCAGAGTTCCTGGATACGAGAACTTCGTCCAGGAGAAGTTCGAGCGTTGCTTGGATCTTTACCTTGCTCCTCGTGTGCGTCGCAGCAAGCTGAACATTGACCCCGAAAGTCTCCTTCCTAAGCTTCCCAGTCCTGAGGAGCTGAAGCCCTTCCCGACTGCCTGTGCCACCGTCTTCCGTGGCCACAAGGGCCGTGTGCGCTCTGTCAATGTGGATCCCACCGGAATCTGGCTGGCCACTGGTGGTGACGACGGCACTGTTCGCGTTTGGGAACTACTCACCGGTCGCCAGCTGTGGAGCGTCAAGTTGAGTGACGATGAGGCCATCAACGTTGTTCGCTGGCGCCCAGGCAAGGATGGTGTGGTTCTCGCCGCTGCCGCAGGAGATGATATCTTCCTTTGTGTGCCTCCTATCGTCGATCCTGAGATCGAGAAGGCTAGCTTGGACCTCCTTGACGCCGGTTGGGGTTTCGCTGCCTCTAGGCCCGCTCCTAGCGCCTCCGAGGAGGGCAAGAAGAACGCACCTCCCACCTGGATCCGACCCTCGCCCGCCCTCCTGGACGCTGGTGTGTGCGTGGTCATCCCGCTCCGCTACGTCCCCAAGTCCATCTCTTGGCACCGCCGCGGTGACTACTTTGTCACCGTCTGCTCTGGCGCCTCGACCCCCGCCTCCGTTGCAATTTCCATCCACACTGTCAGCAAGCATCTGACACAATTCCCCTTCCGACGTCGTCTAAAGGGTGGTGGTCCCCCTCAGACTGCTCACTTCCACCCTTCGAAGCCTATTCTCTTCGTTGCAAACCAGCGCTCTATCCGCGCTTACGATCTCTCCCGCCAGCTCCTCGTCAAGATCTTGCAGCCCGGTGCCCGCTGGATTTCATCCTTCGATATCCACCCCACTTCATCCAGCGCCTCAGGTGGTGACAACATCATTATTGGCTCTTACGATCGTCGTCTCCTCTGGCACGATCTTGACCTCTCCCAGCGCCCTTACAAGACCCTTCGCTATCACAAGAAGGCCATTCGTGCCGTCAAGTTCCATCCCAGTGGACGTTACCCGCTGTTCGCAGATGCTTCCGACGATGGATCCCTACAGATCTTCCACGGCAGTGTCACTGGTGATATGCTCAGCAATGCTACCATTGTGCCATTGAAGGTTCTCAAGGGCCACAAGATCACAGGCGAACTCGGTGTGCTGGACATTGACTGGCATCCTCGTGAGGCGTGGGCCGTCAGTGCCGGTGCCGATGGAACCTGTCGCTTGTGGATGTAAGAGATGTTGCATGATTGACATTTGGGCGTTTTTCTCTTGTTTTGTGCATAATTATTTCCTTTTGTATAGTCACATTACAAAAAAGTTGTTCTCAATATACCTTCTGGAATTATTATCAACTAGTCGCACCACCTCCAACTTGATCTCCTGTCTTTTCTCGGTAGGAGATGATGCTAGTGTTCTTGGGGGTTGCTGCTTGGACAAAAGCCACTTCCAACATCGCTCTTTGGACACTTATGCACATGTATTGCAAGGAAGCTATTCTCACAGTACTTGGAGACATGTGGGAGCCCCGCGGTGTGATAGTGATTCAAGGGCACCTTGAAAGGAACTGCCCGGGTATTGAGAAAGAAAATGAATGGTTATGAACAAGAAGATTAATTTTGGTTCCACCCAGGCTCGCTAGGTATCTGGTGGGTATATAGCATCAAACCACGCCACCACTCCAATCCCTCCTCAACTTCTCATATTTCTTCAAATCAGTGACACTGGGCCGAATAAAGGACTTGGCATTGACGAAGTCCTGGATCTTGATAGTGTCCCTCCGCTTGATAGCGGAGTAACCAGCCCGACGCAACAAGCTGCCCAAGTCCGCACCACTGAAGCCCTCACACTCCTCTGCAAGTTGGCGTAGATCCTCTCCAAACTCAATAGACAAATTCCGCACAAGAGTATGTAAGATGTCGACACGCTCCAGCGGCGAAGGCAGGTTGACAAACAGCAGGGTTTCCAAACGACCGGGACGGAGCATCGCAGGATCGATGATATCAGGTCGGTTGGTGGCGGCAATCACATAGATTCCTTGGCGGGAACTTCCTAGGCCATCCAGCTCTGTGAGAAGTGTGTTGACAACGCGAGCAGACGCTTCTGAAAGGGTGTCGTCGCGACGGGGAACGAGAGCATCCAGCTCATCGAAGAAGATAACACAGGGAATAGATGAGCGCGCGCGCATAAAGACTTGGCGAACAGCGCGCTCTGATTCACCCACGAACTTGTTGAGGAGTTCGGGTCCCTTGACGCTGATGAAGTTTGCGCGGGACTCGTTGGCGACTGCCTTGGCAAGAAGTGTTTTACCACAACCAGGGGGTCCCCAAAGGAGAACACCTGTAGGCGCTGTAATACCGACGTTGGCGTAGATGTCTGGGTTTTTGATGGGTTCGACGATGGCGGTGACAAGTTCCTCTCGGACCCCGCCGAGTGCACCAATGTCTGCCCAGGTTGTGTCAGGGATTGTGGCGAAGCCTTCACGCTTCGAGGAGGGCTGGATTTTGGGAAGGGCTGTGAAGAAATCGGCATTGGAAACAAGGACGACTTCGGTTTCTTCACCCATGGGAGAATCCTTGGCGTGGTTAATTAGACGGCGAAGTTCGCGGACTCGAGGGCTGATGTCGGCCTCGCCTTCAACTTCAACTTCCATCTCTTCTCCGCTGTTGGATTTGAGAATGTCGAGATACCGTTTGATGGCTGCTGCACCGGCCGTTGAGACAAGGTCGTTCAGATCCGCACCGACAAAGCCGGGGGTACGCTTAGCTAGTGTCTTCAAGTCAATGTCATCTGCCAAGCGCATTTTGCGGGTGAGAGCTCCGAGGATCTGCTCTCTGACCGGCTCTGAGGGTACGGTCATGTTGATTTCTTTATCGAAACGACCACCACGGCGCAGGGCGGCATCGAGACTGTCTGGACGGTTGGTGGCAGCAAGAACGATAACCGGCTTGCCATCTGTCTTTTCGAGGGCAATTTCATCCATGCAGGTCAGAAGTTGGGCGACAATTCGCTTCTCCATCTCTCTCTGGGCGCTCTCACGCTTAGGTGTGATGGCATCAATCTCATCGATGAAAATGAGACAAGGGGCAAGTCGCTTGGCCTCGTCGAAGTACTCGCGCAGGGCCTTCTCGGATTCACCAGACATTCCTGACACCACTGAAGGCGCGGAAATTGAGATGAAGGGCACACCGAGCTCCGCAGCGAATGCGTTTGCAATCAGTGTCTTACCACAACCTGGCGGGCCGTGGAGCAGGACACCGCGCGGAGGCTGTACATTTGATGAGAGGTAGACCTGTGGTCGGGTCATGGGCAGGATAACCAAGTCTCCAAGCTCCTGCACAACATCGTCCAACCCACCCAGATCGGCAAGACTGACATGCGTTGGTGGTGATCGGTCCGCAGGCTCAGCCTTGCGACGCTTAGACGCAGATTCTCCACCGTCCTTCTTCCTCTTCGATGCAGTTGGGGCCGCAGCAGGTTCCTTTTTGGCTTTGGGTGTGGCCCAAGAGCCCACAAGACTCTGGTTCATTCCATTGGGTTCCTGTACCGAAGTCAATCAGCATTGGTACTCCCTACACGCATAACAAATTCGCAGAGCATACCGCCGCGGGGGGCTCCTCGAGTCCCTCGAAATCCCCCTCCACTGAGTCTTCATCGTCGTCACCCATATCGGCCTTGACTACTTCCAGGACCCGCTCCAGGCTGTCTTCGATCAATCGCTTTGGCTTCCGGTTCAGGCTCGAGTTCGACTTTTTGATTGTCTCATAAATCGAGGGGACCGATAGACGGATGCGCCCATTGTCGCCTTGGTCGTCAATGATCTTGCGCACGACCTGGTAGACCTGTGGGGGGTTAGTAAAAGCAAAATTGTAATATTCAGTACGCATACCTCGCGGTCCAAGCCCTGGCTCAGCGTTGGTCTGCCTCCTTTCCTCGCAGGCATTGTGAATTGCAGAACGGCGATAACAAAAATTGTTCCGAAAAATCGGAGATTGACATTGAAAGATCGGGTGTAACTTACAGTGTATTTACACCTCCGTTACAGACTCACGTCATCTACAACCCCCCGTAGCTCCAGGTGGCTCTTTATCTCCTCAACATCATGGGGAACTCGAGCAGTTCACAGAAAATCTCGCCTCAGGATAGGTAAGTGGTTGTTTTTGCACACAGACCGTCCACAGTGGACTATTCCTCAATCTCAGGCCTCCGCGGGCATCCCCTCAGATCCCCTCATCCCCACATAAACACCGCAAGTGGTAACTGACAGCATTCGGTCTAATAATAGGGCCATTCTCGACCTCAAGAACCAGCGTGATAAACTACATCAATACCAGCGCCGCATTACCGTTCTCACAGATCGCGAGACCGAAATCGCAAAAGAATGTCTCGCGCGAAATGATCGGCGGCGCGCCTTGCTCGCTCTCCGGCGCAAGAAATACCAAGAATCACTACTTGCAAAGACAGATGGACAGCTTGCGCAATTGGAGCAGCTCACTGGACAAGTGGAGTTCGCGCTAGTCCAGAAAGACGTACTATACGGACTGCAGCAAGGCACGCAGGTACTGCAGACTATTAATAAAGAGATGGGTGGTATTGAGAACGTGGAGAGGTTAATGGGCGAAACGGAAGATGCAAGGGCTTATCAAGAGGTAACGATATTCAACAATACCTGGGTTAATGTTAATTGCTAACGACAACAGGAGGTGAGCCAAATGCTTGCTGGTCATCTGACAAATCAGGATGAGGATGAGGTCGAGGATGAACTGGAGGCTTTGCGGCGTGAGGCTGCTGGTCCCGAAGTCCTGCCCGAGCCTGTCGTCTTGCCTAGTCCACCTACTGCGAGACCTGAGCGGGCTCAAGAGCCAGAGCACGAAAGGACTGAGCCTCAAGCCGAGCGGAGGGAAGCTCTGCCTGCATAAGTGAACAGTTGTGTATTGCATCTTGACACAGCATTTTGGGCGTTGGTTTGTTCAAGTCTGTCTATATTACTGATAGACTTCATGTTCGTGGCGTTGGCGATTGCGCATATTTTACTTTTGTACTTGATTCTTGTGGACACTCTATAGATCATGACATCTCCAAGCCAAGATACTCCTCCAACAGTGGACCAGCATCAGATCCAGAATAATCTCCGGCGCTCACATTCAGCTGCGAGGGCTGGAATTGGGCCCCGCTGTGTTGATATTAGGCCAACAAGCTTAGAGAGAAAGAAATTACAAATGGTATCCTCATTAATCATACGACTGCCCAACCAGTCCAAGTTTCCACATCATACTCTGGCCTGATCCAAACTACTGCCCAGGCAAGACGCTCCCGATTCCTCCAACACCCGGAACAGCAACATGGTCTTGTGGGTTCGCTGCAGCCTCATAGAGGAAGTTGATCGGCTCGCGCGTCAACTTCATAAACTGCCCCTTGAACCCCACATACCCAACCTTGGTGACATCTTCCTCGCCATCACTCCAGTTATCCTCGAAGAACAACGTGATCGAGGTAGTGGCGTTCCAATGCGCACGGTTGAGCGGGAGTTCGAAAACGTCTGCGCCAGGTACCGGCTGTGGGATCTCGAGCGTCTGTGTGGGGTGTAGTTCTGATGCCGTGGAGAAGTCCAAGTCGTCGCGATTCTTGAATAGCTTTACGGTCTTTGGGGCGGAGATCGTGGGGGCGGTGTAGAGGAGCACGGAGTGGATGTTTGCTTGTCCGCTGAAGCTTCGGGATTGTCAGTGAGGAGTAGTGGGGTTGCTTTGGTGAGGTTTTGGCTTTGAGCGCGCAGAAATCGAGCATCTAGCGCGATGGGTTGATGTTACAGGGAAGTAAGTTGATACTCACGGAATGGTCATGAGTAATTGCTCGTCCGCATCGCTTTCGAGCTCGGGTTCATCGTTCAGTCGCTCCGCCCAGGTCTTTTGCACAATAGCCGCACCGGCCTTGGGAGTAGTTTCTGTTGTGGTGGTGAGCTTTGTTTTCGGGCTTGCAAAACTGCGACCATGGCTTTATCTTACCATTTAAGGTGATAATCCTCCCAAAATCAATCTGGGAGTAGAGTAGGGACTGGATGGCGGGGGTGATGTCGTTGGAGTGATCATGGTCTTCGCTGTGGCAACCGCCACTATGGTCGTGGTGATGATCAGACATTATGAGAGTTGCGAGGTTCAAGTGAAGAGTTCGAGTGTCTTTCAGATTTGATGTTCGTTGGAGACCGCTCCCGTGATGTTGACTAAAGACATTCTTTATGCCACTTTTCGGGTGTTTTCGATGCGGACCAGATTGATGATACATGTTACGGCTCTCTTCAAGCTACAGTCAGTGCTTCTGTTATTCAAGCTTCCAATGTTCCTAATACAGTAATTTGAGGGCCAGTAGCAGCCCTAGTACTGGATCGGAAACACTTAATGACCTCATCCACCCCGGAGCCCTAATCTTGTCCTTGTTAAATGTGAATTGAAGAACCTAGATGCTTCTAACAAGATTGGGCCGTTCGAAATCTCAACAGACTTTGTGCAACCAATGATACTTGTATGCAGAAACGAGACCGAAGAAATGAAAGATGCAGCCAAGTACAGCGAATGCGTGCCAAAGCTGATGCGAATGGCCCCAGATGTCGAAGGTCCCAGGGCTCAATCTCTCTGGGAATCGAGAGACAAACAGAGTCACTCCGGTCAGTAGGGAGAATGCTTCTGCAAGATACCACCCAGCCCCAATTTCATTGCGTGCACTAGTCCAGCCTCGCTCTATCACGGTTTGGATGACGGGTAACATAGCAGAGACTGCAAGCAATGAGAAGACGCCTCCTCGGAGGGTTCGCATCTTGCTGCCTCCACCACCGGTATCAAACAGAGTGACAGCAGCTCCTATTGCGGATAATAGATTCAGTCCCCAATACATCCACTGGATAGAGGGCCTGCAATAAAAGGCGTAATATGTCATAGATGTTCCAGCCCCAAGAGCTAGAAAACAGATGCCCAGAAGGTCCATCTTGCCCCAGAGGTGGTGGATGTTGTAAGAATGACTTCTTAGTGTATGGAAGCCAGCACTCAGGCCAAAACAGATAGCCACTGAGACCAAGAAGGACCCAAAAGCAACTGCATCCCCGCGGCTGAAATCAATGTCCTTGGCTATGAGTGTAAAACCAATGGCAATGAAGGCTAAGGAGCTGAGCAGATGGGTCCATATGTTCATAGTCTCCATATGCAAGCAATGCCACAGGCGCAAAGACCGTTCATAGGAATATGTGGGCATAGGGTGGCTTCCCAGAATGTAATCATTGTCTTGGAGCCATTCTGGAATCTCATCTTTGCTTGCTATGGCTGGCCAGTATGGCAGATAATCCGGCTTGAGACCCCTCGTGCTTTCACCTGACAGGGGGTCAAGAGGTGAGGACGCAGGTTGTGGTCGGCATCGATTCAACCCGGGGGTTTTCATGTTTCTGTATCTAGGCAAATAATTAATAGTCCTGGAGAGTCAATCACCGTTCTACTTAACTTTGATATGTGAAACGGCCCATGTCGATGTTTTGGCTCTTTGGTTATAAGCGCCTCTATTCGCGCGCACCATGCAAGTGTATCACGGGCTTACCTTCGTTTGCTTATTTGCCCCTCTTATTGAACATGGGGTGGGAGAAGGTCTACTAAGCGATCTTGCCGCACCCGTGAACATGTGCAGGCATGCGAATGGCGGTATAAGCATTGTTGATCATGATCCGGAGTTCGTGTGTTGAACTTTTTACGATTTTCGCGAGTTTCAGAGCCTCACTTTTCTTGATCGCTTCACCAGGGGAGTCCATGGATGCAAGTCGGCAGAGTAAGATGTGATAAGTTGCCCATGTGGTCTCCCTTAACTCCTGGGTATTATTTTGTACACGAAATTTTTCTGAATAGCTGAAAGCCACCAAGACTTATCTGATTTGGTAGTATTCAGGGGCATACTCCAGCAGGTAACTCTTCTCGATCTTCGTGACATCACGAATGTAAGTCTTTTCCCCGGTTTGCATAATTTCATGGAAGATAACCCAATCAGCTTTCCGGTTCTAGCTTCAAGTTAGCAAACTCAGTCATGGTTGTTCTGGGAATCACATCCAACTTACAAACATCAATGAGCTGGGGTGGGCATGTAAGGTGAGCCCTCCACTGACGGTCCTGAACGTTCCGTCTGGCTGCATCTTGGCCGCATGGGCAAAGTAGCCAGCTGTAAGACATCGCCGGATCTTCTCAGGCTGAGCACCCAAGTCGACGCTGCTATGCGACGAAAGCGTCTCGTCGACTTGAATGCCGAAGCGTTCTAGGTACCGCTTTAACTGACCGCGAATACTCACTGCTCGTAGCAATGCTTTATAGTTCAGGAGATTGTCACGACACCATTTCGGGTCTTTCTTTCCTTTCGTTACGAAAGCTTGGTAGACATTCAGGTACGTCAGGTGGTCACCCTCTTCAACGGCAAACTTGCGCCGATTGGTTTCGGCAGACCTTTTGTCGCCGGAGTGTTGGACCCAAACCGTTCCTTGGAGGTTGACCATGGCCGCGATGGTGAGCATCTCACTTAGACATCCAAAAGACGGTGCAGCCAAGACAACCTTTGCCATCATAGGATCCAGGGCAATCTCTGCCATGCGCATTCCAAGTGGCTTCGTGAGTTTGGCATAATCGTCTACAGCTCCAAGTGATGACAAAAGCTCAAGAGCGCGAATGATCAGCTCGGCTGGCGGAGATGTCAAGAAGTCGAACCGGACAATATTGTCGATTCCAAGGGCTTTCAGTTGCATTATTATAGGTGCCAGATTTGACCTTTGGATCTCGGGTACAGTGGCATCTGGCATCTTCTCATAATCCTGCTGTGTGTAAAGCCGGAAGCACTTTCCTGGTTTGGTTCTTCCTGCGCGCCCAGCTCGCTGGGTTGCAGATGCCTTTGAGATTGGCACCGCGGTCAACGTGTCAATGCCAGTGGTGGGGTTGTATGCTCTGAGCTTAGCAAATCCACAGTCGATCACATAGACAATGCCATCAATCGTTACTGATGCTTCTGCGATATTGGTGGAAACAATAACCTTGCGAGTGTTTTCTGCAGTTGGCTCGAAAACGTACATCTGCTGTTCTGTGGTAAGGCCAGCATAAAGTGGCAATGGCTGAAGCAAAGGTGCTTTGGGATGAAGAGTGGCTGCTCGTTCGGATATTAATTGGATTGCGGTGTCAATCTCTTCTCGGCCAGTCAAAAATAGAAGTACATCGCCTTCTGCTTCTTGGTTGTGAATGTCGAAGACTGTTTTTACTGCGCGTTCAATGTAGTCTTCTGCCGGAGATTCAAGAAACAACATGTCCACAGGGTACATGCGTCCTTCCAAGCTGATGATCCTTCCAACACTCCCACCTAAGTCAACTGGTTCTGCCTCGGGATTGTATTCTTCGCCGGCGAAGAAGCGGAGAAAATCCTCAGCCTGGAGTGTAGCACTGCTGACAACGATTCGGAGCTCAGGTCGCTTCTTCATGATCTTCTTCAGAATTCCAAGAAGGATATCTGTGCTCAAAGATCTTTCATGAGCCTCGTCGACCATGATGACAGAATACCGTGAGAGCAAAGGATCCACCAGAGCCTCTCTGAGGAGCATTCCATCTGTCAAGAATTTGATTTTGGTTGCAGGAGATGTCAAATCTTCAAATCGAATGGAGTAACCAACTTCTTCACCGACTTTGCAACGCATCTCTTCTGCTACTCGAGTTGCAACCGTGGTAGCGGCCACCCTTCGAGGCTAGATTGAGTCAGCATTGGGATGTCTCCTCAAGTAACAGCCAGTACTGACCTGTGTCACAGCGATTGTTTTCCCTTCTTCGCACCATCCTGCCTGCTCCAAGTATTGTGGCAACTGGGTTGTCTTTCCACTACCCGTTTGTCCAACCACAATGGTGACAGGGAAATTTTCCACCAGGTAAAGAAGACTTTTCTTGTGCCTTGCAATGGGTAATAAAGCAGCCGGCTTATACAGGGCTGGAATGAACGACGTAGACAATTCCTGTTCTGAGGCCATTTTAGACCAACTTCAATGAGAGCTGTCAAGGGTCGAATTGGATCTTCATGTATTTAACAAGCACTAAGATCAAAATAAAGCCATTCTAAACATGGCAGAATTGAAGATCGTCAATATCGCGGAGTTGCAGAAACATCGGGAGCCGATCTGTATATGGGCTATCACGTGCACCCCACGTCACTTGGAGCTTTGGATACTTCCGCGACATTCTTCGCAGGCAACACTGTTCTCCTGGTTTTGTCTTGAGAAACTGTCACTATTGCATCTGCTTCTTCAGATAACCCCATAATGTCGGAGGAAGACAAGATGGTTTGTTTACACCCTCGATAAACATCCTCAGTTGTGTCGCATGAGGCTCACATATATACAGACTACCCCCAGCAAGCCTTTGGCTGCCCTGAACTCCCCTACCAGCCTTCGCGCCGAGTCGCCCACTACTGCACGCCCTATGGACTTTGACGACGAACCTCAAGAGAGCGGAGTGATCAGTTCCTCTCCTGCCGCCGCCCAACCTGCCGCCACGGAGGCAGCCCCGCCAAAGCCGCCGCGCCCCCTGAACCCGAGAGATCAATCCGAGATCACCCTGAAGGAGGCCTTCCCGAGCGTCGAACCTGGAGTCGTCAAAGCCATTTTAACCGCAAGCGATTGGAATGTCGAGCGGGCATTCAATGCCCTTCTGGGTATGTGCGGAGGTGCTCAACTAATGGCTATGGACTGACTGACCTCGGTTCCCAGGCATGACGGATCCTAAGGCTCAAGAAGAGATGGTACCACCTCCAAAGCCTCCTCGCCCTGCCCAGGCCTCTGCGCAACAGCGACAGCTGGAAGCCGACGAAATGTACGCACGTCAACTGTCCGAGCACTACAACCAGTCGCGGAGCCGCGCACCACCCCCGGGCTGGGAAACCGACCCCAGATACCAGCGTCCCCGAGGAAGTGAAGAGTCGGAAGAAAGGGAATATAGCTTCTTCGACGGTATGGGCTTAACTTGCGCCGTGGAAATTTTGCTAACCCGACTTAGATGATCTACCCGTGATCCGCGAGAACCTCCGCAAGGGCTTTTTGGACACTCAGAAAACGGTCAACTCATGGGTGACGAATTTGAAGAAACGAATTGATGGCGATGATTTGGATGAGGAGCCCAGCCAAAACCAAAGAGAAACTCCCGCGTATGGCCGGCCCCGACGCAGTGGTGACATGGGTCGTCGCAGTGGAGATCGCGAGCGTTATGACGCAGACCCCCAGGTTCTTGGGGATGACTTCTCGGCTCTCGAGCTGAGGGATGGTGAAGGTAAAACGCCCTCGAACCAGTGTTCATGCAAACCACTAATCGTGTACAGCTCCTCCTCCTCGCCCTCCCCGTCCCAACATCAAGACCAGCGCATCGCCATCGCCCGATAGACGCAAGGTATCTTTCCAGGAAGGCCCGCCTACGGAAATTGATACTCTCTACGATGCCCCTTCTTCCAACAAGCGCAACAGTTCAACTGGCAGCAAGTCAAGCAAGTGGCAGCCATTGTCCACTGTCGAACCCTCCCCCGTGGCGGAGAACGATCCATTTAGCCTTGGTGATAGCGATGATGAGAAAGATACTAAGAAAGATCAAACATCCGTTCCTGAAAGCGACAAGCCCAAAAAGGCCACCGTCGAGGCTGTATCTGAGGAGGCCGGTTCCAAGAATCAGGAAACGAGTGACCTGAAGGGCGCCAGCAAGCCCGACGAGTCGAAATGATTGTGCCCGGGATTTGAATATCTCTAATTGTCATCTGCGCTTTTTGTCTGCATTCATCAGCCCACACCCTATCCCAATTTTCTTGCTACAGATACTTACCCTGCTCCTCCCTTCACGATACCTGTAGCGGTAGTACTAAGAACATTTCCAAGATTTTCAATATCTCCCAAATCGAATCTGTATTTGTATCTCAACTGAACAAGGGTATATTTCCGACCAGCAGAACGTGTAGTCGGCAACGCCAAAAGTAAAACAAACAGCACATGAAAAACACAAGGTCATAAACCCCCCAAGCTATTCCGCAGGAGCATTGGACACACGCTTTGAAGCACCAGGCTCTTTACGCAGATCCTTGATCACAGTCTAGAGCTTGGTCAGTATTCCTTCAGATAGAAACCAGTCCACTATCCAGACACACATACTGCCAAAGCATCGGGATTCACTCCATTCTCGATCAAAGAAACACACAGCGACAGCTCTGTTCGATCGAGGTTGGTGTTCTGGTATTGGTTAGTGTTGAACGCGCCCCGCGGCAACCAAGGCACGTACGAGTAGATCCGAGATCTCCTGGAGAATATCAATGACTTCGCGCGCGGCTTGGCGCTTGTCGTCTCCTTCTTTGGGCATTTTGATTGGGAGTGGTGAGAGGTTGGAGTTGATAATGGAGAGGTGGGGAAGTTTTCGCGGGTCACCTTGCGTTTGCCGTTCCGCTGTTTCTCCCTTCACATTTCACTTGATCTCGACACTCCATCCATACTCTATATCTTAGGATTATGGATATGGATGGTCTTTCTCCTTCTCCTTTCTTTCTCGCATCCATTTCCCTAGCAGCCTCTGATGTTCTCCCCTAGCCCCTATATTGCATATGAAGGATCTGCCGATCCCTTCGACCCCAAGGCGTCAATGTCGGAGCCGACAACTCCTTGTTCCATCTCAAAATTTGATTATGGATCTGCTCCATGAATACCTTGGGTCTAGCCCTTTGGTTCTGCAAATCAGCCGCGGTCTATCTCCAAGATCATCATAGACGTTGCAGAACTCCCAAGGTTCATCCTCGGCGCCACGTCGGAATATCCAGAATCCTTCAGGATCAAGCACGCACTAGGGATCCTCTTCCTAGGGCAAGAATAGTACATCGAGAAAGCCCAACACCAATCAGATCTAACAATTTACAATATCAAGCCGTGCTGTCTCGCCGGAACCCACTCTGTCCATTGGACTGGGACTGAAATGCCTGTACAGAGAAAGATAGTCGTATATCTAAATCAAACCATGGGTGGAGACAACAGGCAGTTTCAAAGGAGCTCACATTTCCAGTTCACGACAATGCCCCAAATCCATGTAGTATTATCTCATGTAATTCTCGACCAGAGACTGACAGAATGGATCCTATTCCTCTGCCTTTGGCATCCTTTTCCCTTTGCCAACCTTCCAGATTCTCAATCTGGCTCATAGTCCACAGTTTGTCGTGACTGGGATCGATTCAATGAGCCCGAATGAATATCACGACTATGTTCGGGCCGCCACCGGCTGGCGTCAACCTCAATGACAATAGAGTTTGGAAGGACAACACAATTGTGGCCGTGCTATGCGCGCTTGCTTTTATCACAGTGCTCATGCGTTACTTTGTGAGGCTCTACCTCCAGGGGATGAAATTAGGTGCCGATGATTTTTTCGTTGGTGCATCGGTTGCGGTTCTAGTGGTATTGGTCTCTATATCTGTCTTCAGTATGGCTCTTCACATCACCGAAATTGGCATGATACTGATATGTATAACAGGTGGCCACCATGGGCTTGGTCGGCATGTTTGGAGCACAACTTTGGAGCACATGGTCACCATAAAAAAAGTGAGCGATCATCGTCTAGGTTATGGATAGAGTTCGAAGCTAACATGGTACAGGGACTTTTTGCCTACGTCCTGATATACCTCGTCGAGCTGCTCATTATAAAAGTCTCGATTTTGATGTTCTATCGCCGAGTTTTTAACATGAACTGGATGATATGGACATGTCTCATTTTTTCATGCTGCTGGTGCACAGGCAGCATGATTGCAGCTCTTTCGGCCCCGAAGCCGATCTCATACTTTTGGAGCGAAATGATCAACCCTTCGTCTGGAATATGGCGATATAACTTTTATTACTACTATATCGGCAACGCAGCATCCAACGTGATATTAGATGTTCTGATCTTTATAACCCCAATACCTGTGGTGTGGAAGCTCCAGATGCGAACCGGTCAGAAAATCGCTATATGCAGTCTCTTCCTCCTTGGTGGATTGTATGTTTGTTCCCGTGCCTCCATTATCATATGCTCAAATGCTAATTTTTCTAGTGTATGTGTCGCAAGCATCGTCCGCATCCATTATCTTACCTTCTTAAACGGCACCGAAGATGTGACATGGACATTAAGCGAAGTGGCCGTGTGGTCAGTGGTTGAGCCGGCCATCGGAATCATTTGCGCCTGTCTACCATACCTACAGCCGCTGATTCGATCGACTATCCGAAAAATTTACAGCCAGCGTTCAAGAACAGGACGCATTTCTTCATCAATACCAAAGTTAAATGCCTCGCAAAGGCATACGACCAGCAAACGGAGTGACCGTCATGAGGCGTGGCACGGACAGACGCAGCAAGGACATTTAAGGTCGAAACCTCTTTTCATCTCAGACGATGATTGCATGCGTTTGACCGCTCTCTCGACTCGTGTTGAGATGGAAGACTCAAATGACCGCGAGAGTGTCGAAGGGAATCTTGACCCTATGTCTATTCGTGTGAAGAAAGATGTCCATTGGACCGTGGGCTAGAAAATACTGTCATAGACCTGGATGGGAGTTTGTTTGCTACTGAGCATCGTTCCCTCGCTCTCTCTTTTCGTCTTTGATAACTAGGTATCTTCGAATATAGACTTTCTTCTGTGCCATTGCCTCTATTCTCCCAGTAGTAAGATTCACTCCTGTGATTTCTGTGGCAAACTCAAAGGATCCGTTGAGATCTCGTACACCATCCCACCTAGAGCCTTGGACAGGTCCACTAAAACGCTACAGTGGCGGGGATTCAAACATAGAGACGCACTAATGGTGATAGATCGATGTACTATAAATGTGAGCAAAGAAACGGAGTACGCCTGTAGACCAATTGAATCTTGATATCATTGGTCTTTGGGTGATGGGAGCCACTGATATTGATATCTTTAGTGGTTTGCATAATTTGAGCGATTTCCAAAGAGGAGGATCGTAATTGGTTGATACCTAGCTACCTCGGTATTTTAAGCAACGAGCGTCCAGAAAGCAACATCCTTGGCCTAGCTCCGCACCGAAATCCCCCCTAATTATCCTATACAGAATACCCTCTTCATTTGGCGTGACTTGATTCGAGATTTTGCCCAGTCAAAGGGTTCGATTAGAGGGTTTTATATTCTTATCCAGTTGTCTCAATGCCGGTCTCACCTGTTGGAGGATGTCAGCTCCAAAGGAAGGATGGGCTTCAATCAATTTCGAAAACTTGTCCGTGTTGTCAACGAGATAGTCTCGGATTGAGGCAAAAGCCAGGATCTTCCTTACGGGGTGGCCATAAGGCAAGGCAGTTGCTGAGATGATATGCTCGGAACTAATCCAGGGGGTGCGGAAATTAAGCCACAGGGCGGGGTAATCGACCCACCTGACGCCGTCTTTGGTCCGGGTGACACTGGGCTTTTCAAAAAGCAATTGAGAAACGTACGGCCCATGGACTTTGTCTTCGATGTATTGAGCCACATTTTCCCCCAGCTTGATGATTTTGTACATGTCTGCGAGTCTCGCAAGCTCCAAAGCGGCCGAGACACACTCTGTGTTATCTGTGATGTCAAATCTCACGGTACGTAAGTAAAGCCACATGATAAGTGCTTCTACACTTCGAACCGAGACAACATCCTTCATCTCCTCTATATCTACCGTCCGGGTTTGAGACTCTTGGAAATTGCCTTCGAACATTGCTGAGAACACGGGTGATTCTGCGCAGATGATGGCTTTGGAAATGGTGTATTCCTTGTTGCTAGGCACGACTCGAATCTCGACTTGAGTATCTCGATAGAGGGGAAGGATACTAGGAGTTCATAGATTAGTGACTCCTCTGTGAAGAAAAAAATCATGTGCCACCTACGCTGTGACGAATTCATGAGATTCGACGACACCTTGTATCTTATCCATGGTTTCGGGCCTGGCAGTTTGAAAAAATAAGAGCTTGGAATTATTGTTGCTGTATGTGATACGGGTTGTTCCACTTGAAGCTGATGATTGAAAAGGGGCGATGAAGAGGTGATGGGGAGGAATGGAAAGTAAATGAGTTCAAGTATGACCACTGCATCTTGAAATTAGGTTGTTGGCGGAAAGAGAAGTGAGGGAAGAACTATGTGCTCCATCTGGCTATCTGGCTTCGATCTCGGCCTCCACTCTTTTTTTCTCGGAAACTCTCATGTCAAACTCCATCAACGACGTACTTTTCAAATCACCATTGCCAACATCTTCGTGGAGCTGCTTCTGTAGTCGCATCTCAGCCATCTTATCCGATCCCGATCCACTTGCAACTCATAACAGCGTGCGGGAACTAGGGTGCTGTAATATGAGAGCTCGAGCTGTCTTGTACCTGCTTTGTACATATCCATGGATGAAGATAAAGCTAACTCGGTGTAGTCCTCGGCATTTGGCTTTATCCGTGCATAAGAATGAGGGTTTTATTAAGCCTGCATATGTCAGAGTGTATAATGTGACTGGATTCATTCTCCGGGTTGTCTTTGTCTGCAGCATTGAGAGCAATCGATTAGGCAGCAAGTCTGGGCATGCAGCTTAAACAGTGAGCTTGGGTGTTGTTGCTCATGGCTGGGATTCCCGGCAGAAACTAACATGCAAAGGTCGAGTGATAACTACGAAGGATTCTTTCTAGTTGGAGCGCATCTTAGACTCGAGGGAGGCTCTTTTGGAAAGGGTATAAAAGGGTAGCCTCCCCCCCCCTCTTTCTCTTTCCTTCTTCATCTCTCCACCTCTCACCTAAACACTCCCCTACCAGCCACTCCGCACTTTTCATCGCACTTCTTCTTGCTTCCTCTCACTTTCCATCAGTATTGATGACCATGGTAAGCTTTGCGTATTTTCACTATTCCACCGCCTTTCAACCCCCAGATGCATTCATCACGCTGGTCTTGAAATGATGAGCCTTTCAAGTCAACCCAGAGATGTCATTTACCCAAAGAGAGCCACGGACTCACATTCTTCCAGTTGCCCAAGGTCTCAAAAAAACAGGGGAAAGACATGTCATCCCTCCTGCTCCCAAGTCAGGCAGCACCCACAGCAGCTATTCCAACGCGACAGCTTCTTGTTTTCCACTTCTAATTTCTACTTGGTGAGTCCACTGTCCTACTCACATTTTATCTCCATCAACTCGGTTCAATATCATGTCATTTTACTCATGATTTCTCGTCAACCGAGTCGCAACACACCCATAAAATGACTTACTGACTGTACTAGACACACGGCCTCGCTGGCCTGCTCAATACCCTGAGCAGTGTTTCCAAATCATTCAAGTTCGACATTCAATGTTTCGAGGCCAAGCAGCTGTGTCGTGGCAGGCTTCGATCTCGAGAAAATCGGCACAATTGGCATCAGAATCAGAACCACTTTCACCCCTATCAACCTCGTTCGACCATTGTACAGCCACACGCAGCCATGTCGAGTCAAGCCTTGTTTTGAGAACACCATTCCGCTATACCGATCATCTGCGGCAGTGCCACACCTATCGCAGGTGCCGAGCGCTTTCTTTCGATCATTACATCCATCCACCACTTTGATTTACCATGCTCAATCAACGAATGCAGCTATGTCGTGGCGGGCTTTGGCTTCAGGACAATCGACATAGCTTGCATCCCAACAAATTCACCACCGTTTTCGTCTACCACGCTCATTCAAACACATGCAGCTGTGCCGTGGCGGGCTTCGGCTTCAGGACAATCGGCACAGCTTGCATCGAAATCAACCTTTCCACGACTCCCCATCTCATTTAAAGCCATCACACCCAAACACACGAAACTGTTAAGGTCAAACTCTCTGAGCGGAAAAAAAGTTATTATTGGTAGGATGGAAGCAGCAAAGTGGGCCAAGCTCTGCAACATTGATACCTTCAATGGGGATGAAACATACGGCAAGGCCGCCATTTACTGGAGGAGTAGGGGGAGTTTTGCAAATCGGCGTGTATATCAGAGATGCAAAATTGCAATAAATTTCATATATTGCTATCATGCAATGGAATGGGGAGAGGAAGAAGAGCAGAGGTCCACAGGATAAACAAGCAATCTATCTACATATGGCGATCTGAACCCTGAGATGGGTCATCTCAACAGTTCATTACTTCTCAAATCTCAGAATATTTCATTGAAAATTTACTCAAAATCAAGAGGCTCTCCCTAGGTCGGTACGATGGATCTAACTGTAGCCCTGATGCCCTTTCCCGTGTGATAGCCAACATGCAGTCACCTTTCAACCCGTGAGATTGGTTGGCAAGCAGTATCTTCTAAACGGGGACCAAATCATTACATGCGTCATCGACTCGCTTAACAGATACAATGTCTCCCACAAAACATCCATAGGACATAACCATGTTCCCAGCGGACATCATGGTTGGACATCGGATACGCTGCGTTGACTGCAAAGAAGCGAACATAATTTGGCTCGTGGGGTCTGATGTTGGCAGACCCCCAAATAAATTGGACCGGGTTCAAATCCCAACCTCTTGGTGGGTTGGGCTGTAAGGTTTGTGAACTTGAGCTGGGCTAGTCCTGATTTACTGCCCAGGTGAAGTATGGTAATTGTGGGGCCAGTCTAGCTGGTCCACTTTTTTTATTGGTCACGTGGTGCACTTTAATTTCTTGGTATTGCGCCCCTTCCAGATATCCTGCTTGGATTGTCTCCATTTTATACAATCTAGCGCAGACGAAGATGCTTGGCATCCACGTTTTCCAGAATCAACTCCACCTCTTCATCCAAATACTCGAGAATGTGCCCAGAAGGGTAATGTGCACGCCATCCAATTGACTCCGCGTGTTTAGGTACGTATGGTGAACTGTGGTAATCATTAGCATTTTTTGTTCTGTAATCTGTGCTGTGATGGTATAATTCTGCTTATCTTCCACCAATTTTGACAACAACAGAAGAAGCCGGCACATTGAGTGCTTCGGATGCTTTCTGGATGATTTCGTCTGTAGCGGGAACCACAGAAGCATCTGCAATGAGATTACGTTTCTTCAAGGACTTTCCGACTGCCTTGTAGATCTCATTCCAGGGGACGGGTCCAGAGGATGCGAGGTAGTACCCATTCTTGCCATGTCCGGGGTTCTTGCCGTTCAGAATGGCCTTGACAATTGAGATATAGAGCGAGGCGCAATCCTCAACATGGCACACAGGCCATACCTATTCGAGATGAGCTTACGCCCATTGAATGTGGGAAAACAAATCTTACCTGGTCTTCTCGGCCAATTTGGAAAGCGTGTCCCGCGGCTTTAAATGCGACCACGACGTCGACTGTTTGGATAGATATCTTGTTTCCAAATCCGAGTCCCTTGCCATCTGTATTCACTTAGTCTATTGATCCGTAGGTATATCCAAGAGCAAAGAGTACTTAGAAGACTTACACACAATACAAGGAGAGAAAATGTAAACTTTGACACCATACTTCTCACCGGCTTCGATTGCACGCGTATTGGTATTTAGGCACTGTCATGTGGTGTTAGTAAAAGAGAAATATATAAGGGTGTATGAACGTGAACCCACGGCTTCTAGTGCTTCGTTGGAGCCCTGGGGGTTTTGCTGGGACTTTCTGGTTTGGTCTTTTTGAATGTCATAGATAGATGGCTCGGTATCAGGGAGAGGCGTGTTGGCGTCGAGGCCTGCCATATACGAGAAATGCTTTGTTCCCGTTGTCTTAGGAGGTTAGCAGCTGCAGGTCTAGAAAATTCTAAGTGATGGAGACATACATAGATAAAATGAACTTCTTGACCGGTTTGATTTTTCACTTCCGACAATGCTTGGATGAATGGAACTTGAGATTCTGCCTTGTAAGCATCGATAAGATAGAAAACAATGTTGATTTGGTTTTCGAGCAGCAAATGCTTGATATCATCGGGCTGCAGGGAGCACTTCACGGGCTCTGCAGAGTACAGAGTTTTGACAGCCTCCGCCTGTTCATCCGATCTGATCATCGCAAACAGTTTGTCATAGCCGGAGATGTTGGCATTTTTCCATTCGGCCAGAAGGGTGCCACCTAGGTAGCCTGAACCACCAGTGATCAAGATGTTATGGCCCATATTGGTCGGGTAAGTGTACGATTGCAGAGTAAAATTGATTTGGGCTGTCTCAGTGAGAAATAACTTTCAATTATGCAGCAGATGAGACACTTTATAAGGATACCTCTGGGGCTAGGTGAGAAAGTCGATTGTGTATTCAGAGCCTGCTTTCGGCATGCTTCCCAGTTGAGTCCTGGAATCCAAGAGCCCTGGAGGGGCCTTGGGAGTTTGGCCAATAGGAATGTCTGGGTGAGGGGATTGCCGCGACCCGCTCGTTACTATTGGTCGATCTTGATATAAATATTGAGCCCCCCATATCTCATGCCTGTGGACCTCTAGGGCTACTTTCATCATAACGCCGACTACAGCACTCCAGATCCCCAGATAGTTGGATTTGTAATAACACACGGAATCACTTCTTAGACTTTTCGCTGGGAACTCTCCTATTTACTTAACGTGCCTTTCCAATTGATGTGACATATAGAACGGATATTCAAGTCGTGCAGTTTAGCTAGAAGAAAGATGGCTTGGGGAATAGGGCATAAATCATCAGTGAGAGGGTTCAGAAAGGGGCATATCTCCCGTATTGACACGGAGTTGCAGCGAAGTACAGATGTACCCCAGTTTTCACTTCTCAAGTTGATCAACATTATAAGATAGTCTCTCTAAAATAAAATAGAAAGATTTCGACCTTCTACTACAAATGCACCACCTAATGCCCTATAACAAATATACTAGGTCAGTTGGTCTTTGCTGGGGCCACTTCTTAGCTAGTAATCCATATCTTTGCCTTGGATGAACTTGAGAATCAATATCTCATTCTGCGTAGAACTCTATGTGAACTTCAGAAACAGTAATGAGACGTTATTCAACGCAACTGCCAGTACTTGACTCTAGTCTTGGAGGTCTTTTTCCCTTCTTTTCTTTAATGGGGCGCCTGCCTCCTGGTATGATATCGAAACCCAATGCGCTTCTTGCACCCTCTGCCCATCATATACCTCTTGACGGCATCAACTTCACGTCCCGACGTGCACACGAAATTATGATCCAGCATATCCGTTAGATCCATTCATTGTTTAAACTAAGTAGAGGCCATCAATCTATTGCTGATGTCCATGAGCTTCACATATACCTAGGTATGGCTTGACAGCTGGTGTCAAATCCCCACTTTGAGTTAGGATGGCCAAAAATCTATCTACAATATTGTAGATGAGCAAAAAAGAGATGACCGACGCAGGGATCGAACCTGCAATCTCTTGATTCGTAGTCAAGCGCCTTGCCATTGGGCCAGCCGGCCGTAAAGTGGGGTGCGAAGCTCCACTTCATCGGCTCAACCCAGTAAGCTACTGGGTTGTTCGATGGAAGAAACTGCCATTTTGGGCTACATGAGCCTGAAGATACTCAACTGGATAGGACCCTCTCAAATTTATTATTGGCCAATCACAATCACTTCTAAGTTGTATGCCTGGATGCTCCCAAGAAAATAGTGGTTCTCAACGACATTCAAATCCATTGATGTCTAGAGCTTCAACCTTGTAAGGGGATTTATCCTGCCATGTTTCTCATCTGAAAACTGCATTTTTACTTAAGTACTGTACTTAAGCACGACTTTCCACATAACTGCTCAAGTGTGGAAATTTTTGCCCATTCCAAGGCTGCTCTTGGCCATGTATATATCTGTAGGAAGCTCTCCGGTGACCAACATATGAGCTCGAGCACATTCGTGGATAAGCCGATGCAAAAATTTAGAAGATTATTGCTGCTGGGCACATTCTAAAGTTTCGAATTTCTAAATTTTTCGCTGACCTGCTCACCACCTAGAAACGCCAATGCAGGACTCTCAACCTTGGAAGGTTGGTGGTACAGAACGGCAACCGCCCAACTCCCCCCATTTGCACTGGGCTCTTACAATGTGCCACCTTCTAAAGTTGGCAGAGTGGTCAGGATCAACCTTAGAGCCTCCCCACCTAAATTTTGGAAATAATCAGAGTCCCGATGTGCATAGAAGTGAAATTTCCAATGTTTCCAACACACCTGTTCTAAAGTGAGCAAAGCGAGCACAACCTGTAGACGCAAAGCAGACAATCCTAGCTTTCAACTTTAGAAGTTGCCGCCAATATTTGTACCCCCACAAGTGACTAGAGGTTCAATTTACAGTTACACTGGATCTGACGGATGCTCACGAGGGTCCTCGGGGGTAGACCAAAACTTTGAAGCACAAGGGAACCTCAGCGGAGCAATTATGAATATCATCTACTCCGATGAGAAACTCCTCAGCCTTGTGTTCCGGACCTTCAGCTGAAAGATCCGTTGCTATACACCACTGGGCCTGAGCAAGAACCTTGGAATAAATTGGCTTCAGTAGAGTCAGACAAAGGTGATGTGGTGGCACTTTGACGAGAACGAATAGAACGCCATCCCGTACCGTATTTGGCAACCCAGGAAGAATTGCTGGATAATCATTATCATGCCACCCCTTGAACTATATGGACAATTCTTATCCGCCCCGAATTTCAGAAGAGTTTCGGGGCATAAACCCATATCTATGAAAGCTGAGACACCAAACAAGAACAACTTTAGAAGGTTGGGATGTAATTCAGCAGATGTCAGATCGTCAAATGTTTAGTCATGGTTGTTGAAAGCTCTTAATTTAGTGATTCACCCATACGGCGCCCAATTCAGCGTGTAATTAGACATATAGTGCATCTCAGATAATTTCAATTCTGATAGCTACTGGCTATACTACGTAGATTCGCCTACACACCAGCCCTGGAGAAATTCCATGCCGTAAGAGCTACTCGAGATCAACAATAGATTGCTCGAGGGAGTCCTCCAAAGAGACCCAACTAGAGCCCGAGAAACCCAGTAGAATTTGCTCGGCTCGCGGAGCCAACGCATAGTCAAATGGGCATTGAATGTCGTTCGGCGCATCTGGAATATTGGGGTTGTTGGGACGCAGCCGGCGCATTATCGCGATGACATCGGTCCACCTGAACTTGGCCGCTGTACCAAAGATGCGCTCCGACTGAATGTTCGGGTCGAGGAGCGCAGCGATATGAAGACGGGCAACGTCTTCCACGTCGATGTACCACCCTAGGGGGGTTTACCAATGCAAAGGTCTAGAGATTCGAGATAGGCGCACTTACCAGGAGGGAAAAGCCTCATGAAAAAGTCTTTACCTTGTAGGAACGCCCGAACGGGCGCGATTGATTCACTGACGTTAGGGTTGACGCGGGAGCCAATCTGAAACGTTAGCACTAATGCACGTCTCTGGAAATGGGAATTACGCACCACGTTGTCGGGAACTACCGTATTGAACCGGAAGGGTGGCTTGTTGTCCTCGACCCATTTCCAGGCCTGACGCTCCGCCTCTGTCTTGGACGCTGCATAGACTGTTTCCCCAGGAACCCTCTCGAGCCGGGTTCCAGCTTGCACGGCTGCGACGACGGCATCGTTATACGTGGCTACGGCGGTTAGTATACAGTGCCGCATCTATGTGTATTGAAATGGGCCAACCGTTGTCGATCACTGTAGGCTCCGACGCATATGTCAAGGTATTGCATGCTGCAGACGATGATGTCAGCACCACCGACTTGACAGCGGTGTTCTTGGCTGCCTCGAGCATCGCCAGCGTCCCCTGCACGACTCGCTCGATCAGTGCGGGGTCCCGGTCGAATGAATTGTCCGTTGCGACTAGCACTACGCCCGCAACGCCCTCGAAGAGGCTGGCGTGCGGCTGAGCCAGGTCTGGAAGGATGGTGGACTCGTAGTCGTACTTTTGGAACATTTGGTCCAGCCACGGTCGGGGCTCTCGGACAGTCCCGCGTACTCGGTAGCCCCGCTGGAGGAGAAGGTTGACGATGTGCGAGGCGACGAACCCATTAGCACCGGTAACCAGAATTCGGGACTGTGGTGGAAGTGGATCGAACATGATTTGCAGTGAGATTTGCGGTTGTAAGATCCATTTCGAGGGGATCTGGTCTCATATAGTCAGCGAGAGTCCCCTGGTTGTACGAGACAAAAGTCCATGTCCACTGGAGCTAACCCGTCGCGGGGTTACGCGCATGAGAAAAAGCGTTAGCAAGATTAAGTGCGGATGTAAGGGAGCTCTCTTAGCCCGCTCTCCCCTTCCCGCTTTAATAATCGGGACTCTCTCTACTCTTCCTACTCTCGACTTTTTCTGCCTTTCTTTCTTTTTACTCTCTGACCCTCTCTTCTTTGGAACTTTATCTTTATCCTTTGGAATTGTGCCGACATGCGTATCACCGTCAGCGTGATCCGCCCAGATGCGGACTCCGACATCATCAACTTGGAAGTCGGCGGCGACATGACAATCGATCTCTTGAAAGCCATTGTCGAAAGCGAAACCTCCATCCCACCGACAGCTCAGCAGATCGTTTACAACAACCAGCTGCTCCAGTCTCCCGTACAGACCCTGGACTCAGTGGGCATATCCGAAGGTGACATGCTCGGGGTACACGTCACTCTCCGCACCCCCCAACAAGCCACCCCTCGTCCCTCCGCCCCCTCCAGCTCAAGACAACCCGCCCCTCGTCCCGGCATGCCAGACCCGGAAACTATCCGCCTGCACATTCTGGGCGATCCTCGCGTGCGCGAGGCTGTTCGCAGGCAGAACCCAGAGCTCTCCGAGGCAGCAGACAATGCTCAGCGCTTCCGAGAGGTCCTGCTGAGGCAGCAGCAAGGTGAGGCGCAGCAGGAGGCTCAAAAGGAAGCTCGCATTGCAATGCTTAATGCCGATCCCTTCAACCCGGACAATCAGAAAGAGATCGAGGAGATCATTCGCCAGAATGCCGTGACGGAGAATTTACACAATGCCATGGAGCACCACCCGGAGTGTACGAGTCACCCCCTGCGAAACCTCAATGGACCCAAACTAACCAGGATATTCTAGCTTTCGGGCGTGTCACCATGCTTTATATCCCCGTCGAAGTGAACGGCCACCGTCTGAACGCCTTCGTCGATTCCGGCGCTCAAGTAACAATCATGTCCCCCGAATGCGCCACGGCATGTAACATCATGCGTCTCGTCGACCGTCGCTACGGCGGTATCGCCAAAGGTGTCGGTACCGCCCCCATCCTCGGCCGTGTTCATTCAGCCCAGATCAAGATTGGTGAGATGTTCCTCCCCTGCTCTTTCACCGTCATGGAAGGCAAACAAATCGACCTCCTGCTGGGTCTTGACATGCTCCGTCGCCACCAAGCCTGTATCGACCTGCAGCGCGGTGCGCTCGTGATCCAAGACCAGGCCGTGCCATTCCTCGGCGAAGGCGACATCCCCAAACATCTCACCGATGAGTTTGAGGCCGAGCCCACTGTCAAAGGTGCCGATGGTGCCGAAGTCGGTGCCCGCACTGGTGCCGTCACTCACCAGGCCGAGAACAACGCTGCCCCCAGCTCGAATCCCAGCTCTGCTCCTGCGCCCGCCCCTGCTGCGCCAAGGATCAACATCCGCCCCGCATCGCGGTGGCCTCAGGATTCCATTGCCAAGATCACAGAGCTGGGATTCACGCGGGATGAAGCTGTTCGCGCCCTCGACGCTGCCCACGGTGACTTGGATGGCGCCATTGGTTTCCTCATCTGATCTATTGTCTTGCATCTATGGCGTCTTGGGATTTTTTTTAGCGTAATGATTGTACGATTACAGCAGCATTACATTAGATTCTGGATCTTTTTTTACTCCCGCTTGCTTTTGCGAAGCGCTTTGCGTAGCCGGTTGATACCGTCTAGAGCCATGTAGCCACCTGCCAGGGTTAGTTTTCACCGTAAGGGCGTATGGGCAAACGGAAGTAGACATACCCAATGCGACATAGGGCCCGTACAGCGATGTGATCTGCTGTTTTTGAGCGGTAGTCCGATCCGTCCAGCTCCAAACCTCAACCAGACAAGTAAGGGATGTGATGAAGGCCTGAAGACCAAAAATGACGAGGTGGATAGGGAGATTGACATGGTCTGGAATACCGTTATAGTTAGCCGGATACGGGGTAAAATAGATTAAAAAGAAGACAGAAAAAAGAAAAGAAAAGAAATAGGAAAGCGCCGAGCAAGTGCCGGCATTGCGCGCAATGACATACCCCTAAGCAAAGCGCGCACGGCCAATAGCGAGGCGGGAACATGATACAGCAGCTCCATCCAGATAAACGCGGTGAACCATGGTGGGGGCTCGGAGAAGAACTTGTCCTGGTAGGTGGATATGTAGAATTCGCGGAGCTGGTGGGAGAGATTTGTTTGGAGGACGGTTGGGAGTAGCGGGACAGTGTCGATGACTGGTTGGTTAGCGCTCTGGATCACATTGGGGAGAGTGGCGGTCACGTACGGAAGATGATAGGGATATGAGTGACGAAGAAGAGCAGATAGGCGATATCGCGTTTGCGCATGCCGAGATCGGTCGATGAAGTCATGATGCCCGAGCTGTGTACGAGTACTCCGGACTAAGAAGTAAGAGCCGAGCCTAAGAACCGAGCCTAAGAACCGAGCCTAACAGCAGAGACTAAAAGCAGAGAGACTAAGAGCAGAACTGACAGCTCTTGGGAGACGGAGTAAGAGCGACTAAGAATGCCAAGACATGACGATCAGGTGATCCCGGAACAATCTGGAAGGAGCAAAAGTACTCGAACTAAACGGAAAAAAGTACTGTACTCCAGCACTAAGCAGTTCTAAGGTCTAAATCAGATAGACTACAAGATACCTATAATTGCTTTTTCTTTAACCTACGAAGTGTCTGTACCGTGGACTCGGATTTGACACATCTCCTGCCGGTCCAGGGGGGCCCACAGAGTACCTTGCAAGTTCTCACCGCTGCTTCTCTCAATTTTAAGGTGCAACTAGTGGTCTGACTTTTCTCCTTCGGCACCGTTGGTAGCCCGAATCTATGACACTCGTCAACTACCTGTCTACTCGTATCCCGTATTTCCCAGTGTCATATGAAACGGTGATAGCTTACAACGGCCTCGAGTAAAGAGTCTGGGTCATCGGCCCGATCCTTTCGATCCACCAAAGGACCTTGGTACTCCGGACTAGGGCACGAAGGAGTTGACATCAATGCATGTAACAAGGGATTCCCTGGTTTCCATAGACCGCAAGATCTACTCGAACCAATTCTGAAATATCCCGTGGTACTCCGTGGGTTATCTCTTCCTGTCCTTTGTACTCTGTACTTTCCTACTACTTCGTCTGAAGCAGGACGAGTCCCATGTGGTTGTATGCATATAGATCACAGATAATGCAATTGCAATCCCGACTGCATTATCGGACAAAGAAAGGAATCCATAGCGGTGTATACAGCGTATAGGGGGAAATAGAAAAATAAAATGAAAAAAATAAAAAAGAATATTGAGCCGAAGTGGCGGAATCCCTTATTTTGGTAGATTTTAAATGGGATTTTCATAGGATTTACAACGGGAAATACTGGGTTTTCCAACCTGAATTGACAGTTTTCATCATATTGACCCCTTTGGGCAATCGTACTTGACCGCTGTTCATATAGTTCCCCCCCCTGTCTCGACTATATAAGTCCCAAGTGTCCCTCTCTTACCCACTCTCCATCTTATCCATCTTATCCATCTGACTCCACAATGCCTTCCTCGGCCCCCGTTCTCCGGCCTAAGCAGCCCAAGGAAATTCCCATCAGCTACGACATTAACATTCCCTACGTGGACGTCGACAAAAGATCTAAGATCTCAACCAATTACCCCCAATATCTTCCATCATGGGATCCAGTCTGGTTCGACCCCCTCACACCATTCACCTACAATGATCCAGCTCTGCGTGTGCGCAACAAGTCCAAGCCCAACCTCCTGGCAGGCGCAAAAGTCACAGACATCCAACCATCCATAGGCTCAATCATTGAAAACGTGCAACTCTCCAACCTCACCGACACAGCCAAAGATGAACTCGCCCTGCTCATCTCAGAGCGCAAAGTCGTCGCCTTCCCAGAACAAGACCTCATTGACGCAGGCCCAGATGCCCAAGAGTCCTTCATGCGCCACTTCGGCAAACCAAACTACCAGCCCGTCTCAGGCTCCATGACAGACCACCCAGCCTTCCACATCATTCACCGCGATGGCAACAAGGACGAGATTCAGCGCTTCCTCTCCCAGCGCACAACGACTACCCTCTGGCATCAGGATGTCAGCTACGAGATCCAGCCTCCAGGCTACGTCATGCTGGGCCTTTTGCAAGGCCCCGAAGTCGGCGGTGATACCGTGTTCGCCGCGACAGATATGGCGTATAAGCGACTTTCGCCGGCTGTGACGTCTTTCCTGGATGGGTTGAAGGTGACGCATTCGTCGCGCAAGATGATTGATCATGCTCGTTTGACGGGTGGTCTGATCAGGAAGGATCCGGTTGATACAGTGCATCCGCTTATTCGGGTTCATCCGGTGACGGGGGAGAAGTGCATGTTCTTGAATGGAGAGTTTATTACGAGAATTGATGGATTGAAGGATTCTGAGACCAAGTGGGTTTTGGATTTCTTGATGAACCATTTGGTTACTGGGCACGATTTCCAGGCTCGAGTGCGCTGGCAGCCTAGGACGATTGTTTTGTTTGATAATCGGTCAACAATTCGTAAGGATTTCCCTTTCCCCCCTCTGATTCGGACTTGAGGCTAATTTTTTTATTATTGCAGACTCGGCTATTGTCGATTACTTGGATGATGATTATGGTGCCAAGGCTCGTCATATCTTCCGTTTGATTGCTTTGGGCGAGAAGCCCATTCCGGTGTACGAGGATGAAGAGAATGTGGAATTTGAATAGATTGTGGAGTTTTACGTTAAATGGGTTGATGCTTTTGATGCTTTGAATTATTTTTTTGGAACACTTTTAGATTAATGGGACAGGCATTGTTTCGGGTTGCATGGGGTCTACAATAATTTTTTTGAGGCGAGAGAGAAGCATATGAACATTTAGGGCTATACTCCAGCATTGAACAGTTCGTTTTTCATTACCCACCCTCACGCCTAGAGTTACAAAGAAAACAGAAACCAAGCGACTCATCGCAATAAAGAAAATGTCAACCCGAATCCCGGGTCCCGAATTCCAGGAAATGCAGTTTGGCATGTCGCCATATTCAACAAAGGTACTCCGTAGATCACTGCAAAATATCATCGATCCGTGACCGCAACTCATGAGCGGCCTCCAACTGCTCCTTGCCAATGACATTGTTCTGCGTCAGAATCAGGAGCATCTCTGAGACCCGCTCGGCAACAATATCCGACCCGAACACCATCCCGCCTAGTCGCACGGTCTCCTGGAACCAGCCAGTCAGGAGGTACAGCAGATCCTGTGCAATATACCGGCGGTTGGACCCGTGGAAGGGGGCTTCATCGGTGTAGTACATGGTCTCAAGGACTGCGTACAGGGATTCGTGCGGAACGCCGAGATCCAAGAACAGATCCACCACCCAGGTAGGCGGGCCGACGTTCCGCTGGAACTCCAGAGAATAACGCTCGAGCATGGGGACAAGCTCGCGGATGGGGAATATCGTCTCGGACAAACGCAGGCGGCTTCCGAGACCGCGCACTTTGTCGATCACCGCTTCGTAAGGTTGCGGTGAGCCCCGCGCAACGGTGGCTTGATGTGTGCTGTCGATCATGTGTTGCCAGGTGGACTTGACGTCTGCAGCATTGCGGTGGTCGGCCTGGTAGAAGATTTGGAGACAGATGTCATGGTAGCCGGCTGAGTCGGCAAACTGGTTGAAGAGCTGCAATGTGTTAGTTAATCTGACTTCCATAATCATCATGCAGTGACAGAGCTTACTGTGCTGATATCCTTAATCGGACCATCTACATCCGCTAGGACCTCGCCCTTGCGCTCGTCAGCGATACGCTCATCATCCTTGAGTCTTTGCAAGAGGTCATCTTGGATATTGGCCACATCGATCATATTCGAAATCTCTTGCAGCAGTCGCTGCCTTGACTGGCGTCCCACGTCCGGTGTGAAGATGGAAGCATTGGCACGGGCTTGGCCAAGATACTCAATGCGGCGGTTCAATGGCAAGATGAAAGCGCTTTGGGCGAGGTGGAACTGGACTTGTGCAGTCTCGAAGAATCGTTGAGACTGAGCGTAGTATCGCCAGAGCAGATCCGCGTGGCCCAGATCATCATTCGACTTGCGCTGAAGGTAAGTGACCACAAAGGGCGACTGTGTCTGCAACAGCCGGTCGTTCCAGCCTTGCTCGAGGTACCAGTCATAAAGACTGGTGAGGAATACTTCATCCGCCGAGTCCGAAATGACGCCATAAGCCTCACCCTGGCGTTTGGCCACGATGGTTGGTTGGCCGTCGATCACGCCAGGATCGGATGCTGCCAGGGTATCCACTGAAAGGACGACCTTGAAAATTAAATCATAGCACTGCTTGCGGAACAAAAAGTACTCCTTGCGGGGGTCCTGGGTAAAGGTGAGAGGGTGACGGTATCCATTGGGGAAGGGAGTGCGAACCTGATCGGGGCGTCCATCCATGATCCAGGAGTAGGCAAGGTTGGCTTTGTCGGAGCGGGCGGCCACATTGAGCGCGAGCTGGATCGCACCTGGAAGGATATTAGCATAAACTATTGACGAAAGACCAATCACGCCTTACCTGCGAAGAACTGGTTGACAATAAAATTATCCACAGCTGAGACCAGGTAGTCCATAGGTAGGCAGTCTGCCACCTGCTGGAACAGGTGCAGACTTTCATTGAGCAGGTTGCGGCCAAGCTCTGTGTTGGCACCGGCCTCAGTCGCACGCTTGAGCATCTCCTGTGCCTTGAAGATAACAACATCTTCCGTGCTACAGAAGCTGCCGCATCTTCTTCGAAGTGCGTCAGCCACCGTCTCGACGTTGGACCCCTTGGCAATGTTTCGGTTGACAATCCCCTTAACCAACTCCTTGGCGATATCGTGACCCTTGCTAGAGCTAAACAACTCCTCGAATGTGAGGCTGAGGAACTTATCCTGGGATTCGATTGGCAAGGTAGCCACAATCTCATCGACTCTCTCATCGAATAGCACAAGAATGAATGAAATGCCCTCAATTGTGTGAGAGACCAATTGAACAAGTGAATGTAGAGCTCGGTGCTCGGCTTGCAGTGCTGTTTCTTCGGTCTTTGTATTCATCCGATTAAGTGCATCGGGTCCGCTGAGCCCCTCGATAAAGTTCCTGTTCACCTTGAAAAACTCTTGCAACGAGGAGAGGTCGTGCTGGATGGTCTGCAGTTTGACGGAGCTCACGGACGCTGAAACTGTTTGAGCGCCATTAGCTCCACTGCCCACCTTTGCGATTCTCTCCTTCCAGATAGACCGCAACAGACGGGAGATATAAAGAGCAATGCCCGCGTGTCGCGGAGAGGGCTGCACTGCATCAAGGGCAGATGTCGTTCCATCCGCCACAGCATTCTCATTCAGGTGGGCCCGACCTCCTTGCTCAATGAAGAACTGGCGTGCCAAGTTCAGAACATCGGGGTCGGTGATTCGAGTCATTCTTTGATCAGGGGACAATTCCACTCCCTGGCCGCAGGCAACTGCGAGTGCAGTCGCTAGCGCCTCGCTGCGTCCATAAAGCTTGATGAAGTTTCTTCCTTCGCCTTCCGGGCCTTCATCACGGCTTCCACCGTTGCGGAGCAAAGCCGCAAATATGTCCACCAGACGGCGCCGGCGGATCAGATGAACACCGCCGTTCGTCAAGATGGCAATCTCTGCTGTTGGATGATCGAATTGAACAGCCAGCTCATTGGTCACTGACGAAGGTGGCGATACCAAACCAATGTCTTCCGCTTTACCTCCCAGGTCCAGGACGATTGCCGACTCGGCGTCTTTGTTGCCATTGGTCGCATTATCCTGCACATGTGCCACCCGACCAGAGTCAGGGGTCGAGATGAAAAGGGTGTCCATCTTCTGGAGGGGATCCTTTGTGGTAAAACAGAAGAAATAACCCGGGGAATATCGCTCGGCGAGTCGCGTGGGTGCTAATGTGGTGATCTGACCAGCAGAGGGCGCGATTGCGCCGATAGGAGAGCCTGACGCATTCCCACCAGGAGTAATATAGACAGGCGGCGTCTTCACATGCAATGCCTGCATACTTGTAGGGGGGTTGGTGCCGTTAGACGCAGGGCCCCAATGGTATGAACCAGTGGCGCTCAGATAGATGCGGTAACCGGTAGCAGTCGTCGCGACCAGATGGTACCTCGAAGCTTCTGTAGCAGGCACGGGACTTATCGATACAATTTTGACTCTGGGATTGAGAGTCTCATTCGAGGTGATGATGTGTCCAATGTTGGAGTAAATATCGATGGCGCGTTTAGTGATGGCGAGTGTCAAGCTGCCTTCGGGTCCAAGATGGAAGACACGAATCGTAGACGCCGATGAAAGAGTGTAAAGCAAGTTTCGGCTTTCGTCGAGTGCCATCTGGACTATACTCTCAACCGAGCTCTGTGCGAGGTTGGTCAGGCTCATTGATGGCCTGAAAGCCAACAGGCGCGAACTGGTATGGTTCACCCTGCCACACCGTCCCTGGAACCACCTTTCCTCCTGTTGGTAGGTAACCTCGTGCACATCGGTATCAGACGATCCACCGAAGAAAATGCGCCCAGTGGAATCAGAGGCCGCGAAAACATTTATGTCCAAGCCGCGCACCGAGACCGACATTCCAGTGTGGTACAGAGAGACTTGCTGGCCCCCGCTGGGTGTCTTTTCATATCCCATTCCCAGGAGTATGATGTCTGCCGTCGTGGAGATCACTAGCAAGTGGGTGATTGCGGGTAAAAAGACTCCCGGGCGTGGCCTCGTCAATTTCACCGCGTTGATACTGTTAGGCTGGTCTTCAAAGCCCACGAGCTGCGGGTTTGGGTGGGTGAAATCCCAAATGTACAATGCGTTGTCAATGGCCACCCACGCGTGGTTCAACTCGGCAAACAAGCCCATGCTTGTCGAGACTTGTGCGCGATTGTATTGGTCGAAAATCTGGTCGGGGATGTCGTACATCTTGACTTTTTGGAAAGGTGCCCATGATTGGGCCCCAGGGATGTTGTACTCTGAAGAAGAGCCCTCTGCTGGTGGTTAGCGTGATCCAGACGGCTCTGACGAACGTGTTCTTACGTGACAAGTAACTGTCCAGGTCTGGATAATTCGATTCGCTCAGTAAAGCACTGTTAATCGTGCGCGCTCCGCGCTCCTCGGTGCTCACTGTCTGATTTTGAGTCTTTGATGCTGCTGGGGGAAGCTTCGGCATGGGGGTCTGGGGGATTTGCGTCTGCGACTGCATTGTCGGCATCGGCGACCTGGTCGGAAGAGGTCTCGGTCCAGTGGGCGCCGGAGTCTGAAAGTAAGCTCCAGGAAGGGGTTTCTGTGGTGTCGCCGGAGGGAGATTTGTTGGAAGAGTCGGATACGACATGGCGGCGGTTGGGAAAAACGGAGAATCCCCCGCTAAAAAAATCACAGGGAGCTGCAGTGGAGGTCGGACGAAAAAAATAGAGGGACAAAAGGGTGGGTATTCACGATGAATGCAGGTCTTGGGAGGGAGACTGGATTTATTGAAGGTCTTTGCGAAAAGAGAGAGTCAACACCGAGGACGCACAGACCATTTGAGATCTTCCGCCTTCTGCTTTCTATTGACGTTTGGGTCTGCTCTTATTCCCAATTGTCTATTACTATTGTCTCAACAATGTTTCAATCAATTCGTGTTGCCTTACCGGCTCGCCTTCCAGCTCGTCTGGTTAGGTGGAATTCCACTGGTCCCGTCCTGCCACCTTTGATGGGCACACTACGGACTGATCTGAAGACTGCCATGAGAGCCAAGGATACCACTCGGTAAGATATCTGGTCAATATTCTTGACTCCAAGCTCATGGTTAGGCTCAACGTGCTACGTGCCTTGATCTCCGAGACCAACAACGCCGCAAAGACTGCCTCCCCGATCCAGACAGATATTCAGCTCCTGTCTCTCATCCGGAAACGCTTGAACGCTACCAAGGATGCCGCAAAGGAGTTTGAAACCGCCGAGCGACTTGATTTGAAGGAAAAAGAGGATGCGCAGGCTGTAATTCTGGAAGAATACGCCGGTCACGTCAAGACTCTTCCCTTGGCCGAGATCGAAGGAATCGTGACCACCGTGATCAACGCCATGGTTGATGCCGGCGAAAAGCCCAACCCAGGCACTGTCTTCAAGACTCTCTTCGCTGAAAATGGTCCGCTAGACGGAAAGCCGGTGGACAGGAAGAATGAAGTTGCTCCGGTGGTGCAAGCAGCGCTCAAGAAAGTGGTCTCTTGAGTTTACGATTCAGCCATCGTCTTGTATATTAATGTCACATTAGCCTCAGAGGCAGTCAATTATCATTATAATTCACAAAAGAAACGAAGCTAACACCAATCAAACGCCAGTCTACCAAAACTTATGAGTAGAAGAAAGCCGCTCCTCCAAGAGATGTCATCAAAACGCCCAGCCACAACCACCGGTTTGGGTCGATCAATTGGTCCCTGCTGATGAGATAGAATCCGGTGTCGGATGGAACATCTCGCTTGGCCTTGTTTCCCGTAGGGTTGGGATTCAATGTCTTCGCAGGGAGCATCTTCGGTTGCTCGTAGGCGATAAACATAGGATGGACCTTGGAGCCGTCTGCTCTGGTCAATTGGAGGCGTTTGGTATCGTGATACTTGTCGATGCCGACGGAGAACTCCTGCATAGCGTGAGATTGAGAACAGAGATGGAACCATGTAATGGATCCTTGAGTATATATTCACCTTGAAGCGTTCAGTGGTGTTGAAGCGTGTGTATTCACTAATGTCCTTCCGGCAAGGATCCGACAACAACTGGCGACCATCCACAGCATTCGGCGTCAAAGTCAGTGAGCCGTTGGCAAACACAGCGTAAGAGCCGTGCTGCCACTGCATGATACCCCCGGGGCATTTCGGGTCGGCGGCTACTGCACGTTAGCTCACGTCGGAGGCGGATCTATACAAAGAACTCACGGTTGGAGATTGCACGATAGTAGGCTGATTCGTAGTTTCCATCACTATCAAATGAATACGAGATGCCGGTCAGATTGGGCTCGAGAAGTCTGTCTTCTAATGGGTCGTAAAATCCCTGGTGCACGTTAGTCCCATCCGGCCCCATTTGTATACTTCGACCTACCGGACCAGTAATAACCTGACGAGACTTAGTAGTCCATGTTCCAACCAGATCGTTGACATTTGCCAATGCAACTGTCGCCAGCAGGCTCCAAATCCAAATCATCTTGAGGTTGTCAAAGGGAAAAGTGTTCAGAAAGGGCGTATTTGAAGGGCGCCCTTCCTTCGGGTGGAGACCACAACAGAGCCCAGCAATGCCCTTATCATTATCGTCTGGAATGAGACTTCCCCCTCACAACCACCAAATGGCCTTTCAAGCAGCAAAGCGCGACTTGCGCAAAAGGATGCGCTCGGCGCTGTCGGCGCTGTCTACAACATCTATTATTCAACAATGTCAGAATATTTATTTCTCTCTCCCTCATCCTTACTGATATCCCCTCAGCTACCACTGCTACAACCAAGTTCCTGTCGCTGGCTGAATACCAGAACGCCAAAAGCATCGCGGTATACCTTTCCATGCCTAGCGGAGAACTTTCTACGACAGGTATTGTGCGCGATGCGTTGCAGAGTGGGAAACAAGTTTACATCCCATACATTTATACTAAAGACTCGGTTTCGGTGATGGACATGCTTGCGCTCAGATCCATGACGGAATTTGAGTCACTCCAGCCAGATAGATGGGGCATCCCGTCCCTTCAAGCTACACAAATTGAAGGTCGCCAGAATGGGTTGGCAGAGGGCTTAGATCTGATTGTGATGCCGGGCATGGCCTTCGATCGCGGGTTCCGACGTCTGGGTCATGGCAAAGGATATTATGATCATTTTTTAACGCAATATTCGAAACAGACCAGCAAAATGCCATTCCTTGGTAAGAAACTCAAAACAACCTGTTTATTTCCCGACTGAACTCCATGGTAGTTGCCCTATCTCTCCAAGACCAATTGCTCTCCGAGGAGATTCCGGTGGTGGATCATGACTGGCTGGTCGATGCAATCGTAGTCGGCGATGGTCAATGCTTGGATCGCGGGGTGTGCAAATAGAATGAAAACGAGCGATAGTTCAAACGGCTTGAATCAATGAAACATTGTCTCCCTTGAGGAGGATCTGGCCTGCGCGTGGGGTTAGCTCAATCCCGGTACTGTAGCTGTTTCATTCGTACCTAACGGCCTGCGCTTTTCCTCCTCTGTCTTGGTAGCCAGGCGCACTTCCACGGCATCGTCGATAACAAGGTTCATGAACTCGTCAAATCCCTATCAATTAAACCTGTTAGCTCAACGAACGGCGATAATCATTCTCGGAGCCACGTACGCGGATCTTCCCCTCAATCCTGAAGGCAAGCTGTTCATAGAGCCATACTGATACAGTGTTGCGCTTCTGCAGAAGACTGAAAATGAAGTGGATAGGGGCCAACAAAGTCTTTCGGCCAGCCATGATGTGTGTTGGTTGGATACACTGCGTCGGGGAGGTTGTCAAGGTGAAGAAAGCTCTGGCGGGCGGTCTGCGATTTGATTACCGTAATACGGGTTATCTCGTCACGGCCACCATCCCACCTTCAACTCGCCCTCTTTGTCAACCACCCTCTCTTGAATGACATATTGCTGAGCCTGTTTTAATTTAATTCAAAATGGCCAGCAAGGAAGCCGGGCAGGCATTCGCGCCGGTCCTGGCGGCTGTCGCGACAATGCAGGGAAATGTGTCTAGGTCCGAGAAGACTCAGGCTCACGAATTCCTTGAGAAGTTCCAGAAATCGGTAAGGAGATTGCGCTTATGCTGAACATTCTGTGTTAACTTCCCCATAGATTGAGGCTTGGACGACTACCCATGCTCTGTTACAGGCACCCGATGTACCCATCGAGGCCAAGTTGTTCGCGGCAACTACATTGAAAGGAAAAGTAAGTTGGCTCTGTACTACGTGATTTGGCTCTCTCTCTAATTGCGCAGATTATCTTTGATCTTGATCAACTACCCCCCGACTCCGTATTGGCACTGCGAGACTCTGTTTTGAACCTCCTAGTCGCATTCGCGCCGGGCCCGCGCCCCATCCAGACCCAGCTATGCGTTTGTTTGGTCAGTCTGGCGATTCAGATGACCGCATGGAAAGATGTGCTTGCGACTGTTGGCTCAGCTTTAGGAAACAACGCTGGAGACTGCGTGCTTGAGTTCTTGAAGATCTTGCCCGAGGAAGTCACTGAGGGGCGCAAGATCAACCTCAGCGTTCGTGTAACCGGGTGTCTGTCTATAAAGGATTTAACTAATGCTCTCAACAGGAAGAGGAACTGCTCGAGAGAACTATGGAACTGCTTGAAGGCAATGCCGAGCAAGTCTTACAATTGCTGATTCAGTATTCGCAGTCATCGCGTAAGTCTTGGCCAGCCATCCTTCACACTTATGGTGACAGGGGACCGGAAACTGACATTAAAACAGCCGCGGCTGCAACAAATCCTCGTCTTATCGACTGTATCACTTCGTGGCTCCGTGAGATCCCTGCGACGAGAATTGTTGAGTCACCCCTCATGGATGTGATCATCAAGGCGTTGGACGATGATGCTTCCTTCGATGCCGCTGTCGACTGTGTCTGCACTCTCTACCGTGATACTAAGGATGTGGACGAGTCAGTACCTACTATTCAGGCGCTCTACCCGCGACTCATGGCTCTTCGGCCTAAGATTGCCGAGACCGCGGAGGCCGAGGATCTGGAGGCCTTCAAGGGTATCACGAGAATATTTGCTGAGGCCGGTGAAGCGTGGGTCGTCCTTGTTGCACGTCTGCCAAGCGAGTTCCGAGGCCTCGTCGAGGCTCTCCTCGAATGCTGCGCGCGCGATTGGGAGCGCGATGCGGTGTCTCTTACTTTCATTTTCTGGTTCGAACTCAAGCAATATATCACCCTGGAGCGTTACAACGATGCGCGTGTGAGCCTCCTGCCTATATTCTCGCAGCTTGTGGACATCATGGTCAAGCACCTCGAGTTCCCCAGCCCCGAAGAAGGAGAGACTGATCTCTTTGCTGGAGATCGTGAGCAGGAGGAGAAGTTCCGCCAATTCCGCCACGCCATGGGCGATGTTCTTAAGGATTGCTGTGCTGTTGTGGGCGTCAATGATTGCCTTGGTAAGATTTACCAATTGATCCAACAGTGGGTTGCCAAGTATGCCTCACAAGCCAGTAATGAACATGTTCCCCACTGGCAGGAGTTGGAGGCCCCTCTATTTGGTCTTCGCGCAATGGGTCGCATGGTTGATCCCGAGGAGAACACCATTCTTGGCCAGTTGATTCCTCTCATCGTCCAGATTCCCGATCAGGAGAAAGTACGATTCCAGGCAATTATGGCGCTAGCCCGCTACACGGAGTGGACTGCTCTTCATCCAGAGACGCTGGAAGCGCAGCTCAACTACGTGATTTCTGGATTCCACCATGCCTCTCAAGAAGTTGTGCAAGCCTCCGCTCTGGCCTTCAAATTCCTGGGCACGGATTGCCAAAAGCTTCTGGGGGGCCATATCGCCCAACTTCACACCTTCTTCGAGTCTGTTCTTGACAAGCTGAAGCCTACTAGTCAGGAAGAAGTCGCTGAAGGTGTTGCGGCGGTGGTTTCGGTCCAGCCCCAAGAGAAGATTTATGAATCTTTCAAGATGTTCTGCGACCCCATCATGGCCCGAATCATGAATCTAGCCAACAGCGCCCAGACCGAAGAAGGCCAGCGAGCTGTGGCTGATCACTTGCAACTAATTACTATATTTGTGCAAGTGGTGACTCCTATTGTTCCCCACGGAGAAGAAAATCCCGCCGTCAAATACTGTGGAGAGATTCTTCCCATCATGACCACGATTGTCATGAACTTTACGTCTTCCACGCCAATTCTCGAGCGAGTGTGCCGATGCTGGCGATACATGATAATTTCTTACCGTACCGGCATGATTCCTTTGCTGCCGGCTCTGGCTGAGAGCATCGCGAACGGCTTCCAGGCGTCGCGTGAGGGTTGTTTCCTGTGGGCCACAGATGCAGTGGTCCGCGAGTTCTCTGACGGCGCTGAGTATGTTGATCAAGCCACCAGCGATGCTGTGTTCCAATTCTACGAGCAGCAGGCCATTGCTTTCTTGCGTATTCTCAACGATCTTCCCCCTGAGAGCTTGCCGGACGTCATCGAAGATTTCTTCCGTCTGTCCTCCGATGCTGTTCGATACTACCCCAAAAAGTGCATCAGCTCCTCGCTCTCCATTCCTATCTTCTCCGCTGCCCTCAGTGCCCTCACCCTTCAACAAGTGGATCCCCTCATCGCAACTCTACATTACTATCGGGATCTCTTCGGATTTGCATTTGATAAGCCTATGGTCTCCGAATTCACCAGCCCCGAAGGCCAGCCTTACATCACTCCGCCCGAGGTTCGCGAGGCTGTGAAGGCGTTGGTCATTTCCCAAGGTCAACCTTTGGCACAACGCGTCTTGACTGGCATGATGTTCACCTTCCCTGGTGATGCCTTTCCCGACGCGTCTGGGATCATCATGACCATGTTCCAACTTTTCCCTCAGCAAACTGGTGTCTGGCTGCAGAGCACTCTGCAGATGCTCCCCGCCGGCTCGATGAAGTCAGGCGAGGCCGAGCGTTTGCTCAAGAATGTCTCCGACAAAGTTCAATCTGGCGAGACCCGCAAAATCCGTGTCCTTCTCCAAGGTAAGTTTGGTCTTCTTCTTTCATCTCATATATTCTAACCCCCCGAGCAGACTTCACCAATTCGTACCGTCGCCGCAACGTGGCACCCCGGGACGGACTTGGCCGACTGGAGGCCACGCGATTCCGATTCAGCGGTTGAGATCCCGTATGTCTTACTTACCAGTGCCTAGCGGTACTCAAAAGAAACCCCCACGGGAGCATTTGCACATCAAGGTGTTAGTCCTTTGCTATTAACGCGCCATGTGGTACGATGGCACGAATCTCGGTCTCGTGATGAATTATGATCTGCCGGTGCGCCGACCTGACCAGCAATCTCTGGCTTCCACAGTAACTACCAGTAGGGTGCGAGCTCGACTAGGTAGACATTCATAGATATTCGGAACTCATGTTCGCATAGAGATGCGAAGCAGTCTCCGTGTGCGGGTATGTGACGAGCAATGAATTATTCCAAGGTTGATAGTCTGGATATGATTAGTTTGTAGCGATCAAGGTATCTCCCTGGTGATAGCGCTTTTTATGTTCTCTATTGAATAGCCTACTTTATCCATGATGCGACTTCAGGACGAACTTTAGAATGACTGCTTGAGTGCTATGTAGGTCAGAAACTACTTAAGTATACCTAAGTACTTCTAAGTTGTAGAGCGTTGAGAAGATCCCATATCTATCTATCTATAGATACTTTAAGTACCTCTCAACATCGTCAACCTCCAGGGTAAAAGCCTTAATGAATTGTATCTATATATTAAATTTTACTACATACTAACAACTGTTGAACAAATTAACACGAACCCGATAAAAGGGAAATGCAGAGACGTAGAAGTAGCACTCATTTCCGGCTTTCTCTCGCCAATAAAGTCACCTCCGCCACCCCACTGAGAGTCTCCGCACTTCCCCCGGACGCCTCTGACACAGTTTGCGACTCTCTCTTGTCTTCGGTCTTGGACATAATATTTCGCTCATGGCATAAAACAAAATGGAGGACGGTCAACCCTCCAAGAGACGGCGACGCAGTCGCAAGGTCCTCTCCGATCGCAAGTTCGAATGCACCTTTGAAGGCTGTGGGAAGAGTTACTCGCGCGCCGAGCATCTTAGCCGTCATGCGCTCAACCATACCCCGAAACAGATTTATCGTTGCGACTTTCCGAACTGCTATCGATCCTTCGTGCGCCAGGACCTTTGCGCTCGTCACCGCGAGAGACACTCGACCAGTGGCTCCCAACTCCAGAAACGCGACCAGTTCGAAAATGACTCCAAAACCTCCCCTTCCTCGTCGCCCGCGATCACCTTGCCGGAATACTTCGTGAGCTCCGAGGAGCCTAAGCCAGTCTCGAGCTATCCTCTGACCACCGGCGTGGAGAGCGAGATAGTACCGCAGTACTCCGATTTCCCCGCCGTACTCGACCAGCCTGATAATTTAATCGATCTCGATTCCATGTCATACCCGATCTTCGGTGGGGAGACCTACAACCGATCACCGTTTGCTATGGCCGATGATTTCGCAGCTTGGCTGTTCAGTGAGCCTCTCGCGCCTCTGGGGTATGGAATGGTTCCGCTGGTGCAGAACCAGTTCTACATGAATGAGCCTCCGTATAGTAATGACAACTTCTGTGCTGTCACCCCACAGCATCCAATGAGTGTGACGAGTATTTTGGACCCGGGAACACCTCCAGCCCTTATCTCTGAGGAAAAGCGCCAAGAGCTACTCGTACTAATGTCGAGCCGCTTCAACGAGGCTGCATATGCAGCAGGCGCAAAAAGAAAAGATGCCCTCATGGATGGAGATTTGACTAATGACCGACACGTTCTGAGCCTGCGGATGATGCAGACATACATTGGTTCTTATTGGTACCACTTTCATGCACAGCTGCCGATCTTACACCAGCCTACTTTCGTTGCCGATCGTACCCCCAATCTGCTATTACTGGCCATAATTGCCATTGGCGCCGTCACCTTGGACAAAATCCATGGACAGGCAGCCACAGAGGCCGCGGCGGAATTGGCCAGCTTCATTGCGTGGCATCTGCGCTGGGAGATCTTCATGGATGCTGACTTTCGACCCCCAGCCCGACTGTGGGTCTTTCAGTCTCTGCTGCTCTTGGAGGTATACGAGAAGCTGTTCTCTACGCGTGCCCTGCACGAGCGTGCACACATCCATCATGATACAACGTTAACCCTCATGCGTCGAGGCAGTTCTCTGATCGGCAGCTCGTCATTCGACACTCCCGAAACCAAGGAAGAGGACGAGTCATGGTCAACGTGGATCAAAGCAGAGGCTACTCGCCGAGTAGCATTTGCCGCATTCGTGTTAGACTCTACGCACGCTACGATGTTCGGCCACTCCGCCAAAATGGTCGCCCATGAATTACGCCTTCCTCTTCCCTGTGACGAGGCTCTATGGGCAGCCACCAGTGCGGCCGAAGTAGCCCGTGTCCAGTCCAGCTTACAGTCTCACGGCGTTCGACCAACCATGTTCTTAGACGGTCTCAAACGCACCTTGAACGGGCAACCTGTCCGAACAAACGACTTTGGTCGAATCATCCTCATGTCTGGTCTCCTCAGCGTATGTTGGCATTTGAACCAAAGAGATCTGCAAATCAGTTCCCTCGGTGTAGGCCAGACTCTCGGGGGAAGAGACAAATGGCGCACCTCCCTCCTCCGCGCATTCGACAACTGGCGTCGTGATTTTGACGAAGCCCTCGGGCCATCAACCTCCGAGTCCCGCAATGTTCTCCATGGATTAGCACACATGGCCTCTCATGTCGACATAGTCGATCTTCAGATCTTCGCTGGTGCCGGTCGACTGATGGGTCGTTCTATCACGGCCCGCGACCACCGCGCTGCCCGCGAAAAGACTGAACGCTGGGCCACTAAAGCCTCCGCCCGTGATGCCACGTTCTATGCCCTGAAATTCCTCTCTGTCTGTTTCCTAGATCCCACAACACATCCCGGCGAGTACGCCGCTCGCGATGATTACCTCCTCAATAGACCCTGGGTCATGTATTTTGCTGCCTTGGTAGTTTGGACTTATGGGTTTGCGTTGGATGGGCCACTTCGGCCACCACCCGTTCTGGCGACTGTTGCCGACCGCGAACACGACATGCAGACCTTCCTCCACCGCGTCGGCGAGATTCAAGAGCCGAATGAATTGGAGGCCATGACGGGTCGCAATGGGTGTCTTGGTTTGCTGATGATCTTGCGAGACTCATTTGCCAAACCCCGCTGGGAGCTGCTGGGCGAGGCTGCACGGCTGCTGGACAGCTGTATCACGAAGTTACAGTCATGAGCGGGCTGTTTTCATGTGTATATATAGATGTGTGTTCATATAAGCAATACGAATTAAGTACTAAGTATAAGTACTAGACAGAAGTACACAGTTGTACTACAGTAAGAGCCCCCTGTTGTTGTTGCCCTGACAACGACACGCCGATCCCACACCGATTCCCCCCCAGACCCTCACTTCGAATCGCATTCGCATTCTTGCTTCCATCACCCAGTCTCAATTCCATCCCATATATCAAAATGGTAAGAATGTTCTGATCTCGCGATGTGCTAATGTAATCCGGGGAGGCCCGTGGTCGGAACCTTGGAACTTCCCCCCTCTCTTGTTGCCACATTGTCTTGTTGTTGCACACATTCACAATGGCTAATCATTCGGACCAGGCCTCTACAAACTACAAAGAAGCGTTCTCACTCTTCGACCGTCGCGGCACAGGTCGTGTCTCTGGCGATCTCCTCGGCGACCTGCTTCGCGCCTGTGGCCAGAATCCCACCCTTGCGGAGATCGGTGACTTGGAGAAGTCCGTTGGTGGTGACTGTATGTCTCTCTCTCTCTGCCCTGTCTTTTTCACGTGCTAATCATAGTAGTCGACTTTGATTCCTTCCTCAAGGTCCTGAACCGCCCTGGTGGTTTCCGTGAACCCGGCGAGCCCGAAGAATATTGTCGTGGATTCCAGGTATTCGATAAGGATATGACGGGCTTTATTGGTGTTGGTCAACTGCGATACAGTATGTGATGATTTGGGACATGTCAAAACAGTCGCTAACTGGATCTAGTCTTGACGAATCTCGGCGAGAAGATGTCCGATGAAGAGGTCGATGAGTTGCTGAAGGCTGTTGATACCAGCTCCGGCGAGATTAACTACACTGGTAAGTTTGCACTTTTTTGATCCCTGAAGTGTGTCAAGATTGGGCACTGACTGTTTTAGATCTCGTTCGCACCATCCTCGCCAACTAATACCCGATATGATTTACGTTCGACATGGATATGGCTAGGGACGGCGTAGTGTTTTATTATCGAAATTCAAATGTATTCTTGGGTATCTTTTCACACTTCAGTTCAAACTTCACACGTAACATATACAGAGACTGTACTCTGTACTCCCGAGATCGAGTTAATTGTCAACAATCCACTCCCTCCACTGGCCGTCTTCCTCCTGACCCATTTTCTCAGTCTCAACCACCGACCCAGGAAGAAGATACAAGGGCTTCTGTTTCGGATCTTCATAATGCACTGCGTCAAGATGGTACCCGACTACAACACGACACCGCCCGCATCGCAGTAGGAGTCTCTTTTCAATGCCATCCTCACGGCGGATAAGGGTCGGCCGACGATCCGGAAGTAACGTTGACAGAAGGAGAGTCGTGTGCTGTGTAGGTACTTCTGAGTCCTCGTTGTTTTCCAATGGTAGGATTAAGGCTTTGTCTTTGCTTTCGCCGCCTCGGCGCGGGAGGGTGGAGAGTGTGCGTGTTGTTGCTAGCAGAAGGTGGTTGCAGAATTGGCAATGCTGCGTTCGGATTGGTAGACGATCTGCCATTTTTCACCCCCGGCTCGATTTCGTTGCACTTTCAGCTCTTTTTCTTTTCTGTTCTGCTGGGCAGGCGTGGTGTAGAATTCGGGTTGGAAGCTTCTGGTGTGGATGGATTGAGGTGATGCGAATGGTTGATGCTCTTGAAAAGCGTGGGAGTGTTGATGAGACGAGGACACGCTCGATGTGTAGACCTTGAATAATTTGTAAAATAAATGTAAAACGCTGTGATCTCAACGTCGAAAACGAAAGAGCTTGGAGAGTGGCAGAATTTGAGGGCGGTGGGCTTATCAGCTTTAAGACTCCGCAGGAGTGTACTTGTGAGCCTTCGATCTCTGAATGTCAATAATGTCTATAACTCAATCCTTGGAATCCAGACAGTATCCTTGAGTACTCCATTTAATGTTGATATAGATATTTGATATACCTTGGTTCTAGGTTATAGAGATCTAGAGTCTACTCCGATCCGTTGGCTATCTGAAATATCTTGAGCACACCACGCTAATTAAGCAAGACCCATGTCTTTATAGAATGCATCAGTCTGCGGTTCCCGACCCAAGAACTCAGTCAGTGTCTTCATCTCGTCCTGACTGCCACCCTTCTCAAGAACCTGGTACCTGTACCGGCGACCAGCAGCCTTGTTCATAGGGTCGTCCTTGAAGACAGTGTAGAACATGTCGGTCGAGTAGACTTGTGAGCTGCAAGTAAGTTAGCATTGAGCTTAAAATCAAGATTGGGGGACTGGGGTCTTACCTCAGGTATCCATAGTATCCAGCGTCGTAACCACCGATCAAGTGGCCAAATGTCGCTTCACCGTGGCCCCAGTCGCTACCGGCGCCAAGTGCTTCCGGTCCATCCATCTGGGTGATTTCTTGGCGGAGGCGGTTGTAGGTTGCTGATAGGGGAAGGGCTTCAATATCGGCGTGGCTCTTGGGTTCGTGGATGGTCATATCGAAGATACCGAAGTGGAGTTGGCGAAGGTTGAAGAGTGCGTCATTGATGTGCTTAGTACGGATCAAGTTGTCGATGATCTCGTTGGGGATTCGCTCAGAGGGCTTCTCGGATGTCGTCTTGCCGTTGCTTGTCTGCGCCTCTTGCCAGCTGGCCAGGTATTCCGGTGAGAGGGTGGAGTAGTGTCTGCTCAGAGAGCGCAGCTGGGAGGGGGTCCAGCACCAGTTCTCAAGCATTTGACTGGGCGCTTCGACAAAGTCGCGGACTGTGCTGGTGCCGTGGAAGCGGGAGTAAATTGTGCGCGAGACGAGGTCGTGGATACCGTGACCAAGCTCGTGGAAGAGTGTAACAACCTCGTCGTGCTTGAGGAGACTGGGCTTCTTGGGCTGCGGCTTGGTGAAGTTGCAGACCAGTGCAGTGGCGGGGAATCGGCGGTTGCCGTCCTTGTCGATGAAGCCGGGCTGGAGGTTGAAGTTGGCAGCGTGGCCGTACTTACCCTCGCGGGGGAAGAGGTCGAGATACAGGTATCCAACGAATCCACTACCTTCGCCTTCATCGTTCCAGACGCTGAAGACCTGCACATCCTCGTGCCAGACGATATCATTGCCCTTGCCAGTGGGGGCAATGGATGCACGGTCCTCGCCAGTGACCTCGACAAACTCAAGACCGAAGAGCTCCTCGAAAATCTTCAGCATGCCCTCGATGGTGGTTTGTAGGGGGAACCATTCGGCAATGTGCTGCTGGTCAAGAGAATAATCCTTCTCAAGCATGAGACGGTCGTAGTATCGGTGGTCCCACAGATAGTAGCGACCGTCAGCCTTGGGATCAGTGGCATTCTTCAACTGCAGCAACTTTTGGATCTCCTTCTTGCCACCATCAGTCAGTCTGGTTCGCAGATCACCCAAGAACTTGTCAACAGTCTCAGGTGTCTTGGCCATCTTATCCTCGATGCGGAAGGCAGCGTGGTTAGGGTACTTGAGCAAACGGGCCGCCTCGTCACGGAGCACAATTGCTTCACGGAAGAGCGGCACGTTCTGGTTACACTTGTTCTCATTGGCAATCATCACCTGCTTGCGGGTTTCAGGGTCATTGGCGTACTTCATGGTTGGGAAGAGGTCGGGGTACTTGAACGACAACCAAAGCTTGCCGGCGTTCTCACCCTCGCCCTTCTTCAACCCTTCAAGGACGTCCTTTGGTACACCGTCCAGTTGTTCAGGTGTAAACCAAATACCACCGTTCTCCTCGTTCAGGTTCTTCTGGAACTCAATGCTCAGCTGGCTCAGACGCTTCTTGATCTCCTTGAAGCGGAGTCTCTGAGCTCCTGCGGGTAGACCAAGACCATTACGGACAAAGTCCTTGTGTTCCTTCTCCAGTAGACGACGAGATTCCGGGTCGAGAGTCTCGTTGCGGCGGAGAACGGCGTCAACCAGGTTGAAGACATCCTCGCGCATGACGGCCTCGATGAAGAACTCATCCATCACCTCTTCGGCCTTGGAAGAAGCATCCCGAAGCTTGGAATCAGTGGATACAGCCTGATAGAAGCCCAGAATGTGGGCTTCCAATCCCATAACGTTGTCATTTTGAGCGAGGGGACGGATGATGTTGTCAAAGGTTGCGGCTTCGGGCTTGATCTCGGCCACGACCTTATCTTGGATGGCACGGGAGCTGGCGATCAAGCGCTCAGCGTCAGCGACCAAGGACTGCGGGGTCGCAGTGAAGACTGGCGGGGCCTGAGGTGGCTTGCGGAGGTGGGAGGGAGCCATGCTGGAGGTGGTCAAGAATCGTGCTGGTGTACGTAGATGGCCAAGCACAGATGTGAGGCGGAGACGGAGGAGGGGCGCCACAATGATGGCTAGGAGGACAATGAGGAGGTGACGAGCGGTGAAGGCAATGATGGTGGTGGGGGGAGGGGGGGGGGGGGGTGAGGAGAATCAGGCGAGCTGCGGAGTACACCTGGGCAACGTATATCTGCAGGTCTTGGCATTCGCGTGTCTTTTCCGACAGCACGTAAGGTACGAGAGTTGTCGGGTCAAACCTCTCTCACTATATAACTATCAAGTCGGAATATTCGGAATGTTCTCAATTTGATCTATGCTCGACATTTTCCTGTTCTAGTGGTAACAACAAATAAACAGAGCTGTCTTGGCTTCGTGTTATGTTTTGTATAGATGCAGAAGATGACGTCAAAAGCGCGCCATGTCGGCCTCGGCCCTACAATGTGTTGTCAAATGTAGGAGCCATTGCCTGATATTCTCTCTTGTTGCTCCATGATGCAGTGTCCCGAGTGTAAAAGAAGCGCAAATATGTACTTGTATCCCCTGTCAACCCTCATACACCTTGGTTTTATGCTTGTCCTACTCTGATGACAGAAGCTGCTTCTAAAGTTGGTGTTTCAGGCGCCGCTCTTTGAAATAATCCTCAAGGCGTTGCTTCTCGGACAAAGTGAGTTACCATTTTCCTTCTTCTTCTTATACAGCATCTGGTAAAGGGACCTACAAAACTTTCTGCGGAGAAAAACTGCATCTTGCCACCATTGCAAGGACGGGAGCTGATGGTTGCTGACCTGCAGATCGCCGAGTAGCGCCAAACTTTAGAACTCACTGGGGTATTGATCCTAACACTCAACATCAGTTGACCTATAAATACTCCTGACATATGGACCAATTCCCGCAAGGCTCATCACTCGTTCCAATTTCTCACTAGTTTAGCGGGAGAACGACCTCCCTTCGATAAGTAAGCCCACGTGATCAGATAGATCGGGAGCGAGCTGGGGTAAGTGTAAAGGCTGCCTCCGATATAGAACCTTGGAACATGAAGAGATTCTTAAACTTGCGTGGACAAGCTACTTAAGTATGTACATCTAAAAGATGAGATAGTAAACCGGCTGAAAAATGATATTACCATATCGGGCAATTGTTTGACCAATGAAAAAGGATTTGAATTTGCACTAGTCCAATATAGGCAAAAGTGAAGCCAATGACAAGCGACATAAATTGAGCTAGCCCCAAATAGGAAACTTTTTAACCAATGAAATAGCGTACGTGAACTCTCTTGCCATCTGAACTATACGGTGTCAGTGGAGCTTCATCAAGCTACAAGTAAAAATATAGGATAAATAGAAGAGACTGGATGTATATAAATCGCCTAGCAGTTCATTATCATTGTCTGCTCTAAAGCGAACCTCAAGAGGACCTTGGATTTTCTTCCTGTACGTTCCTCGTGACGCACGAACATATCACCTCTTCGCAATGGGACAGCAGCAATGCGACACACCTGAAGCAGCAGGAAGAAGAGAACCTCTTGAAAGCAGCCAAAAGGAAATTGATCATGAGTTTCCTTCAATCGCCAGGCAAAACGTGGAATTGGAAAGCCCAATCTATCCCACTGGTATGAGATTGGTCTTTATTTTTGTCGCCCTTTGCTTGACAGTCTTCTTGGTCGCCTTGGTTCGTAATCAAATATCTGTCCCGTGTCAAGATTGCCCTTGAGTTTATACAGAACCATTTACTTATGATCGAATTTTGACAGGACCAAACCATCATCGCCACCGCAATTCCGACCATCACCTCCGAATTCCACAGCGTGGAAGACATTGGATGGTATGGTAGCGCTTTCCTCCTGACGACCTGCAGCTTCCAGCTGTTTTTCGGAAAACTATACACTTTACTACCTTTGAAGTGGACTTTCGTTGGTGCTGTGTTGATTTTCGAGATCGGCTCTGCCATCTGCGGTGCTAGTCCGAATTCTGTCGCCCTTATAATCGGACGAGCTATTGCTGGCATTGGAGGCGCGGGAATATTCTCTGGCGCACTTATTATCGTTGCTAAGTCAGTACCTCTATCAAAGAGGCCAGCTTTCACGGGGATACTTGGTGCCGTGTGGGGTATAGCAAGTGTGGTTGGCCCTTTACTAGGCGGTGCTTTTACATGTGAGTTCAGTCAATCTATGACAGCTCCATTTCCCTCTATTCTTTTCTGACAACGACAAAAAATTGTAGCCCATGTCTCTTGGCGCTGGTGCTTCTACGGTATTTACTCCTTACCCATTGTATATCAAAGTTCTCGGTGTGAGCTAACTTGGTTCCAGTTAATCTTCCAGTTGGTGCCGTAGCCATCCCGGTCATCATCCTTTTTCTCTCTTCACAACCACCTGAAAAGCAGCTGAAGCGAAATGCATGGTCTGTGATCAACCAATTCGATCCCCTTGGGACAATCCTGCTCGTCGCCAGCATCATTTGTCTATTGATCGCACTTCAGTGGGGCGGAAGCCAATACTCCTGGAGCGACGGGCGCGAGATTGCATTGTTGACAGTATTCGGTGTGCTATTCTTTGCCTGGGCCGTGGTGCAGTGGCGAATTGGCGACAATGCTACTATACCGCTTCGTATTCTCCGACAACGCACAGTTGCCTTTTCGACCTTCTATATTTTCTGTGGAAGCGCATCTTTCATCTTGCTCATTTATTATTTGCCGATTTGGTGAGTGCTGGATTCTAAATTTTCTTTTTTCTTGTGTTTTATGAACATCCATTGATCTCGAGGAATACAAAAGGTTTCAAGCAATCAAAGGTGACTCCGCCAACCAGTCGGGAATTCATAGCCTGGCAACTGTGTTAAGTGTCGGTACGTATACTTCATGCTTCTGCCTCTCCATTGAGTAGTTCAGGGCGACTGACAACATATTAGTGGTATTTGCTATTGGCAGTGGCCTGGGTGTCACCCTTGTGGGGTATTACACCCCATTCATGATTGCAGGATCCATGGTAATGGCGGTTGGAGCGGGCCTCCTCCTCCTGTTCAAAGTCGATACTCCTCTATCGATGTGGTATGTGACCCACTAACAAGAAATATCCAGAATTGCCTTGCTGATCCATTCTAGGCTCGAATTTCAAATCGTGTTTGGTGCAGGGGCTGGTATAGGACTCGAGCTCCCCAATATTGCTGTCCAAACGGTTCTTCCCGAAGAGGATGTCTCTATCGGGACATCTTTGGGGGTCTTCGCTCGTTCTCTTGGAGGCGCCATCTTCGTATCCGTGGGACAGAATGTTTTCAGCAACCACATTGTCTCTGGCATGATCGCGCGGGTTCCTCAAATAGATCCATCGGTTGTTCTTCAAGCAGGAGCAACAGATCTTCAGCAAAGAGTGAGCCAAGTTATTGTTAGTTTGGGTCTTGATAAAGACGTATTGACTCGGGTGTTGGAAGTCTACAGTGATGCCATTGTTCAGACATTTATGGTCGCCTTGGTGACAGCCTGTATATCAATAATTGGTGCCCTCGGTGTCGAGTGGCGTACAGTGAAAGGCTCTTCCAACACGCACAGCTCTACGCAAACAGTTGGAGGTGAATGAGGTCTCGAGTCAAACATCCGTGCACATGTTTGGGTCATAGGGAAACTGGTCCATTGCAGCAGAACCACAGTAGAACAGTTAAAATAGGGTGTAATATTAGAATGAATGTTTTGTCAGAAGCTTTTAAATGGCCCTCTTTCTAAACTCTCTCATATAAACACAACCTCAAAATTCTAATGAAGCATATTGACATGGAGGAACTCCTCAAACCAAATATCAGATGGAAATCCACCCCCGAAAGGCTCAAAATCGATCTCGGCGCCTCCACCTTGTACCAGAGGATAGCCGTATTGAGATATACGCCTACCTGGGGACCCAGGAAAGTCTGGGATCGCGTGGGATGGCATCTGCATCTCAGCCGAAGAGCCACCTAGAGACCCCGTTTGCGTTTGAGCTGCGGGCACTAACGACCCTAGGTAATTCTCGGTACCAGGGACTCCATGTGATGTTCCCTCATCTGATGTAGATGCTGTTCGTGAGATATGAGAGTGAAGCCACTCCTTTACCAGAGGCATGATGAGGAACGACCTACTCAAGGAGTTGCGCTCATCTGTCGTGATGAGACGTTTTGAAATGAGCACGAGCTGCTCAATGTATGGATTCAGGCGCAGTTGATCAACTGTGATGAGGCCATTCCACCTCGACACGGACGACCTGATAGCCTTGTCCAATTTCGTTAGGATTATGACTGCATATATCAGGCGACCGCCATAGATGTGCGGTGGCAGAGCAAGCATGTCGGATATTGAAAGGCAGATAAAGGTGTCTAGAAGCCCTTGTGCAGCGAGTGTGACGGCACGGAGCATGGACACATGAGATGGGCTTGGAGCTTCTGTATGGACGAAGTTACACGACTCCAAGGATTTTCCAGAGAAGGGCGCTTTAAACTCATCCAAGTTGTGGTTGACATGCAAGGCCAGCTCGTGAATATACAATGAGCTGGCAAATCTGTTGAACTCGACAAGAGCTAATTCATGTAATATCGTCAGCACTTTACATGTCATGGCATGGAGTAACAAGAAAGAGACTCACATTTCTCAAGTGAGTTGAATTGACCAAGAGGCGGCCAGTCAACCTGAGACTGAAAATCTTTGACGACCATCGTTGTTTTCGGGTCCCGTAGAGATACCGATTTTCCAGGATCGCCCAAGAACAGCTCTTCGCTGACATCTTGACAGTGATGCTCTGTGGTCACAAGTTCACAAAGAAAGGAATCTGTAGGGGATGCCTTGCTTTGCTGTAAGTCATGGAGGTATTCATCGAGCTTGGAGTTCCAATTCGTTGGATTAGGGCGTCTCAATATCAAAGAGAGACTAGCACGCGGTCAGCTGGTTATTTTGCCAACAGCCAGGCAATATGAATAGAAGTACCTTGCCGACAGGAGGAAACAACCAAGCCAGGCTCGCTGCGCTTCTGTCCGATTCCACGTATGATCAACTCCGTCGGGAGCTTTTGATCCTTCAAGGCGATCTAGCCCAAGATCTATAGCCATAGTTAAAGCCACAGAAGCCAGCTGGGTTTGGTTCATCTTTATGTAATTGTCAGGCGCTCTGTACCAGAGCGAGGCGACCTGCAACGCTTGGACGAGCTCCAGCGACTTTTCACCATTCTTGATTGCACTTTCTACCAAAAGCCCTCTGAGCTCAAGTGCCAATTGTCTCTGCTGGTCCATCGTACAATACCCAGCCGAAGCGACGCTTAATATGGACAGAAACAGCAATGGCTTTGTTTTTCGCGCATATTGAGCCGTTGTTCCAGGCGGGAAGACGACAACGGGACATTTAGGGGCAAACTCATCGATGTACCGATGGAATACTTCTTGTGCCGTCTCCGAACTGAAGACAGCATCGACCTTGCAGTTCAATCGATGGCACAAATCCCCAGAAGATTGGTGCAAATCTGTCCTCGTTAATCAAAATAGCCAGAAAGATGGAAGGTAAAATGAAAAGGCCGGGCTGAAAATGATTCGAGATGAGGACTCACCAGGACTTGCTTGATCAAACCCCTGCAAAAATCTGTCAGATGGATCAGTCCCGGCTCTGGAATTGATTTGAGGCTCTGTGCGATCACTGGGAATCGATGGCCTGGTCATTTCTTGGGGTCGTGATGCCTGGCTAGACCTAACAGGCGAAGTAGAGGCGGGCTGCGATCCCACTCTTTTGCTACAACGATATCTCTGGTCAGTTATTGGGGCAAGCAGATCGTGGGACCCTGGCGTATTTGCATGGCCCACATGGGTTGTGTGGTCTGTCAAATGCGCGTAGCGTGCATCGTTGGGTAATGTCTGTGAGGGAGTCCCTTGTGATTCGGACTGCACTTGGTTTGTGTTTAGCGATGGCCGAGAGACAGCAGCAGAGATAAGCACTGGACTTTTGGGTCGATTAGGTTGTAATTTGAATTTCAGGAAAGCCATCGATGAGTGTTTGAAGTCTCCAGATGTCGGAAGAGTACTCTGTACGTGACGTAGACCCTGGAATTTCAAGCTAATGACATAAGCCTGATGGTTGTCATCAATTGATCAACTCATAGGGATTGAAGAGATTGAAGAATAAAACAAGCCTAAATAGTAAAACCTGTGAGCTCGATTGGTCCCACTCTCGTGTAGGTTGGCGATGTTACGACCAACGCGCACGGACTACACAGGCTAGACATGTGATAGCCAAGGCTCCCCACTGTTTTTCAATGTTTATTTCGACTTTCAACTACTCTGGACACTCTTATACTGATCATGATTCGGAGAAAGGATGCAAGTTCGTTTCTAATTCATAAGATATTATCTAGTGCGCCGAAAAGCCGCTTTTTAAAGAGAGAAAAATAATAACACAAATGACGCCCCCACCAATGCAAACATCGTTTTCACTTAAGCAGCATCCGCAGTGGGGATGGGCTCGGGGATCTTGGTGACCTGCATACCAGCACGAATGATGCGCTGGCCAGTCTCGTCACGAACGTACTCGGAGTTTTCCTTCTGAGCACGTTTCCAGATCTCAACCTCACCACCGCCACGGATGACACCGACACGCATGGTAGAGAGGAGGTTGTGGGCTCCGTTGGAGTGGTAGTAGACACCACCGTTGAACATGGCGGTAGCATCCTTGCCGAGACCAGACTTGATCATGGCCTTGCCACCAGGGTGGTCCTTGATGAAATCAGTGACATCGTGGACAACACCGGCGATGGACACGAGGCCACGGCCGTTCTTGGTCTGCTCAACATAGTCATCCCATTCCATGACGGGGAGCTGGTCAAGGGGAGTACCCCAGTCGAGCTTGGCGCGCTTCTGGTCAATCTTCTTCTGCAGCTGCTGGACACGGCCCTTCTCGATTTCGTTGGAGCGGAACTGCTTCAGGTCAAAGGCGAGACCGAACTGCTTGCACATCCAGATAGTCCACTTGGTGGGGTCGTACTGGTGCCATTCGATGGCGTTGCGGTAGTCGGAGGGGAACTCGTGGTGGAAGTTGTGGTATCCCTCACCGAGGGTGACCAGAGCAGTGATAACGTGATCACGGGGAGAGTTGCGGTCGTCGAAGGGCTGGTCACCGAGCCAGTGAGCGAGGGAGTTGACACAGAAAGTGGCCTGCTGGACGAAGAAGATACGCAGGATACCGGCGTACACAAAGCCACCGTACCAGTCACCCCATCCGAGACCGGCAACCAGCATGGGCAGGACGAGACCCATGAAGATGACGACCTTGAGGTAGTTGCGGTGCTGCCAGACAACAACAGGGTCTTCGTTGAGATCGCTGATGTCGGTGCGGCCGATACGCTTGGGGTTCTGCTTCATGACCATCCATCCCAGGTGAGAGTACAGAAGACCCTTGCGGACGGAGTACGGGTCCTTGTCAGTGTCGGTGTAACGGTGGTGAGCGCGGTGGTCACGAGCCCACCAGCGGATGGAGCCTTCGACGGCACCGCCACCAACAGCGGCGAGCCAGATACGCAGAGGAAGAGTGGCAGAGTAAGAGCAGTGAGCCCAGAGACGATGGTATCCTGAGGAAGAGTCAGTTTACGTTTTCGGATCTTTTTTTATTTCACCTTCACTTACCAGCTGTGATTCCCAGACCGGTGAAGAAGTAGTAGACGACGGCCCAGATAGCAGTCTTCAGCTGCAAAGGCACCCAGAAGGCCTGAATACATCCGGAGATGGGAACTCCCAGGATGAGGACGACGTTCAGCCAGTTGACATGCTTGTACCAGTTCTGGCGAGTCATCTGAGTGTCGGCAATGTGCACCTTCTTGGTGTCAGTCGCCCGAGGGCGAGCATCCTTGGACGACATTGTGTGTGTGGAGGTGGATGTGAGAGAAGGAAGTGAAGGGAGGTGTGCCACAGGCTTTTTTATACTTGGGGCCCACTTCGGACCAACGTTGGGGAAGACGATGCACCGATCAACACAATATGGGGAAAATTGCACCACAGCGCGAATCAGAAAAAAGCGGGAATTGAGCGTCACAAGATCCCGAGGCACAAGAAGAAAACCTGAAAGAAGAATGGGTTGATTATAACTTTCTTCTGATAGACATTTCGCCCCTTCTCGGGAGTGTTGGGTCCGTAATCCCAACAATTTATGCTTATGTCAGCCTTCGCCACCCAGATTTTTTGCCCGGATGCACCTAACGGGCATTTTATGTAGGCACTTTTACATGTCAAACAGTGACCTTAATGAACATTGCATTGAGCCAATAATTAATAGTATTGCTACATTTGAACAGACGGCTTACCTAGACCAGTCTTGAAGCGTAGCAGCCATCAACATTGAATGCTCACACCAATTACGGAGTACTAACGACAGGGTAAATTTGAAGTGATCAAGCCTATAACTCGTATGGTGCCATCAGACATTCAAATGTTTGATGGCTCTTGTTGTGTACTGGCCAAAATTACAAGACCCCACATCTATTCCACTGTCCAATCATGAATCTCGATGGGGCTCGACCATTCCAATCCGCCACAGCCCTCCGTTAAAATACCAACATCCATACAGTACTAGCGGGAATCTTTGTGAACCCCTTAAAGACGCATCTGGCCCCACAGCCAACGGCAGGGCTGGACCTCGGGGGTTCTAGGGATATCCCTGATTGCCTCCCAATCATCTCAGCAGCTTTCATTGGCCTGTTCCTTACATCCACAAATCTGAGGTGTTCAACTGGCCAATGTCGGGTGCCACTTCCGCATTCTCGGCCTTTCCGGAATAGTCGATATTGAATCGCTCTGCGCAGTGCAAGCAAAATTCAACAATGTGCATACAGTACTCCGTACAGGTAACGACACATCCCAAAGAAAGGGATCACATGTACATATGTACGGAGTACGGAATATCTGAACAGCAAATCACATCAACCTGATGCTCTTTCACTTTGAGCACAGCCGTGCAACCCCAACTAGGGTCACGTGCCATGCAACTCCGTCAACACAGCAAATAGCAGTCTTGACACAGCGTCACCAATTTCGAAGAAGAGGGGGTCATTGAAAGCTGTCATACTCGACAAGACCTGAGTGGCCTCAAGTGACAGCCTAGAGCGATGCCACAAGTCAGCCATTGCCAATCTAGGATACACACGGTGCTCGGGTGACTATGAATCGCTGTGAGTTGCCAGATGGTCGAAATGACGGTTCCAATACACACAAAGAATGGCCAGCAGTTGAGTATGGACCTTGGGCATATTGCCCGAGGATCGACCTGCTATTTTGGAAGTGCAGGATCCCGGGAGCCCGGAAACCCCGAGTTCAGATCTCATGTCCCCTATGTACTCGGCAGTCGATGATCTTGAAGGAACAAACCAACAGATGAATCCACACGGAGATTGAGAGATTCGGCACAAGTCACTGCAGTGCCCAGCGGACTAACCGCAGCATCCGATACATTTTCGAAATCGAATGTTCCATACCTTCGGTCTCTTGATAAGAACTGACATGAGTCTACGAACCATCGATGTATACATCGGAGTCTGCCACCTCACGGCACTCTCCGGACAGATCTCAGATAAACCCCAGACAGCTAACCGAGTCAGAACCTTTTGTGGAGATCAGCCACCAGGCATGGGAGCAAGTTAGTCTGTCAGCTCGAACTAGGTCCACTTGGCAGACCAATGGCGATACAAATCCCGATCTATGAGGATAGAGTAGATACCGGTTCAATGCACCAAGAGCTAGAAGCGAGCTGCATGTCTTCTGGCAGACGTAAACCGTGCTCCTTATCAAAGTCCACATTGATAGATGTCTCGGCATCTCGTGATTGGCCATGAACACGAGATAAGACGGCAGCTTAACTCCAAGTAGTTTAGGGGCTCTGACAGTTATGCGATCCTCTTGCTAATGCCTCGTGGTCGGAGTAGCCATTCGCTATTTACTCCGTAGTTATCGTAGCGTTAATTGGATGCTCCGCACTAAGTTAGAGTTCACGAATCCTGATATCCACGCACTTTAGGGATTTTTTTTTGACGACAACACAAATATAAAACATAAAGCCTTCCCCAGATAGATGTTGTTTTAAGTGCACACTCCAGTTTCAGGCTTGAATCGATCACAATGGACGGCCCAGATCAGATCGGTCCCGATCATACACCAAAGCGATCGTTTTCTGACAAAGTTCGCTATGCCGTCAAGACGTTCACAACTCGGTACGTGGGCATGCTCCTTACCTGGAAATTTGGAAATTCAACTGACAATACCAGTGAGGGCCTTCTAGGCGACTACGACTACGGCTACCTCTTCATCCCCCGTCTCCCATTCACCAAAAGGGCGCGCAAGACCGCACCCTTCTTCGGCCTCGATGATCGCGTCCCAGTGGTCCTTGCTCTGATACTCGGCTTACAACATGCCCTCGCTATGCTTGCAGGCGTCATATCGCCACCTATTCTACTAGGCGGGTCCGCTGGCGCCAACTTCGGCGATGAACTGTATCAATATCTCGTTTCGACTTCGTTAATCGTTTCTGGACTTTTGAGCGCCATTCAAATGTTCCGGTTCCACGTTAAAGGAACCAAATATTATATCGGTACCGGTCTGCTTTCTGTTGTCGGAACTTCATTCTCGACCATCACCGTTGCACAAGGCGCTTTTACCCAAATGTACAAATCGGGCTATTGCCCTACCCTCGAGGACGGCACGAAGCTGCCCTGCCCGAAAGGATACGGTGCTTTACTTGGAACTTCGTGTCTTTGCTCTCTGCTGGAGATCGGCATGAGCTTCATGAGCTCGCGCATTCTGGCAAAAGTATTCCCGCCGCTCGTCACAGGCCCTACCGTTTTATTGATCGGTGCTTCGCTCGTCAAGTCCGCCATGCAAGATTGGGCGGGTGGCTCGGGCTGTGGATCTGACCCTTCTGCTAGAGCCATGTGCCCCAGTGCCGATGCGCCGCATGCTTTGCCTTGGGGGAGTCCCGAGTTTATTGGTCTTGGATTTTTGGTCTTTGTTACCATCATCCTGTGTGAGCGATGGGGTCCCCCGATTCTGAAAAGTTGTTCTGTCATCGTTGGTCTGCTTGTCGGCTCCATTGTCGCCGCTGCATGCAATTACTTCGAGTCCTCCGGCATTGCAGCTGCCCCTGTTGCGTCTTTTGCTTGGGTGCATACTTTCCCGTTGTCTGTATACCCGCCGCTGATCCTTCCGCTTCTCGCCCTATACATCGTTATCATGATGGAGTCTATCGGTGACATCACAGCTACCTGTGACGTTTCTCGTCTGCAGGTGGAAGGTGCGACCTTCGACTCTCGCATCCAGGGTGGTGTTCTCGGCAATGGACTGACGTGTCTATTGGCTGGATTGATGACGATCAGCCCGATGTCTGTGTTTGCGCAGAACAACGGTGTCATTGCCTTAACGAAGTGCGCAAACCGCACAGCTGGATACTGTTGCTGTCTGTTTCTCGTTATCATGGGGGTTTTCTCCAAGTTCGCGGCTGCCCTCGTTGCAATCCCAAGTCCTGTCTTAGGAGGTATGACGGCGTTTTTGTTCAGCTCCGTGGCTGTGAGTGGTCTCCGTATTATTGGTGTTGTTGAGTTCACGCGCCGCAACCGCTTTATTCTCACTGCCAGCTTCTCTATTGGTATGGGTGTCACCCTTGTTCCAGAGTGGTTTGCGTATTTCTTTACCTACGAGGGTGACAACCATGCGCTGGAAGGCTTGATCAACGCGGTGAACCTGGTCATGGAGAATGGGTTTGCAATTTGTGCACTGCTGGGCATCTTCCTCAACTTGTTTATTCCTGATGAGCCAGATGATGTGCCTGAGTCTGCCGAGTGGGAAGATGACCGGGTTCAAGTTCAAATTGCGCCCCAACCGTCCGCAAAGAAGGAACCCAGCTCCAGTTGAGACTCTAATGTGCCATTGTATTTCGTTAGCGTTAATGCACTTATTTTTCGAATTTCTATTTACAACCCATTCTCGTCAAGATAAATTTTATGACTGTCCTCTGTTCAGTACAAGTGCCTAGCTCTTGAGGTGGCACACGAGGCCTTGCTCAAGTGTGTATGGCAATTTGGAAAATGCCCTCCGTCAATTTCCATTTTAAATTGGGCCAATACTTAGTATTCACCGAGGTACTTCTTACATCTGATTAATTTCTATTGAGCCTCAAATCACGTGGTCTTTCTTTTGGACTCGTCTGTTCTGTTTGTTTCAAACGTGTCCTGAGATAAACGCATCTTCTGGTCAACGATGATCCATCAACGAATGCTCGTGGGAAATTATGGCGTTGACGGGGGTTGAATCCGATCATAATGAGCCAGGCATCTTTTTTTGCCTCCGAGCTTAATGAACCACCAGAACCATCGGATTCTCATGGTTCGGGCGCGATAGCTTTGCAGACAATCGGAGACCGAAAAGAAATCGATCCATCCACTGGAGATTTCTCACAGATCTAACAATAGTTCTTCGTCGCAGAAGCGGATATGACTTGCGCCCGCGGGGCACAGTCCAGAAAAGCGCGACTCCACATTTTTAACACAGTCAAATCAAGTGGCGACAACCATAAGCGCAGAGTGCTTTTCCATCGAGAACAATGAAAGAAAAGCTTATCGATCAGTCACTTCCTGGGAAATACGAACGAGAGAGAGAGAGAGACAAAGACCGACGACTCGGTGGATAATACGGCCCCGGATTCGCCAAAATCCGGACCGTCTCGAGACCCACGGGGCGGATGAGGCGGATGCAATGAAGCCTGCCTGTACGACCAGATACGAGACGGAGCCATAAAACTTCTATGGCGGCCATGTTCCAATGGCCATGAACCAGGAAATTCGCTTGCACTTGACTTGCTTTATTTGGGAGGTGATTCTTTCTGGCGACGGATGAGACGGATAAGGCTAAGCGAGCTTGGATCTCGAACCGCAAAATTGAGTTGTTCACAGCAAGACTACTTGGGTATGTCTAAGTATAGCTCGGCTTCCAAGGTTGTCCCAAGGTTCGCCAAGTGGCGTGGAAATCATGGCCTCGGGGTCAGAGGATCGAGCAGACTTTTCCTCCGAGGACCCTCGAAATCAGACCACATCATGAGGGTCTTCGTACACGAGATGCAAATGGAATATGGCACAGGGTCATCGATCGTTGATCGACAGTCGGCTTGACCACATTTGCGGGGTGAACCTGCAGCTTCTCTATCCTCCGATTGGCGGGGTTCCGCAGATGTCTTAAAATATACAAGGAATTTATCTTGGAAGCCATGTGGAGAAATATGGAAACAGAGTGAAGACTGCACAAGTCATAGCTGCAAATGGCTGTCTCACTCGTACATAAGTCTGTACATGAGTTTAAGACATCACGGTGGAGTACCCATCCCGCCCACGGGTGTTACCAGTCTTGACGTTACATCCTTATAGATCTATTTCGAGGATGATGTTAACGAGCGATCAGGCTCGATCAGGCTCGATATAGTATGATGCAGGACTTCAGGAGAAAACATAAATAGCTTCAATTCTCCCGCCGTTGTATCCTCATTCTCAACAACTTCTCAAGCCAAACAAACCAATCTACCTCTCAACCACCTTCCTCTCAACCTCTTCATCATGCAGCTCACCCAGCTTCTCCTCGCTACCGGCCTCTTCGCCTCCTCAGCCTTCGCTGCCCCTGCCGCCGATGGCAAGTCCATGATGGCCGCCGGTCCCCAGTGGACTATCCAGAACGCCAAGCGTGTCTGCAACACTGCAAACACCTCTTGCACCTGGAACTTCGGCATCTACCCCGGCTCCGGCGCTGCTACCCAGTGCACCTACGTCGTGGAGGGCAAGACTGCCTCCCACGCCAACGGCGGTCCCAAGAACTGCGGTGGATACACCGTGACCTCCGGCTGGAGTGGCCAGTTCGGCGAGGGCAACGGCTTCACCACCCTCTCCGTTGTCAACAACAAGGCTCGCCAGATCATCTGGCCCGCATACACCGACAAGCAGCTTGCCGGTGGCAAGGTTGTCAAGCCCGACCAGAGCTACGCCCCCGCTGCCCTCCCTTAAGTGGAGTTGACAAGATGGACCAAGTGAAACACTGTATATACCGACCACTTTCCTTAATGACAATAAATGACAAGCGATTCATAATATCCTATACCTGGTTCCATCCATGGCGCATTTGTTTTTAGCAATGATTTAAATGAAGAGAGAGAAGAGTCAACATGTAATCTCTTCCAAGGTTCGTGTCTGATTCCCGAAAGTGCTGTGTCCATCCCGAGGTCGGCGAGCTCGGGGTGTATGTCAATGACGCTGTGATCATTGAGTAGAGCTTGAATTCCATATATCCACCGAAAGCACCTGGGCAATTCTACCATGGCAAAACGTCTTGGCTTGAATCATGTTGTCTTACCTCGGGAGACACTGTAAATGATGGGCGGATCCGTCCCGACCCTGGCATTTACCCGCGAATGTGGAGAGCACTTTAAATAATAAATCCAAAACATCAATAACGGCCAAGAGAAATGCTCGTATACGTACTGAAGTACGATTGAAGTCATAGCCGTCAAAAGAAAACAGGGGTGAATTCAACAGCCCCACTTAGGCTTTCCTCACTGATTTCACTCTAGATGGCAGGAAAACCAAAATAGACAACATGGCAAGAGCACCAAATGGAAGGTTGATAAAGAAACACCATCGCCACGTAACTTTAGAAGTTGGTCTGTAAATCTATAGATGCACCTCCCATACCTGGGTAAGTCAGTCCAGGGCAAAAGAACTAGCCACAAGTACTCACATTGGCCCAGCCACATTGGTGACTGTGGGCATGCTAGATGTCAGACTCATATATACTTAAGTATTGGGCTAACATGCAGTGGAATGGCCACAGTGATGATAATCATATATCCCACAGAGAGCCCTGTGGCGCCTATACCAGCAACACCCCGTCCGATAATGAGCATGTTGGAGGAAGGCGCAGTGCTGCAAATAAGGGACCCTACTTTGAAGATGAGGAGCTCAACTGCTCAACTAGAAAACCCCATTTTAACGGATAAAACTTGTAGAGTTTCCCAAAGGTCAACCGCAAGGCGCACATAGTAGAGACGTAGGAGCTGCCATACCAGGCCACGTCGTTGAGGGAGTTAAAATCGGTTGTGATTTTGGGAATTGCTGTTGTAAGTATTGTTGTGTCCTTACTGATAGTGTTAGAGCATATGTATTTAGGAACATTGAACTGATACAAAACTCACTAGGGAACCGCAGAACAAAGTTGTGCACAAAGCAAGTGTCATAGGTAGTAACCTTAATTGAGATGTTTCCTTGTCGGTAGTTTCTACTTCTGGAAACTCAGATCTAGCCAAGAAACTAGACAGAACATGGAATAGACTAACGCAATGAGTTCTCAAATCACCATTTTTACAACAATGAGCCCAAACGAATTCCAGACTGAGCCCAAGATAGGCGGTCAAAGTCACTGTACTCGTCAATGCAATGATGGTCGTATGTTGCTATGTGAGGTGGACAATTTTTGTATCACTCCATCGAAGCCAAAGAGCCTGTCTTGTACAAAGATTGACATTGACAAGGGAAGTAGAATCTCCCCAAAGTCTCTCCACACTTCAACTAACAACAATACTCCCATCATCAGAGAGCTCAATGATCAGCCCAGAATCACTTTGAGGATGTTTAGCTGTGTGCTGCCGTCGAAGGTATCATTCACATGGAAGTTGTCTCATATTTGTCTAAGTGCACCAAGGAAGAAATTTTGAATGAGCTCGACAATTTCTTTTCAGTTGTGGTCCTCCTCCACTTTGACGAATACCAAAGCATCTTCATTTCTCCCCCGTGTCCTACCTCTTTCCTTCCGACTCCTACTTCGACCCACTTTCCAAGCTCTTTTTCAAGTCCTTTCCCCTCCATTCCCTCTCCCAACCCCTCCCCCCACTCCTAATTTAGCTATACATGCCGTCCCATCGGTATACTTTGAATGATCAGTCTTGAATTAGCCAGGCCTGAGTAGGCATCTCAAGATTTTCTCTCGCACTGATATCAAATGTCTGAAATAATGTTGAAAAAAAAGTAAAAGAACCACACTTCATCACTTCTTACACGCATGGCTTGGAATAGAGATTTGAACAACCTTAGGATTGTACCGCTGAAGATGTTTGATCAAATAAACAGCTATCGTGGGACCAGGTTCATTCACTGTGGAATGCAAATAACAACTTTGCCCACATGGGATGAGCTCCACAGATACTCATAGGCCTCTTTCGCATCTCCGAAGTCAAAAACCTTGTTGATCACTGGACGAATGGAGTTGGCGGCAAAGCAATCTATCAAGTCATGAAATTGTTCTCGCGACCCGACAATGATTCGGCGAAGCATGTATGGCTGATCAATGGTCATGAATGTTGCGTCACTTGGCTTTTCCTGCTCGTCATCATCAATCATATTCGTGATGTGTCCAATGGAATGAATAATCCCACTCCAAGCGACTGCCTTGAAAGACTGGGGCAGAGTCGCAATTCCTCCGACTTCAAGAATATGATCTGCTCCATGACCCTGCGTTAGTACTTTCACCTCCTTCGCCCAATCAGATGTGCGGTAATTTATGACATGTACCGCCCCCAGCTCTCTTGCTTTGGCCAATTTTTCATCCGAAGAAGATGTGACAATGGTCACCGCACCCGCAGCACGAGCGATTTGAAGCCCAAATGTGGCCACTCCTCCTGTCCCTTGTAAAACAACAACATCTCCTGGTTGAACAGGCACCGCTCCGTACAATGCGTTCCAAGCTGTGACTGCACTGCACGGAAGACAGGATGCTTCTTCGAAAGAAAGGTAGTCTGGAATTTTTACGACACCCGCCTCAGGAAGAATAACATATTCACCCAATATGCCAGGTCTGCCGCCTGCAAGACACGACTTCACAGCTTCCGCACTCAGCTTCCCTGAAAGATGGTCTTGAATGAATGTGGTCACCACCCGATCGCCAGCTTTCCACTCTGTTACACCTTCGCCGATTTCCTCGATGGTTCCTACATGCTAGTCAGTGATTGAAAGGCCTTCATTTGATGTGAAATAACACAATACCTGCTCCATCACTTCCAGGAAACTCGCAGGATTCACCCGGGTAAGCGTATATTCCCTTTGCAATTGCACAGTCCCTCCAGGTCAACGAAACAGCCTTGAGTCGGATCAGAATCTGGCCGTATTGCGGCCGACGCTTGGGCACATCATTGATTGCGAGACATGCAAATCCTTTCCGCTCCGGAAGATGATATTGCCTGAATGTTGGTGTCATTTCTTTGGCATTGGACTGAAATCTGGCAAGACAGGCGGAGTTATTAGTCTTGAGTTGGCGGAAAATAGGAAATTACTTCATATTGCAGGTTGGGATAGCTCAGGCCTCCCTCGGCGCCCCCTTGGCTAGTGCAACAAATTAAGCCATTATGTCACCGTGCGTGAAGATTAAGGATTTATGAGCAGACTACTGCAAGAGAAACGACATCGCGCATCTCAGATCTGTAGTGAAACATTTTCTGGATGATCATTTCCCAACGTGTCAGCCGTCGTCCGTGGAGATGTCGACACCACCTACTCGTACAAGGCAACCTGCAGCGATCATCTGGACCCATGTACCTTGACGCGCTTCCATGAAATGGTCCCTTAACTGGGTGGTTTGTCGTCTTCCTATCCACTCAATTTTATTGTTGGAGCTAAAATACTTCGGGCATCGAGTCCATCTATGAAAAGAAATGTCACATCCTAGCTTGCAAGGGTGTGGATATTATGCTAAAACTGTATCACATAGGTACATATACTCGTATGTACTTGTAGAGATTAAGCTCGAATAAATTTCCCCACCTGCAGATCTCACAGCAGATTGACATAATTAACGTAATGAAATCTTGGTCATTCCCGAAGGGGTAAGTACCTACAAGTAAAGATCTCACTATCCACATCTCAGCATTTGCATACATTAGCACCGTATTATTTCTGCCCGTATGAACCCGTATTTGGTTTTATATTGTTCCCCTCATCTGTCGCAGTCATCGGATTTGAAAAAAAAAAAAAAAAAAAAAAAAAATGTCATAGGCATCTCGGCTCAAGGTCGAATCACGCATACGAGTAGACTCACATTTATCTTGGGGCTTGCCCTGCACATCTCATTCTAAGAACTACACCAAAGTGCGGAGCCTGGCAGATCAAAATTTAGCAATGGGCTCATCGGATTTAAAGAGAGAGGACCCAGTTGGGGAAACCAAGTACGAATGTGAGTTTTTTTTGCATGAAGATTGTAGTGTGTCAATTCTAAAGTCGCACAGTGGATTGGGCGGACCTGGCCACGCTCGATCTTTCTCAGTTTGAAGTACCAGGAGGCAAGAGAAGGCTTGCAAACCAACTGAACGAGGCTATTCATGAGATTGGATTCTTCTACATTGCCAATGTTGGGTTGACCTCGGAGCAGGTTGATCGACAATTCGCGATCGGGCGCAAGATCCTCGGACTCTCAGAAGAAGAAAAATTGAAGTATCGCGCAGACCTTGAGGGTGGTAGCTATAATGGCTATCGGCCTCTGGGGTCGATTGAGATTCTTCCTGGTCTATATGACAATGTTGAATTCTACAACGTCTTCAAGTTTGTGGACAAGTACAGGCGAGAACACCCGGCAGTTGTTCAGCAGTATTATACTGAGATTGAGACTTTCCATCGTCTTATCCACGAAAACATTGCGTTCAAATTGCTGCAGCTGATTGCCATTATCCTGGAACTGCCTGAAGATGCTTTGACAAACCACCATCTGTACAAGGATGACAGCGAGTCATTTCTACGATACATGCGCTATCGCAATCGAAGTTCCAGCGAGAACTCTAAATTCCAGGAGCTGTATCTTCGTGGTCATACCGACTTTGGCAGTCTAACCTTTGTCTTCTCACAGCCTATTGCGGGCCTGCAAGTGAAGACACCAGATGGCAACTGGAAATATGTCAAACCGTACCCCGGAAGCATCGTGGTCAACACTGCCGATTGTTTACAATTTTGGACAAATGGGTATCTGCAAAGCAGTATCCACCGAGTTGTCGTTCCACCTGAGGACCAGCGACATGTCGATAGATTTGGACTGCTGTATTTTGCCCGGCCGACGGACAGCATGAATTTGGAAACGATGGAGAGCCCACTTCTGCGGAGGCTTGGACTCAAGAATGACGACAAAAAGGATGATCAGCCTCCACTTGAGGTTGGCGAATGGATTCGATCTCGAATCAAGAAGAACTGGACCCGATCACCGGCGGACAACGATCAGACCATCTCTGTGGGTGGGTATAAGGCGAAGATCTTTCACCAGTAGACAAATGCAGATGAAGACATGCATTTCGCCTCTCACTGGTAGCTGTTTTTAGTCAGACATACGAGTAGGCTGATAGTTCCGTGCGCACTTCTCCACAAGGCCTCGAATGCTCCACGGTGAGGCCGCCTTTGATTAGATATTCAACATTCTCTGTGAAACTCTGCTTTCTAGGTGTTAGCCTTCTACGCCCCAAAAGCCACATCTCCAGTACCTGATTCCAAAATCTCCAGGCCCCCACCAACTGCCCGAGATTACCCCTCCTCTCTCATATCCAGGCAACATTGAGTATTGTAGAAAGTTTTTTCAGCCTGTAATCTTGGCTTAAGGGTAGATATTTCCCAATTCTGAGTAATATGAACACGTCATTAGACATTCTGAATACGTCACTAGACATTCTGTTTTCAAAATTTCATGGGAATACAGCCATGCTTCATAAGTACTTGACCTTGAGTACTTCGACCGCAGGCTTAATATTTGAAAAATCTTTAAAAAGATAGCCGAAAAAAAAAAAAAAAAAAAAAAAATAGGCAAGTTTATTATATACAAGTTTGCCAGGCTATACTCGTATACATAAAAGGTGGATTCCAAAGTACTAAAGGTCAAAGACTCATGAAACACCAATGTACGTCTGACTTGTTCTGAAAACCTTGCAGCATCCACCGATATTCAGGCTGTGAGCTGAATTGTGGGGACATGCACGATGAGGGGTTTTCAATGAGCGACCATGAAAGAAACAAAAAACATCATGGATCTTCGATGTGCAATACCTACATATGTTGGTTAAATCATCAAAATGTTAGTTTTCCCGTAACGTCCACCATATTCGAAAATGCATCTCAAGATCCAGCCGACTGAAATATGTTTTGTCCGCGGGCTTTCAGGGTACTTCCACAAGGATCTCCAGGCAGTGAAACAAAGTTCAAGTTACGATCCTTTGGTCGATAACGTCTCACCTGTGACCGCGGGGTTCAAAAGCGTTGTCCAAGCAGGAGAGGTGATCTCAGTTCTACTTCGTCTTCCCAATGGAGCTGTGGCCATTGGGGAATGTGTCGATGTCATCTTTTCAGGGGCTGCATCTCGCGATCCTCTTTTCGAACCCAGTGAGCATCTGCCACTGCTGAACGCAGTAATCAAACCCAAGCTTTTGGAATTTGATGTCTCAACATTCCGCTTGAACTCCATTACAATTGATGAGCCGTGGCCAGAACTGGGCAGCAAAAGGCTACACACCGCTGTTCGCTATGGCCTCAGTCAGGCTCTTTTATCTGCAACCGCTCTCGTGCACCATTGTACCATGGCTGAGGTCGTCTCCCGAGAGTGGAATACAAGGATCAGCAATATGCCGATTGATATCCTTGCCTCTTGTCACCGCAATGACCACTTACAACTGGATCGAATGATTATGAAACAGGTGGCTCTCCTACCACATGCTTCATTTGTCCATGTAAACGACATTGGTCCCCAGGGCGAAACAATGCTTGAATATGTAGCACATGTTTGTCGACGAATCAAGGACCGAGGGGACGCCGAATATCAACCCCGACTCCACTTTGATGTCTACGGAACAATCGGTGATGCTTTTTCAGACGCGGAAATACCGGACTTCCTTGAACGAGTTGAGCGGGTGGCACAGCCATATGAAGTTCTCATCGAATCTCCCATTGTTTCTTCTAGTAGGGACTCACAAATTCTACGTATGAAGCAATTGAAGAAGTCTCTTGCGTCTCGCAGAATTAATGTTAAGATCGTTGCGGATGAATGGTGCAATACACTGGAAGATATCAAATTGTTCGCTGAGGCTAATGCTGTGGACTTTGTGCAAGTGAAAACACCTGATCTAGGTGGCCTTCACAACTCTATTGATGCGGTGATGTACTGCCTGAAGGAGAATATTGGTTGTTGTCTCGGTGGATCGGCGAATGAAACGGATATTTCAGCGCGAGCAACTGCACAGGTTGCTTTGGCTACGCAGCCGCAATTTCTCCTATCAAAACCTGGAATCGGTGCTGACGAAGGAGTGATGATCCTGACCAATGAGATGGCCAGATCTTTGGCTCTGATAAAACATTGTCAGTAGTACCTTTGATATATATCGCACTGGGTGAATCTCAAGTGCATTGTGTAATTCCAAGGTATCTTTAAATACAGTGGTGTTCCATAAGTACTTAAGTAGGTATTTGACCCTGAGTAATTCGACCTTTAACCCACACTGTTAATAGTGCCGTACAGAAAGCCTAGGAATTTGATCTGATATGACCTAAAAGACAGCAAAAAAGACAGGGACATATGACAAGCTCGGTCATTCTTCGTTCTACATTAGCCTGAAACAAATTGCACCAAGCTGGAGATTAACAGTCTTTCACCAAGTACTGAGTCGAAAATTCAAGGTCGTATCATGTTTGTGAAATGAACTTTAGCTTGGCAGGTGATGATATATAGAGAGGTATCAAGAGGCTGCTTGCTGTGCACCTTTGATTGTCTGTTTCTTATCTGTCTCTCACATGTAATACACAAGTGATATGTGCGAGAATCACTAGACGGAGCAAAGTATGTGAAAGGTTGTGAAGGTGAGGGTAACGCAAGTTATGATTGTTATGGCCTTGTCGCACCATCCTTTATGATTGATCTTTCTTTTCCACCTCCCACCACCTTCCAACTCTCTTCTACTCGCCCAACTAGGTGAACCTGAGCCTTGCCATACTACACCACCGACACCACCGTTTCTCTTGGGTAGTTTGACACACTTTGTTCATGACCTCATCATCTTCCACGACTCATTCCACGGCTACAATGTCCCCAAAAGACTCTGGCCCTGTTGGCCATGCTCTGGCTGACCCTACGTTACTGCGCAAAATTGATGAGCTATACGCTTGCGGAGCAGGGGAATATGTGGATCTTCCACAGCTGGTTGTGGTCGGTGATCAATCAAGTGGCAAGAGTTCAGTGCTGGAGGGGTTGACAAAAGTGAACTTCCCCCGTGACAGTGGCCTGTGTACTCGCTTCATGACCCAGATCATATTCCGTCGTGAGGTCAAGTTACGTGAACGTAAGATCTCTGCATCCTTAATCCCCTCTTCTGATAGCAGTGCGGATGAGCAGCAAAGCACGTGGAGCTGGACAGCCTCTGGGCTACAGTTTCATGGCCTACACAGATGTTACAGGTATCGAACCTTTGCTTCCTTTTGCCATGGAGAGGGGGGACAGGAAAAAATTCTGCGAATTTACAAGAGAGCGCGGCTATCCCCCTCATCTTGATCTCAATCTGAACAGAAAGTGGGCAGACACTGGGGAGGATGACGACACCCAGAAATCAACCCTTTCGCAAAAAGCATTTTCGACCACACTTACCTGCAACAGTTAGGTGCTATAATGATCAGAGTGGTACCGAAGCGGATTACGGGCGTTGGAACGCCAGCCCATGACAAGAAAATTTCTGGCGTAGAAAATTACAACCGCGATCAAATCAAGGCGGCGGAGAAAAGAGCGACAAAGGAAAAGGAGAAAACAAATTTGGATGGGTTCCCAATTGACGATATCTTCAACCGTCCCAACGTGGGACAGTTGAACGATTGGTACAGCGATGCCCGGTTTTCCCAGCAGCAATTCACATGAACGGATCCAACAACAATTGAGCGGGCATCGGATACTTGGCTTGATCGCTTCGTTGAAGCTGCAAAGACACCGGAGGATGCAGTCTCGAACTTTAGAAGGAGACCATCGAGAAACTTATTGCTAAGGATAAAAGTCTTTATATATGCAGAATTAAAGCAATTTTCGGGAGTCTGCAGGTTTCAAGAACCTTAAAGCTGGTATCGAACACCATAGCTAGTTTGAAAGTCCTCGTTATGGCTGCGCGGCAGTATGTCTCTTCTTTCTCGATGGAAAAGAGACGCTTCATCCGCTCGCAATTGTTACAGACTGGCGAAATAGCTTGGAAGCCTCCGTGACTATCTACAACCGGGGATTGTTCAAACGGATCAATCTCCTGATCGGAGAGCCAAAAGCAATTATTTCATAATTCCCCTGATCACGTGACTTGGATATGTATTGGGTCCCAAATCACAGGAAAAATAGCTTTTGAGATGTAGCCGGTACGAAATGGCAGAATCATGTTGCTGCCCACTAGTCCCGATTCGGCCACAACCTCACATTCTGGCCAATCATATGCCCCAAAACACTTAAGGAAAGAAAAGGAAGGTGCACTAAGCGCTACGCTCCGCAAAGTCCAAATGCCCCCCTCCCTAGGGGTCCTGCTATCTGGGGACCAAAGGTTTCCAAGTGCCTAGTATGGCGGAGAAAAATGTTGATGAAGCTCAGGACTGGCCGTGGAGATATGGTATTTTGTCCCTCAAATCCCGTCTTCCGCACACATCAGTATTTGACCTCGAGTACTTTGGATCTAACACCCACTTTGATATCTTGCCAGCAGAAACCTGATTGAGTAATTTCTACACTATGAGACCACACTCTGAGCACGTGATGGTTATCAGAAAGAGAGTAGGCGGTACGGTCTTGGCAACTAGGGCGGTCAGGAGCTTGATGTACTTGAGGTCAAACACTAATGTTACGCCATGTACTTTATGTACAGATTACTCCGTGCAGCATGAAGGACCTGGGATTTGGACGAATAGATCAGGACCAGGGGACGGCAAAATAAATAAATAAAACGAATATCTTCTTCCGTACGGAATACCAGATATGGTGTACTCGTTTATTGAATAGAGTTCTCCATACGGAGTACCTCACACCACTTGGACGAGCAGCTCCTGAAGTCTCAACACGCTCGTGGTAGTTGATTATAGCTCAATGTTTTTCGGAATTCCCGCATGGAAATCTCTCGAAAGATCTAGGGCGGCAGGATCATGCCAATTATCCATTCCATGCCTTGAAGCCCGGGCGCGAGGTCTGGGGGCCAAACAGGGGTGGTTTGAAGCTAAGAAAAAACCAGCCCCAAGCCCCACCTTCCTGTGCGACATGATAGCTACTCGTATGTACACTACGAAGCTCGGAGCTCCCTCAATATTCCGTATGATTTACCGAGTTACCCACAGAGGATGAGGTCCCCGCTCACTTACATCACATTTCAATAGATCGGCAAAACGTACTCCGCACCGAGCAAGGAGCACGATCTTCAGCCGCAGGAGTTAGTCAATAAACTGGACATTCTAGTGCCTTGAACCCAAACACAGCGCTTGTGGGAACTGCAATATAACGAGAAACCTGACCTATAGCTACTCCGTGCATAGGTTGATTTGTCCTATTCCCGGGGTGACTTTATGTAGTAATGAATCTATGATTGACCTTGCGCGAGGGCCGCACCATTCCCTTTGCAGATCTCGAAGATCCACTTTTCTTTCGGCTGCTGAGAGGAGAGAACATATGGTAGGAAGCTCGCATGCTAATCCAAATTTTCTTGTTCACCCATCGAACGATACATCGAATCACTCAGTATGTTCTCAACAATAAAAGGGGCTCGAATCTTCCTCTTTTCACTTGTCCTAAGCGCCTTTGCGTCGCCCGTCCAGCTATCTACCCGGGGTAATTCCACCTTCCAGCTTGTCACCGTGTATGTCAACAGCTAACCCCACCAGAAATCTCGTCCACTCTTCTGCATGACTTTGAACTATTCTCTCAGTATGCTGCATTAGCTGCCTGCGACCAAAACATCAACTCCACCCATCACAAACTTACATGCGACAAAAACACGTGTGGACTTGTCGAAGCCGACGACACTGAGACCATCTATGTCTTCCACAGCACATCTGGCCCAACAGGATACATCGCTCTGGATCATACGAAGAAGCTCATTGTCCTGACATTCCGCACTTCTGTTAATATGAACGACCTTGCCATAGACAATAAGTCCGACCCAACCAAAATCGAGGAAATCTGTGCTGGATGCTGGGCGCACACCGGGTTCTGGGGTTACTGGAAGGCTGCTTCTGACAAGGTGATCCCGCAGCTGGAGCAAGCCACCAAAGCAAACCCAAGTTACCATCTGGAGGTAGTTGGACACAGTATGGGAGGTGCTGTTGCAACCCTTGCAGGAACCGTTCTCCGGAAACAAGGGTACAAATTAGATATTGTGAGTTACTCAACGTGCTATATCTTGATACCAGCTCACCAGAAACCCAACAGTGGACATTCGGAAGTCCCAAAGTCGGAAACTACAAGCTGGCAGAGCACATCACGAACACACAGCCAATCAGCGTTTACCGTGCCACCCATTACACAGACAGTGCACCAAAGGGACCATACGATGTTCCCGACTTGGATTATACCCAAAGCTCCCCTGAATACTGGATCAATAAGCCCCTCGACGAAGAGGTTACGGCTGAGGATGTGATACTCGTGAAAGGAATCAACAGCGATAAAGGGAATGCTGGTCATGGAAATGTGACCTCTAATTTGCCTGATGCCAACCATCTTTATTACTTTGGACCTGTGCAGGTCTGCGAATATCCTGCCGATTTTGCATACTCTGCGGCTCCCTGAGTTTGCGAGAATGTCGCTTAGGAAATAATTATTTATGTGCAAAGCCACAGAATTTATCCATTCTTACCAAAGTGCCGCACTGCAGAGATTACCAAATCCCTCAGACCGTCTCATTAAGATTTTACGAAAAGTCTGATCAATAAGAAGTTGCATAACTTGAGAAAGGTGTTAGCTTGATAGAACGTCCGCATATGTTGATATTCAAGTACAACTTTAGAACAAATAGGAAGAACCTTGGAAGTGATGTTGAATTCTTATATCGTAAAAGATGTTGTGGGCATCCTCACTCACCTCGGAATTTGTGTAGAACAGTTAGTTGGAATGTGACTTGGGTGTAGTGCGCTGCATATGCATTATCCAGGTGCATGTCCACAAAATGCAGAAGCTGAGGGGTCACTGAGCACCTCGTGTATCTTAGCACGTTGAATGAAGGCATCTTCCCTGCTTTCACTTTGTAAAAATGATAAGATTGAGTTTCAAATCCCGAAAACGATCAACAGGGCTTTTGTACCGTGGCCGAGCTACCAGTATGTTTCTGGCGTGGCATTGCAACCAGCTTATCACGTAGAAGAAATCCGGACCTGCACTTCAGCTTAGATGTTTCCCACTTTGAACATTCAAAATTTTGTCTGACATGCAAGGTGTAAGGAGACTCGAGGGAAAGATCCATGGATGTGATGTGAACACTTGCGCGAGAGTGTACTTGTAGACCCTCTTGAGGAGTAATGATTCGATGTTTTCGAAGACCGAGGAAGCGGTGCTTGCAGGTTAGGTGAATGGACTGACCGATTACCACTCATGTGATTCTAGGTCCAAGCATGGCAGCGAGGGGGCTACAACCACCAGGGCTTGGGGGTTTAGCGGCTTAGAGCTAACTGCTCCCGCGGTCCCGTCGATTTGTCCAAACCAAAATCGACCACCCAAAGAACTCCATTCCATACTTCTGCTACCAGATCTTAAATTTTCTTTCTTTTTGCTTCAATCAGAACCCCAATTGCCTCGAAAGCAGTTCCAAGTGGTCGCACAATCTTTCTGCATGCACGAGGACAAAAAGTGTGATGCACGATGTCATCAACCTGTAGACCACCCAAGTATGTGATATACTCATAGACCCACATCTTCCACGAAGTGAAAATGTGCCATGGAAGACGATATAAAAGAGTGACGGTTTGTGCTGAAGAGACGATATTTTTTCATCAGAATCGAAGATAAATTCCCCAACAATATTCAGTAGCATTGCTCGACATGTTTTCATCGATTTTGAGACTTGGGATTATCCTCCCAGCCTTCATCACGGCTGTTCTTGCATCCCCCGTTCAACTAAATCGCCGTGGTAAGTTGAATTTATTCAATTTGACAAACGTCAGACACACTGATGCTTCTTAGCCATTTCCTCTAAGTTGTTGGACGACTTCAGCCTCCACGCCCAGTTTGCTTTTCTAGCTGCCTGTGATCAAAATATCAACGGAACTAGAGGGGAGCTCAGCTGTGATCAAGGCCCGTGTGATCTTGTACAAGCACATGATACCGAGATCATTGACAATTACCATCGTACCGACAATGCAACTGGCTATATTGCATTGGATCACACCAGAAAATCGATTATTGTGACTTTCCGTGGGACTATCACCGAAGCAGATAGTAAAGCCGACTTTGATATCGTTGGGAAGACCCACGTGCCGGAATTCTGCGAACATTGTTACGCCCACAATGGGTTCTGGAAGTATTGGAAGAGTGCAGAAGAGCAGGTCGTTAGCCGACTTAAGCAAGCCACCAAGGAATATCCAGAATATAGCATCGCTGTAGCTGGACATAGCCTTGGTGGTGCGGTTGCGACTCTTGCAGGAACCGCACTTCGTCAGAAAGGATTTACTTTGGACATCGTGAGTTACCCTAGAACATTTTAACAAGCGCTCCTGATGAACTAAAATTCAAACAGTGGACGTTCGGAAGCCCCCAAGTAGGGAACCCAGAGCTCGCCCAGTTCATCACAGAGCAAAGGACGCCAGTCAGTGTGTACCGTGCTACCAATTATAGAGACGGAGTACCAGCAGCCCCCGGGAGACATCTTTGGTTCCGTCAGTCTTCTCCCGAGTACTGGATCAACCAGACGAGTGGCCACAAAGTGACTACCGATGTTGTGGAATTCATTGAGGGAATAGACAACATGTCGGGGAACCAAGGTCACCACGATATCGGAATTAATGCTGACCACGGGTGGTACTTTGGAAATACGAGCATCTGCGCGGTGCCGGCTGATCAGGGGAAGTGAGGCTTTCAGCGAGATCTAGGTGCTCCGAAACAGGTCATTTCATCTGCCATTCATTAGTGTGTGAGTGTATCTCAGCCTACAGAGGGCGAAGATGAAACGAGGAGGGCGGCCCGGGGGAAGCCCGCGGGCGATAGGTTCGATTAGTCAGGAGAGGGAGAGGCCCGGGGTCTCGGGAGAAGAAATCTGTCTAGACCTTGGGCCGGGGCTATGCCTAGCCACTGGACAGACAGTATGACACTGGGTACTACATGGACTAAAAGAGAAATTGAGGAACCACCCCTCAGAAAACGCAGTTTTCAAAAATCTTAGCAAACGTAGTAGCATAACGTAGAGCCATTGATTAGAGAAGATAAAGTTCAAGTTTAAGTAAACACACGGTATCAGATTCAAAAATGCTGTTCAACCTAGGAACAGCCATTCCACAATCACGCAAACATGGACTTCACCACAGGCCTCGGTTGAACACCACAAGAAGCCGCAACACTAAAACAATTCCCAAAATCCAAACACTCCTTCTCCAGTTCCTCAACATTGAAATGCACTATTCCTGCACCAACAAGCATGTGCAAGACTCGCAGCACCCAAGTCCGGCAAGTGAGTCCAGAAACCATATTCAGCGTGACATCATAGCTTTTCAAGATCTGGTCAACACGCGCGTAAATGGTATCATCCTGGCGAATGGTGGCAATCTCAATCAGTACGCAGAGACCCAGACCCGACATGATATTCGAAACAAACTGATGATCGGGGTCCCACATGCCATTCCTACCTACCACATGGTACTGGTAGCCACTTGGATTACCGGTGTGAAGGTAAATGGTCCAGTGGAAGTCGTTGGGCAAAGGAGGATCAGACCGAAGGTACAGTACAACGTATAGGGCACTCGTAGCGAGCGTGTCGCGAACATGGGCTTGATCTCGCCGGAGCGCAGATGCTCTTTGCCTGGCTTCGGTTGCTTCGACGTTGGACATTTTGGAATGAGGATGTGGTTGAAGGTGAGGGTGAGAGAAATGATAGAAAAAAAAGACCCGTGAATTTAAGTTAATCGAGGCTCAGCAGGGGACAGGGATCATGAATTGGGTAAGACTAGACACAAAGACCCGATCAAGAATGTCACTGCGTAGATCTTCTTTCAGTATATTCACACACACTGCAAGTTGCTTCAAAGAGAAAGGAAAACACCCTTGAATGATGATAACAGTACAATTTTTTGATGCTCGAATCCTTCATACCCCCTCGACCTTCTCTCCAGGAGCCAACATCTTGATGTACTGATGCAGTCCCGTCTCAATGACATCGAGCTTGTCTCCAACCCGCAGAATAAACTCTCCCTTCGATGGAACAAGCTGCATGCCCAGACAGGCATTGGTCAGGTCCCCCTCATCGATTCGCCGATATGACTTCAGCGTCTTGTCCGGCTCAGCCTTGTGTCTATCCCCAGAGTCTGGGTCGACATTTGGCAGTCGGCACCGAACAGTCCGACAGGAAGTATAGATTTCAGTTCCGCCAATTGAAACTCGCTTCCAGTGATCTTCCTCGAAGGCAGATGGCCCTTGAACGATGATATTTGCGCGGAACCGCCGAATGCTCAGTCGCGGGATAGCATAGGCACAGCGCGACGCCACATCTCTGTGACTTGACATATTCAGCAAATGAATTGGATAGGCATCTGCGAAGGCAGTGTTGGGCTGAAATCCTATGTCCTCTTTGGTCGGGGCATTGCGGAAGATTTCGCGCGTGTGCGATGCGCTCGCGCGGAACAATGTCAGTTCCGGCTTGGATGGATCGGATTCCAGATACTCGTGCAGGGAGTCTGGGAGGAGTGCACCATAGTCCAGAGCGATGGGGCAGTCTTTCCAGATCTTCACAGGGACTTCTGGGAATGTGGACTCCACGGGTGGATGCAGTGGAACTTGGAATTGAAGCCGGCTGTCACAGATGTTTAGTGCCATGCCCATTTTCACAAGTTTCCCGTACAATCCTGCTGGTGCGACGCGTGGGTACGAAATGACCAACACACCCTTGGATCGCACTTCGGCGGAATTGGGATCATAGTTGTGAGCGGAGGGATCGGGGATCCAAATCTTCGGTTCGACTAGCGCCAGGCGATTGAAACCTTTATTGCGCAGTGTGCGGATGTTCCATTTGTCGTTGTTGTATCCAGCAAATGTGAATTGCCTGTCGTACTCGAGTCCAGTGGGGACTACATTTGAGGCTTCTAGCTCAACTCCGCGACATGATTTGAGAGGATAGCTGAACAACGCCTTGACGCGCCAAGATGGGCGACCTTCGTCGTCCTGATTCTCAGGTACGCCGTGAGTATATTTTGAGTCGTATTCATCGTTCAGATTGCTCGTCCCAGGTGGAAGTCCCAGGCGCCGGCATCCTTTTGGACGAATGGGGGGTGTTTTCAGTTTGAGTAAAAGAAAACCTAGAGCTAAGATGATAGAGATCAATGTCTCTCTAGAGAAAATCAATTTCTCCCAAGCGAGATCGTCTGGCATTTTGACCCTCGAGATCGCGGAAGGAAAAGAAGAAATCTGCCCGATCTCGGATCGGATCACCGCCAACTTCCCACTCGATTCGGCCAACGCGAGCATGTCTATATCGCATTTGTAATCGAGGTCTTCTTCCCGAGATCTCTAGGGAATATATTGTCCTGTTCACTCGATTCAGTCCCAGCCATCCTGATGCGCCCGCCATGAGCACCAATATGGACCTCCTCGGTCTTGACGGTCTGGAGGGTTTATACAAAGATACGCGTGAGCAGTGGAACTCTGACCTGTAGATGCAAAGGTTAACAAATCACAGTACCTGTGGTCTCGATCTCAGCATCGCAGTCGCTCAACGCGTCGGCCGCCGGACGCGACTCCATCGCGACGGGACTCCCGCACCTGGATGACGCCTTGGCCATTGACCAGCAGCCAGGCGGTATTCTGCGGGGACATGTTACAGAAATATTCGGACCCCCAGGAGTCGGAAAAACCGCGTTGGCGTGGGTGTTTCTTCTTCACCGCTAGAGTCCCAGCTGATCCCTTCTGCAGGTTGAATATTGCCCGCAATGCGCTGTGCGATGGCAAGGTAGTCTGGATTGGTATCGTATGTCGGTTCCCTCTTGATTGCTAGACTAATACTTGTCAGATACTGGGTTTCCCTTGCCCAGTCCACGGCTTCAGGCCATGTCTGCCAATGTCAAGGACTTCATTCATTTCAAAGCGGATACCCTGGCACACCTTGTTGCCCTGTTGATGCGACCACCCACAGGGTTTCCACCGCCGGAAACTAATTTAATTGTTGTTGACTCTGTATCGAATCTCTTTCCGTCTCATTTTCCAAGCGCAACAGAGGTCAAGGAAGAGTTTGCCGATGGGAAGCTTGTCGACAAAGCCCATCTCCAATGGCTTCTTGGCCGCAAACAAAATGTCTCCAATGATTTGGGTACGCATCTAGCGCGACTGGCTGCGAGAAATATTGCCGTAGTGGCTATCAACCAGACACAAACAAAAATAAAGGAAGAACGGGAGGCCACATTGTTACCGGTTCTCGCAGGTGGAGCATGGGAGAAGAACGTTCAGACGCGCCTTGCGGTCTACCGGGCCCTACCAGATGATAGGGTCGTGGAGATCGAGAAGCTTTCAGGAAAGCCTTTATCCGAGCCGCATGAGCTCGCCGTTGCTTTCTACATTAATTCGGTATGCGCTATTATCTTTGGCTGCAACGGGGTGCTAACTTGCCTAGAATGGTGTTCGTGAGAAAGAGTCTCACGATACTGCCCCTACGATACTCCCAGAAAAGTCTCCTGAGTTTGAGTACTATGACCCCCCTACACCAACCCCTTCGCCTTTGTCTTCAATATTGTCATCACCGCCACCATCCCCGGAACTCAAGTCTCCTAAGTTTGATACGCCAGATCTGGAATCACCAGTTAAAGATCCACCCATTCAAAAGCCTCCCAGCGACGACTCTCCTGATTTGCCGAAACCAAATCATGCATCACCACCGCAGGCTGTTCACACTCCAAGCAAGAAACGCAAGATGGAAGAGGTAGCCGACAGCCAAGACGAGGACTCAGAGGAAGAGGCCCCCTGGACAGACGAAGCAACACTAAACACGAATCTCCCATGAAGATATGACTTGTTCACGATATCCCGTTATATTCAATAAATATCATACATTTGTCCTCTCAGACTCAGAAAACATTCTCCTTTGGACAATGCGGCCTCGCTCCTCGGCCAAGAAATCCTTGGGCTCGGCCTCCTCGCAAGGATCCTCGCTCTGGTCCGGCGTTTCAGGCGGCCTTGACATAGAGCAAAGCGGAAGTGTATCGGCGATGGCAATGGATATAGGGTGTCTGGACCCCTGTATGAGATCAACCAACCGTCCCAAAACCGCAAACTCAAGCTTCAACTTCAGCGAGTATATGAAGCCCTTCAACGTGATCTGCACAGCGTAGAAGTCCGAATACTCAAGACTTAACAACAGCAAATCCATCCCCATAATCGCACAGTTTATCCCAATCAGTTGATACATGATGCTTCGCGTGTCGGGCCGAACAGAGACGTCTGCCCCCAGTCGAAGTAGTTTCACCGTCTCAATAACATAAAGCGTTGACAGGATGCTCTCCTGGATCGTGAATCCAGTCAGCTGTATCTTTTCCATGACATTGTACCCGCGCACCCAGGCCACTTCACCACTGTGAGCGATGTTTGCCCCGAATGTCAAAATCGTCGTCGGGACATGCAGCAAAAAGACATTGGTGACAATCAGGCGAAACACACGGCGGAGAATGCGCTCATCACGCAGCACAAGGTGGAGCCGCGAATACAGAACAACTGATTGTCCTGTTACCATCGTCCACCAGCCGATGCTGAGTATAGTCACGGAAAGCACGGAATCCGCCCGTGTGAAGAATTTCAGCAGAAAGCCTAGCGAGTATGGCACTACGCCAAGGCAGCCGGAGATCAGAAGCGACCAGAAGTACAGTCCACGCCAGCGTCGGAATGTTCCTGGTACTAGGATGACTAGTTCGGCGACGTTGTAGAATGATAAACCGATAAAGGCTAGAAGAATCATCTGTCGCATGTCACCCCCTCTGGCGAGGGCGCCTGATATCCCGTCCAGTAGGTCCTGGGGTACGGGGACGGTCGACATTGGGAGTCATGTGGACTTGAGGTCTTGATTCTGGAGATCAGACATCGGAGGGGGAAAGGCGAGGAAAGAGAGATTGTAACAAAGAAGTCAACAATGTCGGTTGTACAAGGCACATGTAAAGCAGGTTTTGTGCGTGGATATTGAGGAATTCGTTACGATCTGAGGAATCTGGGGTAACCCTAGATGATGAGGTCCTACGCCACTCTAAATAGTGTTGCGGCCTTGCCTGGATCAGATTAAGCGAGAATGATACCTTACATCGAACTATATCCACTCGACGGGTCATATCAAACAAAGGGCCTGGACCGTGTGTTTACATGCCTTTGTTTTGTTCGGATTCGCCACATTCAAGGCTCTGGTTGCGTGGAAGTAATACGCCGTTAGCCGCCTGGCGGTGTCCTTGTGATTTGCAGAGTGAGACCGGCCAGAAAAGAAATATTTCATTCGAGTCTACATGAAATTATGGGTTCTCGTTTATAGGTTGGTCAGGTAGTCCTCAATCTGCTCCTTGGTCAACTTGCGGAATCGGGGTCCCTGGGCTCCCTCCACGCCCTCAAGTCCCAGCAAGTGGTCTGCCGGTGGGCCGACAATGCCTGTGGAAGTGGGTTAGCCTAGGCCCTAGCACTTGAAAGTCCCCAAACGGGGTTTCGGAAAACAAACTCACCAATTTCTATTGTGTCACCGTTCATCTCGCCCTCAATCGTCTCCTTGAGCGTCAAGAGCGCAATGTGGATAGCGTCTTCCAGCTCAAGTCCCTCGGTGTATCGCTTCTCAAGGAACGTCTTGGCGCTCGTTGCGTGTTTGCCAATCGCTGTGGCCTTCCACGGGTAGTAGCTGCCACTGGGGTCGACCTGGTAAAGACTGGGGCCACCCTTTTGAATACCACCGGTCTTGCTAGTAGTCTTTTCCTCGGGATCGTCCTTCTTAGCCTCCTCCGACTCGGGCTCAACGCCCTCGTCCCAGCCCGCAACCAACAGACTGACACCGTATGGCCGCACACCTCCGGATTGCGTGGCTTCTTGGACTACCCGAGCGACATCCTGCACCAAGATTCGGGTGGGTGGGTATTCGTTGTAGACGCGCTTGTAGTTTGTGTGCGAGACCTTGCGGGCCTTGTCCACCAGTACGCGGTAGTCGGGGCCCATGCCGGCGTAGACCATGCCGATATCAGGTGTAATCAGGGAAATCTTGGACAGAGATGGGGGGTCGATGAGGGGCGATGAGGACTTCTTCTCGGTAGCGAGCACAATGCCGTTGGTAGCTGGGTGGTCAGCTTGATGTGTGAGAGAGAGATCAGGCATGTCATCACATACCTTTGATACCAAGGGCAGTGACACCCTGGTTGACTGCATTCAAGGCATATTCTGATGTTATTAGTATTGATGCTGTCATCGGTTATGATGGTCCATACCAATCTGCACCAGCTTTCCGCTGTGATGGAGCTGGGTTAGCGGTGTCAATTCCACAGGAGGGGTCAGTCTTACCTGGGGGAGAATGTAGTCAGAGAGAATGAATATCGGTCGGCCATGGTTCGCTGTTAATGTGATCACAAACAGAAGAGATGGAAATATCAAAAGAAGGGGAGCTGTGTAGGCAGAGATGGGTGACGTTTGGCGCGGTAGAGCTCACTGAAGGCGGTGAGCGAGTTCGGACTAGCTGTGTGGGTTGAGAACACCTTCGGTCATTTTTTTGCTTTTCTCCTCTTTTCCTCTTCAGTTCTCTCTCCGACGAACAAAGTACCTGCACATCCGGTGATTTGTTGTCTCTTGCCCAGAGCTTGTACCTCTCTCGATGTGAGCTCCAATGGAGGACACTGAGCAATACCCTCCACGGGTCTGTCGCATCTGTCTAGAATCCGTGCTCCCAACCTTTCAGTCCTCGGAATTCCTTCAGAAGCCTCGAGTGGTCTATGAATCCTCCGATCCAGAATGTGGTCGACTATTTAGTCCCTGCCAATGCAAAGGCTCCTCGCGTTATGTCCACGAGGGCTGTCTACAAGCATGGCGTCACGCTGGCCCGAAATTTGGGACGCGGAACTTCTGGCAATGTCCCACCTGCGGTTTTCAATATCGCCTCGAGCGTTTGACCTGGGCTCGCTGGATCAGTAGTGCCACTATGCAACTAATACTCACAATCGCCATTCTAATGTTGACCGTTTTCCTCCTTGGATTCATTGCTGACCCCATCATTGATTTTTACGTTGGCCCTGTGGAAGTCGACCTGGTGGAGAACGATTCGTCGTGGCTGGCCCATTTCCTAAAGGGCTTGACTTCTCTTGGACTTTTGTCCTTCCTCAAGGCATTTTTTGCGCTGTCACCTTCCGTGTGGAGCCTGCGCTCTATCGCCACTGGTCGAAACTCGGGCCGCAACCGCGCCGCCCAGAGAAACTGGCTGATCATCATGGTCGGCATTGGTACTTTCCTATGGGTATGTATTTAAGTTGATGTGTTTTTGCCTGGCACCACTAACCGCAGCAGGCTGTCTACAAAGGTGTTCGTGCGTGGAGTAGGCGCGTCCTTGAAAGGGCTGGCGCAAAGGTCATGGATGTGCCATTGCCAGGTGAAGATGTGCCAAGTGAAGCACCCCATGATAGTCCTAAGCAAGACTGAACCCGCACTACTTAAGTTGCCGTACTCCTCTGCCCCATGAGACGTCGATTAGTCAATGTGCGAAGAACAATAACTACCTTCATTAACTCTTAATGGAATACCTGGGAGGCAGATAAGTGTCACTCGAACGTCTTGTTCTTGGGCCACTGGCTGCTTCATATATCAGGCATTCCGTTTTGGGGAAGGTAGTCCTCCTGTCGATTCAATGGGACGTTCTGACCTTCGAGTCTGACCATTTGACGTTTTCCGGATTGAACGGTGGTAAATTCCTGTCAATAATTTTACCTTGAATATGACAATCTTATTTTCTTATTTTCTTTTCTATTGTTTGGTTTTTCTGTCTTTATCGACTTAGATTGGGACTTGGATACCCTCAGCTTCGCTCCTTTCTCGAGCTTGGGTTCCAATTCCCTTTCTCTTCTGCTTTCTCCTTTTCTTTCCTCTCCATTTCTTTCGCTTCTCTTTCCCCAATTTCTTCAAATCTAAGTATCCATTCTTCATGGACATCCTACCTGCCGGATCCCGCCTCGCGGTGGTCCGCTCTCAACTTGCTCCAAGCTCGGGCTCTGAAAGCTCTGGGACACCTCCACGTACGCCTCCCTCCACACCCCCAGTGGCCGCCAAGGAGCCCTTCCCAGATTATGACGAAGCCGAATGTGATACTGTCGCCACAGAGAGAGCCGCCGAGAGAGCCGACGCTGAAGCCTGGACCACTGCCTTCGGCAAGGCCCTCCAGACTCAGATTCGGCAAACCCAGATTGATCCTAGCATGATTCCCTATGTTCCCAGCAACCCATCTGAACGGAGCCAAGTCGTATTTGAGCGGATGAAAGATCTCCTCTCAAATCCGCAAATGCGCCCGCAGACGCGTCGCCAATTCATCACCCTTTCCAACATCACTCTGCAGATCAACCAGGTCATCTTCCATCAAAACCCAGAGTTCCTGGCCCCCAAGGAAACATCCGATGCAAAGCTACTCACGGAAACTATCCTGACCCACATAGCGTGGATTGATTCCATGTTGACCGCGCTATGCCAAACTATGCAGTACATCACCTCTGTGCTGGGCGAAATTGAGCGAAGAGATATCCCTGTATATCAGAAGCTCCAAGAGATGGCTGCAGCCGTTGCTGTGTAAGTTTTGGCTTGTAAACGGCCTATTTTCATTGCGCTAATACTCCCAAGAAACTTAAAGAAGCCCCGTGCCCTCGAGCGCCAACTCCTCGAACTATATCTCGAACTCTTCGATGAATGGGTTCACACACCTTTCCTTCGTCTCCGCAACCACCAGATCCTCGTCGAGCAGACATCATGTCTTGCTCGCGAAGAACTCTCCCGCCAAATTATTGCCATCTGGGACATCACATCGCGATGCATTGAGAGCTACGCTACCTACACCTGGGGCACGGTGACCATTCGCGACGAGTTCTTTGCGCCATCAGTGGACAAGCTCAACATGGCCACGGATCTCTGGGAACAGTGCTGGAATAAGGACATGGAGACGGAAGATACTCCTGAATCTGGATGGACATATCCCCAACTCACGATTTACAAATGATGAACACGGAATTTTACGACATGCAGATCTCACGTTTGATACCCGGGAAAATTTACAAACAGCCAGTCTGGAGAATAATTTCAATCATAATTTTTCTAAGCTTCACTGTCCTTGTAAGGCCCCAACTTGAAAAGCTTCTTAGCATTTTCCCTTCCAATCTTCACTCGGTCTGTGTTCGACATCTCCGCATTGTCAAACCAATCGCAAGCATCCTCGAAGGTCTCGAAGGGGTAGTCAATCGAGAATAGAATGCGATCAGCGCCAACCTCAGCCATACAGAAATTCAACGTAGTAGTCGAGAAATGTCCACTCGTGGTAATCCACAAATTCTGCGCAAAGTATTCCCGGATAGTCTTCTTACACGTCTCCTGCAGCCCAAGCATCTTCTTGCGATCCTCAAACCAGTGGTTAATTCTCCACATATCAAAGGGAATCCTCTCCCCCAAATGACCAAGAATCACCTGCAACTTGGGGTTCCGATCGAAGGTCCCGTTCGTTACCATTCCAAGAGCGTGCAGACTGACTCCGTGGGCAAATGACAATGGTGGCCCAATCAACCACTTTCGATCAGCCCACATCTTCTCGTAAATAGTACCTGTCGGGTTGCGAGGGTGCAGATACAAAGGCACGTCGAGCTCCGTACACGTCTGCCAGAAGACATCCCACTTCTCGTTATCGTAGAAGATCATGTCTTCCCCGTCCTCGCCCGCCCTCTGTGTGTCATTCACCAGCGCCCCGAGGAATCCGTACTGTGTCACGCAGCGGCGCAGCTCGTCGGCCGCTTCTTGCGGGTCGTGCATGGATAGTGTACTATGCAGTTCAAGGTCAGCGAAGACAAGCAATTATGAACAGAACAACTTACGCGAACGCAGCAAATCGGTCCGGGTTAGCCTTCACCTTCGCGGCGATGTAGTCGTTAATTTCAACGGCGAGACTCTGCGCATCTTTGGCATCCCAAATATCTTGCACACCTGGTGCAGTGTAACTGAGAATCTGGAGACCGACACCGTATTTCTCTGCAAAGTCCAGTCGGATAGGGCCAACATCATTGATCTCTGCAGTGTGTTTGGCTGTATCTGTGGAGAACATCCCAGCCCACCATTTGGTCTTTTCGGCGAACCTGGGGAGCGCGAAGGCTTCTTCGAGTGCGATTTTGCCAAGCATTTTGGATGTGTATATTGACAGGTGTTATAGTTGTGGTTGATGTATTTCGGTACATGTGCCTGTTGACTTCTTTATAGCTATGCGGGGACCCCGCATACTCTCATTACGCAGCGTTATGCGCTCGGAAAGCTCGTCGGATGTTGACCCGACGGCGGTCCGCTGCAGCGGGGCGGATGCGGGGAGCGGACGGCGGCTGTTGTGCAGTGGATGGTCGGATACCCCGTAGAGGGCGCAAAGGTAGGTTATATTCCTATCGGGGATGAAAATACCAGGAGATCGGAAAGTCCTTGTGGTACTCTCGGATGGTATTTGAAGTCGGGGTTGCTCGTGAAATACCTCAGTTTGCCACGTGCCTTGCTGTCTTGTCTACTCTCACATGCTTGCTCCCTCAGCCATATGTTCTCTATTGGTGCTTCCAAGGTTGCTCATGTTTGGATCTTCGATGTTGTTCACTAAAGAAAAGTTGACGCGAAAGGGACCGACAAGGGACGTTCATCAACTTTTGTTCAAGATATCAACCTCGGATCGGCCCACAAGGGCGATCCATACCTCAACAATAACCTTCGAGATATTGATACATGGGTACTCTGGTTCTTCACCTCGACGCACTCAAAAAAAGATAGACCCGGCAGACGGTCTCCGAATGAACCTACTAACTAAACGGATCTACAAAGCTACGATGTGGATCCTCCCCACTTAGGCCCGGCACTTGAGCCTTGATCATCTTTATAGAAGTAAAGTGTATGTATTGGTGATTAAAGGTATAAGCGAGGCAATAAAGAGTACAAGATCTCGTATATAGACATCATCCCGAAGGAAAAGAATACATCTCGCCACTCGTCAGTTCCCGAGAATGCGAGCGCACGATGGTCAACAGCATTCCCAACACCACAAATTCCATCTTCAGCTTGATGCTATAAACAAGCGCCTTGAGGATGATCTGCGTGAAATAGTACCCCAGGAACTCTAAAATCAGTAGCGTTAAATCCATCACAATGGCGACAATATTAATCCCAATCAACTCCCATAATATCTTGTGTCGTTTCTTATCTTCTTCCGGGCTGATCTTGATCAATCGCACCGTCTCCCAAATGTAAACCGACGAAATGAGAATCTCTTGCACCGAGAACCAGGTTATCTGCGCCCGTTCAACAATCGAGAAACCATGCACCCATGGCGACCGCGGGAAGTATTCAGAGCCGAAGTTCATTGTTATCGTTGGGATGAGCAATATGATCGAATCCACTATTATGACCCATTTGATGATTGCAAGTAGGCGAAAATTTTGCGAAATTAAATGGAGCCGTGAATAGAGGACCACCGACTGTATAGGAACCATGCATACGAATCCGATATTGGAGAGGACGAGGGAGAGCCACAGGGGGACTAAGTCGAAATATTGAAACGAGGTTCCTAGGCTGGTTGGTATCAGTCCCAACGTGGAAGAGACGAGAAGAGCCCAGAAGTAGAGGCTGCGGAAGGTCTTGAAGCTGAATGGGATGAGCACAGAGAGCTCGATGGCATTGTAGAGTGCGAGCGAGATGATTATTATGACCGCAACCCCCATGGTCTGGTCCTCGCGCAGCGAGGTTGGGAGTTGTTGGAAATTGGCCGCCATGGTAAATTGCCGCCGGCCATGGTGTGCCTGTGCTGGGTTTGAACTCGCATCGATGAAAAAGAAGAGGAGGAGGAGAGAGAGAGAGAGAGAGGTGAAAAGGGGGAAAGTATGAAAGTCCGGGGGGAGCTTATTCTCGGCGAATGCCGTTCGTCGGAGTCGTGAGTGGAGGCAACATTGAATTCAGCCTCTCGCGTCCTACGGTTCACAACGTCACCAAGTTGAAATTGGCCAATTAACCGCGTGGGAAATACTCGCACCGTCCCCTTTCTGTGGACTGCAGAAAGCCAAATCTCTATGACGTCTCGTTATGGTTGGCTGAACCGAAATCCTTCTAGCTTTACAAACGTGGAGGGAAAACCTTGGGCAAAATCATTTTCGCGTTTAAACGTTATGTAGGTACCGTTATGTAGGTACAGGCCCTTGACCTTCTTACTTCCTGATTACTCGAATTCCAAGATTCCCTCGTGGTCGACAAGTCACAGAGTCGTTGTAATCAGGAACCAGATCCTCCACCTCTCCAATCATGCTGGCATCAAACTGCATCAGTATCGACACCACAACCAGCTTCATGTTCAAAATCGCCAGTCTTTGTCCTTTGCACCCGAATTTTCCCGCACCCCAGCAGATGAACTCGCTTTTGACTTCCCGGCTCGGGTTCCAACGCATCGGGTCAGGGTAATATGCGGGGTTCAAGGAGGTATCCGAAAATGGGTAAAACACGAGCGCTCCGGTTGGGATTGTATATCCTTGCACCGTTAACGCAGGACCAGTATTCCGGCGCATTGCTATGTAGGGCTGGGATGTTCGGAGGGTCTCGCGGATGCAGCGGTCAAGCATCGGAGTTTGGGACTCCCACTCTCGGAGAGTGATGGAAGACAGAGAGGTCTGAGCTGTACGCGATAGCAAGGCTTGGATCTCCGTTTGGATGGTGCGGGCCCACTCGGGGTTGGTGGATAGTCGCATGATCAGCCAAGATACTAAAATAATGTTAATCGCTTGCCTCTGCCTCTGGTTGGGGTCATTACCTATTGTTCCAGTCGCGCGGGCACCGGCGAGTGACAGCCCTAAGATGAACTTTGAAGGCATTAGCTTCCAAGATGTTGTTTTGTCGGTAGGCTGGGAGACGTACCCCCAAGATTTGAATGGTGCTCTCTCCGTCATCCAACATATGTTGAACCGCATCGTTTCTTCTCACTCCACTGGCTTTCCGGATGTTGATCTGCTTCCGAACAATAAGGTAGATTCGGGCCACGGATATCATCTTGCGGATCATCAACATGTTGGGTAGCCAAGGCCACCAGGTCATATATGGATTGGCTGGTGAGTCGACAACATCTATCAGTGATCTGAATTCAGAGGATAGTGATAGGTCGCGAGATATCTCGAAGAAACCGGTTGCCATGATTGTTTGGAATGTCATCTGAGCAAGTTTCAACACTAGGTCATGTTTCTCGGGGCCACAGATACACATACCTCGTGAATTGAAGAGCATGGGTCAAGAATTTTTTCAGGCCCCCATGAGTCCATGGCGTGTTGACAAGTAGCGAGTATCAATGGAATCACTGGTTCGATTTAGATCGTATATTCTCTGATTGTGGAGTAGATGCCAACTTACTTGACTGTAGAAACTCAGGCCGCTGCATGCAGATGATCCGCTTCACTATAGCGTTGACCTGGTGGGGGTCGTGCTCAACACTTTTCTTCATAAGGCGTTAGCTTTCATAGGCGTCCAGCTGACTTCAAGATCAAATAACTCACAATGCCTAGAAGAGCAAAGAAAGAATCGTAAATGTTCAGTCCTTTCTCTTTCATGAAGAGTTGTCGGCCTTCTGTTCCCGAGAGAACGGTAGCTTTGCGTCCGAATAGGGTCAGACGATAAATGGAAGATGATGTGGCCTTGAACTCATCGTTGACCAAGTCAAATCGTTTTTCAAAGAATGATCGAGTAATCTGCAATGCAGATCGTCGTATTTCTGGGGGACTTTGATCACTTCCCTGTGAGACTGGCAGTACCACGCATAGAACTTTGAACCAAAGGACATAAAGCAGTAGAGCAATAGAGACAAGGAGACCCAAGCCTCTAAGCAAGACCGAAGTGTCGGGGTACGAAGCAGGCATTGAGACTGATGAAAGTCTTGGCAGCATGTTGGAAGTATGACTGAGAGTTAGAAGCATAACTGAGAGTTGGAAGTATGAGTGAGAGTTGGAAGATGAATGGGGGTCGAAGTATGAATGGAAGTTGGAAGTATGAGTGGAAGTTGGAAGTATGAATGGAAGTTGGAAGTATGAGTGGAAGTTGGAAGTATGAATGGAAGTTGGAAGTATGAATGGAAGTTGGAAGTATGAATGGAAGTTGGAAGTAGGATTGAGAGTTGGAAGTACGAATGGAAGTTGGAGGTTTGAATGAGAATTGGAAGTAAGTAGGATTGAGAGTTGGAGGATTGAGAGTTGGATACATAACAGTGATTTGACGAGGCATCTCAGGTCCAACACTTCTTATAGACCAACACCTAGCACAATGAACTCGATGACGGCTTTGTACACCCAGGTAATGACAGCGACAGCTCTGAGCCGGAATCCGAGACTGTGACTCTTTAATTATCGACTCCTGGATTATAGCTTTTGATTCGTCTCTAACACCGTCCTGCCCTAATGCCTTGGGTGCCTCGACTGCGCCATTGGCGATCCACCGTGAGAGACACCTCCCCTTCACCAAAGAACCAAAAGCCACATCAAGAATAGTATAGTCTACATTGCTAGACCCCAATACTACCAGACTGTTGGAAATTGACACACGCCGCTGTTGGTTTTTGTCTTAGGTATATTCGGCTTCCATGCAGGAACGCATGAATTTTTAGATTAAATCTCACCAAGGCGGAATTCTAGCGTCGAATTAAAGATGCGGCTCGTGTTGTTCTTGCTCGTATTGCGATGACATCGTGCTATTCTTCAGCCCCCCCTGGACACCCATCTGATGCTTACATCGGGGCAGATCGCTCATTCGGGTTAGTCTGGGTAGGTCAGGCCCGCTGTTACTGGACTCAAATAGTGCATTTTGCCAGGCAATTGGTTCCTTTTATTTTACTTCGTTTTTACTTCTTCTTCTCTATTTCAGCACGATCGAGTCACAGATCGAGTCATTGTCTTCCTCTCTCCCCGACGCCACTCGCACATGTGACCGCGCTTTCGCTTACTTTTGGCATGGCCTGAATTAACTTGTTAACCAGAGGTCAATGGGATTTGGGGGCTGGTATTTGGGCTGTTTTCACAATCTTCACCCTTTGTAAATGATTACAATTTGGTCTGCGTTGTTTTCTCAGGCGCTTACTTCGTAGATTATACGAAGTACGAGTTGCTTGGCAGACCATGTCTACTCCGTACACTGATGCTCAAGTGCAGAATTTATTTTTACAAGCAGTGTATTGCCGCAGTTGGAATGTTTGTGCAGTGGTTTGATAACGGTGAAAGTCTTGTAATGCAATCCTGATTTCAGGCCCACTCTCAAGTCCGGGATGACAGGACACTGTGATTTTCCAGGGTTTGGCCTGGGGTGCCTTTCAGCTTGGCGAAAGCCTTATTTTACACTAGTGCTGGTATTAAAAAGCATAAAGCCATTGAATGAGACACCTTCGGAGAAAAAGGTTGTCTCTTTGTCTCTCAGAGCCAACACCAGCATTGTTCACTGTGCCGGAAAAGCCAGTATTTCGTTTTGGTATCTGCACAGTATGAAGATGGCTAACTCTGTCGTTTCACGGGAATCCGGAAAGGATTCCAACCGCTCATGGGTTACTCTGTGCATGACAAGAGTCGTTGGTATGCAGTGAGCCGTGTTGGGGGCCAGATTTGTGCAGTTTGCTTTTTTTGGCTCCTGTTTGATCCCAAAAAATTAACCGAGGCCGGACATTTCTAGTCATCTATAGATAGATACGGAGTATATAGATGTATTTTACTCCATACATGTCCATGATTAATGTTTATAGACATCTATCTGGCATTGGGTTCATCCCAAGGTTCTAAGTTTGAATGCGTTCCCAAGGCCCCCCAGCCCCCACATGGCTGAGATCGATTGTGCTGAGATGAACCTGTAGCAGCCCAGGTGTTTTGTATAAATAGCTTAAAGCATATTGAGCCTTGCTACTTTTCTTAATGCTAGCCAAGTCGTAGGTGCTGGTTAGATGTGATGGAATCTTTGAAAAAAAAAAAAAAGAAGAAAAGATGTTGTTGTGTGCCGGCCCCGTTTGCGATGGAAAATAGCTTCAGAAACAAGACCCCCAATGCATACATTAGTACTCCGTAAAATGTATAGTCAAGTATAACAAAAAAGATTTTTGAAGATATTAAACCCTCCCCATTACCCTAAAAGCGTTCGATCAAGCATTGAATCCAACATCCTGAACCAAACCTTGATCTGTCCTGTCATAAAGGTTCTCCGGTCGAACATTTTTTCTTAGCAAATAGCGCTTCACAAAGTACGGAACTTGCCTCAGTCCATAGCCGACATGGAGCCTTGTCGGGAACGAAAACACCTGATCCAACTCCTCAAATGTCTTTCCCTTGGTTTCAGGCATGAAAAGCAGAACTAACCACCACCCAAACACACACCAACCCGCATACCAAGAGAATGCCCCCTGGGCCGTGAATGCAGCTTTCAAAGCCGGCCAAGTCACTCCAAGAATGAAATTAAAGAACCATGTCGTTGCGGTTGCTAATGCCATTCCGTGCGGCCGTACATACAGTGGGTATGCCTCAGCCGAATATGTGAATGCCACCGACCCTTCGCCAGGGGAGTAGAAAACACCAAAGAGATATGTTCCGAGGACTATGCATGCTTGCCGGGCTGTCTGACTGGACTGTGGAATCCAGAAGCTGAAACCTGTGAAAAACATTGCTATCGCCATTGGGGGAAATGTCAGAAGCAGGAGGTTTCGCCGACCGAAAGTGTCAATGGTGTAAAATGCTGGGATTGCACAAAGCCAATTAATGACACCCCATCCTAGGGAGGCTGCCAGTGCGGCTATGGGTGTAAACTGGGCCTTCGAGATTGTTAGATTTGTGAGAGAGTAGGTTGGTGCGAACTGACCTCAAGAAATATCTCGGCAGAGTAATACGCGATCACATTGACACCGCAGAACTGTTGGGGTTAGACCCATACTTGAAAGTTTGCAAGCCTAGGGACTCACTTGTTGCATAAACATCACAATCTGAGATGCCACCATCGCACGTCGGTTGCGTGGAATGGTGATCAACTCCAGCAATTTATTCTGACCAAGCTTCATCTTGCTCTCCGCCTCGAGCAAGGTATGCATATAATAGAGATCCCTCGCCGCCTGGATCTTGTGATGCCGCAACATACAGATCGACTGATATGCACGATAATACTGTTTCTGGCTCATATACCAGCGCGGCGACTCGGGGCATGCAAAAACAAAGCAACAAACCACCAACGCTGGGAACATCGCCGATGCCATCATACATCGCCAGTTGAGTCCAACGATGGCGTCTGAACCCACGTTGTAGAAAATCAAATCAGATGCATAACCAACCATGATTCCAAACGCTGTCCACATTTGCCACTGCATGACCAGGGCACCGCGAATAGCTGGGGGTACGGTCTCTGCCGCGTACATCGGCACAGTGGCTGACTTGGGACCGATACCGAAACCCAGCATGAACCGAGCGACGAACATAGCCCACCACGTTGAGACAAATCCTTGCCATAAACAGGCTATTGCTGAAAAACAACATGTGATGAAAATTGTGCCCCGGCGTCCAAACCAGTGATTGAAAGGGACGGTCAGCCAGCACCCGATGAAGGCACAGCATAGATAAGGTGCTGAGTTTGTGAGACCGACGAGCAGGTGCTTCGAGCAGAGTTGTCACCGATGCCGAACTGGTGTTTGTAGAAGATTTGGGCGCCATTGACAACCGTTTCATCTAATTTTGTCAGATTCGCTGTCTGGAACCCCCGGAGCTGGATATTCCGATCACTTTACGTACCCATTCCTTGGACAGCTGCAGAAAGAGAGCATAGCGCGATCACAGCGTACATCTTCCATGGCTGAGCCCACTTGTTTGTCAATTCTCGTCGCAATAGCTGCTTCTCCAGGTTTGTCAAGTCGGTGATATCGGCAAACCGCTCTGGTGATTGTGCTAGCACAGCGCCCAGTTCAAACGCCCGGACGTCGGTCTCGTCGCCCATATCGTGGAACTCGGCGAATGCGCGACCCTGGATTCTCAGTTCAGTATGGCTGAGCCCAGCCAATGGGTTCGAAAGTTTGGCATTGATGTTGCGTCGTTCTTGTTCAGCGGCTTTGCCGAATAGCTTTGGTGGCACGGATTTGTCGCCTTTCGCGGGTTCCATTCCTTCTCGTTATGAGGAAGCTGATGGTCTTGGGAGAGTATGGCCGATGGAATACCATATGAAGCTTCAGTGTTTGCAACTTCACTCAAGGGTCGAGCCTCGAAGTAACAAAGGAAGTTGACAACACCACACAAAAGTACGGCTACTCAGCCCCGGCATCCAATATTAAACCAGTGCGCGTGAGCAGTCTTCTCAAAGAGAATAAATGGTGTTAGTGGTACATATTGGAAGCTAGTGAATATGCAGGAAGGCGATTGGTAGATGTTGCTAGGGTTGATGGGCTGGCAGACAAAGAAGCTTCGAAATCTGTGTTTGGCCTCACTTGCGTGGTAATTTGTATGTAGTAGCTCAAGTTGTGCTCGCCTGTTTGTTTTCAAAATTTCCAAGTGAACTCTCACAAATGTCTCTGCCGCATGAGATATTCTCGGTGCTGGCTCACTTTGGGGTTTCGCAAAAGGTTGACTGCATACGAATGTAGGGTGCAATTGTCCAGAGATTCAATTCTGACCTTCAATTAAAATTTCTATTTTCCTCCCTTTACGCTGAGCGTCGCTCTGTATGATCTGTGCTATACAAACTCTTCTAGAAAATTGTGAGATCCACATGTATCGAGTAGTCTCAACCGCCAGCTGACTAGATCTCTTTTTCTTCTTCCTCTCTTTTCTCTTCTCTCTTTTCTTCTGCTCCCTCTTCTGCTCCCTCTTCTGTCATTCGTTTGTTATCATTCTCCTTTCTCTTCTCCCTTTTCTCTTCATTCACTTCTTCTGTTCCTTGCTCCTGTTCCTCCTTCTGCTCCTCCTTCTGCTCCTCCTTCTGCTCCTCCTTCTGCTCCTCCTTCTGCTCCTCCTTCTGCTCCTC